TGGAGTCTGCATGGAGGCCGCCGACTTGGCCGACTTGGGACCATCATCGCCAAAAGACCCTCCACCATTCGGTTTTATGGCACGGATACGCTTTGCCGTGTCTGTCTCCTCCACCTTGATACCACTTCTCAAATGGTCTGCATCGTCAGTTTGTCGGAGAGGATTCGAAGGGGTGTTCAAGCCGAACCGCTGAGGCGTGCGAAGAAACTCTGGACTGGAGGCGTACGGATCGGAGGTATCCCAGGTAATTCGAGGATCATAAAAGGAGGATTCAAGTTTGGGGGTTTGGAAGGTTGAATCGCCAAAGAGCGTAGGAGTCCTCGTGGGGGTTGTAGGTTCACCGCTGGGATGGTTGAAGCTAGATTTGAAGAAACGCTTCATCAGCATTATCGTAAAGACAGTAGAGTGAATGCGGGAGGACGGTATAAGGCAATTGAAGGTGAAGGCATCCAATTATCTCCAACAGTATAGACCACACCCCGCAAGTAATTGACAGCTGAAATCGTGGAGAAAGGAGAAGCCAGGAGTAGATAGGGACGTACCTATGGGCGGGCTGATCAAAACTCATGTCAGCAGCAGCGAGAACCCAGCAACCATTCAAAGCGAGGTGCCAGGCAACCTAGTCCGAGGCCTTCCAGATACTTGGGGAAGTGAGGAATGCTCGGGAGGAGGAAGGGTGCGAAAGGGATCGAGGAGCAACGACAACCGAGTAAGTCAGCAATAGGGAGTCGATCATTGAAGCCAAGCCGGAAAGTTATAAAGAATCAATCGATCGAAAGAGGGAAGAAAGGAAGGCTGAATGGACTCGTCGGTTGCTGGTCGTTGTCGTTGGTCGTGGACTCGTTTTATTTTTTTTTTTTTTTTAAAGGATAGGCTCGGGCATTGTTGGCTCTGGTAGAGTTCTTTATGTCAGTTAGAACGATAGAACGATAGGTACAGGGTAGAGCAGGAGAATAGAAGCAAAAAGTGCAGTAAAGGAAGGAAGGGAGACAAACGTCGAGGGATGAGGCTGTCTCTCAATCGGAGCTCTGGAGCTGCCCTGACGACACAAAGGGAGAATAATTAACACTACTTTGTCAGGCGAGGTTCCCAAGTCGTCTAGTCAGAGAGTGTCAGTCAATTCGTATAAAAGAGAAAAAGAGAGAGGGAAAAGTGTTGAAAGAAATAACAAGCGAGAGGAATTTTTTGTGGTCGTCCTGTAAATTTCGTAACGATCCAACAGCTGGTTTTATTGCTCTCCGCAAGAAAAGAAACGATGATCCACTGGACGGAGTAGATTTATGAATTCATTATTCGGTATCGATGACCATTCACGGTGACGAGGGACAGCGAGTACAAGTAACTATGACTATGGACTACAGAGTATGAACTAAACAACTCCGAAGCTATACAATTTAAGTACCCTTACAGGGTAGAACAGAGCAGAGCAGAGATATCACAATTGTACTCTGTACAGTACTCCTACTCTGTAGACTACTACTACGCAAATGAAAACATACATTACCACTTCCGGCCCATGGATCGACCATGAACCATTGCCGTCCGTATAACTCTCGCAATCACCGGCTTCATTTCGGGACCCCCAGCCTCATTACTTCGCAAATCACAATCCCCCTTCCGATCCTGGTCCAAAGTCTGTAAACTCCGAGTGCGAATCAACCAGCGTTTAAGCATGGTCTGCTGGTCCAGTGCGGGATCTCTTCAGCTACTCAGCGTCCACCGAATGATTCAGGATTCCGCCGGAAAGAGTAGGTCGTATGTCTCCTCGGGGATGGATGGAGGGGTGACCCTGGGTCTTGTCCTGTGCTTTGTCGTGCCCCCGTAGCCTAGCCTAGCTTATTTTCTAGGCGTCATTCCGGCTAGGCCGTCGTACTTTGTTCCCCGCTTATAGAGTCCCCGGTTGTAATGGCAATAGAGGCTGAATTGAATTGGCTGCAACGGGTAACTGTTCCGAATTAGGACTTACCCGGACAAGATAAGAGTGAGACGCCCTCCGTGCAACGGTCTGGTTAGTCTGAATAAAGGGTAATGAATACGGTTCAGCCCAGTGCTATACTTCTGTCCTATGGTGAGAAGATGTATCCAGTCCGATCAGTAGACTCGATTGTTCCCCTGACGGTCGGTCGCTCCATGCAAGGAGACAGACTCGGTGTCAGGGATGCAAACAAAGCGCAGGTCCAGGATAGCGGTGACAACTGAAATAGTAATCAATGCAAGTTGTCATCTTCTGCAGCATACAAGTAGTTGGTTACGACGCTCTATCTCTGAATGACATGGAATAGTTAACTAGTTAGTTAACGTCGTGAATTACGTTATCACAAACACCAGCCACATATAGCCACAGTGCCTCATGCTGCCACGTGCAGTTGCCCCAGGCAGCATAAGAATACGAGAATAACTATTCTTGGGAGTAATTTGTAATTCAGTATACGGTATACAGTACAGAGCAGTGCAGTACCAAGCAATGCTTTTTATACTCATGAACTATTTGGCATAAATTTTCCCTCTTCCCCTTCCCGTTCATTTACTCATTGAATCATCCATCATCCATCATCCATACTCAATCCGATTACTGAACAGACAACTTATCCATCGCCTCACTGGCACTCTTACCCACGTCCGAAGCTGTCGCCTGAGATGGCTCCTTACCCTGCTCAGCCTGCTCCTCAGCCTTGGCGGCGCCGGGGTACTTGCTACCCTTGTCCTTCTTGGTCTTTTGCTTCTTCTCCTTGGGGGCGTCCGCAGGGTAGGCCTTCTTTTCAATCTGTTGTGTTCCATGATTAGCGTTGGGTTTGAGAGGGAGTGAGATTTAAAGGGATGTGCATACCTCTTGCCACTCAGAAGAAGAGTTGAATTCATTCTGGATAGGGTCGAGGAGGCGGCGGAGAGCGAGGTTGACGGCGGGTTTGAGCAATTGAGGGGTAAGCTATCACAAAGATTAGCATATTAAACACTATTGTTCCATCGTGAGTCAGAAAACATACCACATCATCAACATAGTCCTTTCTCAAACTCTCGATGTCGCCGTACACAAGCGGCTCTGCGCCCTCCCGGTCAACCTTGAACGACCGCTCACCATCAAGCAGAGAGCTAGCTGGAAGAAGCACATTCTCCACAAACGCAAGGAGACCGTTTTCTTCTACCACCTTCGGGGGAGCATTGGCCTTCTTGATCTTACGCGCGGAGACTTCAGGAGTGTCGAGAAGGTCAATCTTAGAATTAGGGTCGCTGGCAGACATTTTACCGCCAGCCAGGCCTGGGACCATTTTGTTCATGATATCTTGAAGCGTGTCAGCATTTTATTCCACAACTGTAGGAAAAGTAGAACATGATAAGGGACTTGTAGCTTACGAGCACGGGTCTTGTAGCCGAGTTTGGGGAGGGTCTGCCCAGTTAGTATGAAATGGTTCGAGAGCCAGCGGTATAGATACATACTTCCATAGCAAGAGCTAAATAGATTAGTTAGTTTTGCTGTGATCTATATGGATGGGGCCGAACTTACCGAAAATCTTTCTCTGGTCAGCACCACCAAACTGAGCGTGAACATCCAATGCTTCCTCATCAAGCGCTTGCAAAAGCGGGTACATCAGTCCGCTAATAGGTGCGTTCTGGCTTTGCTTGACAACCTCGGCACCAGCCTTTTTGGCGTCTGGACAGAATTAGCTTGAAGTATACAACCCAGACTTAAGACATAGGGCGCATACCGTGTTCCGTCACAAGCGAAGCCAACCGGTAAACGTCCATTGTGTATTTCTAATCAATCAGCATGTCCATTCAATCGAAAGAGAGGGGAATGGGGGAAAAGGGAAGAGAAGGCCTACCGCTGACATCTGATAGGAGCTACCCAAGACAAACTCCAGCTTCTCAATGGGCACATTCACAGCCCGCATCAGAGCCGTGATGCAGTAGCGGTAGTACTTGGCCCGGTATTCAACCAGCTCAATGGGGGCTTTGAGGTTGTCCAGGAAGGCGTGGACATCGGCCAGGAGGATTTTGACGTTGCATCCTGCTTGGAGAAACTGGGCGATTTTCATAATCTATTTTCGTTAGACATGTTAAATCTGCAGCCTGGATAGGGGACGTTGGCGTACAGGGACGAAGTATCCGCAGTGAGGCTTGCCCGTCGGGGCGGTTCCTATCATGAGTCAAAACCGGGATACATGAGATTGCAGCGAATGTATAACTGCAGCGATACAAGAATACATAGTACACAGAGTATCTAGAGAAAACCTACCCCAGTAAATCCGCAAGGTCTCGCCCTTATCCAAAACCTCATCAATGATTTCCGGATTAAGCACTTCGGCCAAATTCTCCCGGATGAGCTCCAACTTAGCCTCCTTAGTAGCCATGGTGGATGATCAAATGTGGGTTGATAGTAGTCAATCACGTCGCTTTGATCGAAATATAATTAATTCTTGCGTGCAACACTGCGATGGCAGGTGAGTGACTCACTCCGGAATTTGATAAAGGGCAAAGTGGGATGTCGAAGGTTTTTCCGATGTATTTATGCCTAAGGCATGAACGACCCTACTCCTGCTATAGGTCCAACATAATGGCTGCTCACATTGCTCTTCGTATCATTGAAGGAACTCGATATTCACTCTAGAGCTAAGTTGTGTCTGGCTATCTCGCCGCAGTCATCCACGGCATAGTTATCCGGCAGACTAAGATTGTTTGCCAGGAACATGTCTTTGTATCCCCAGATTTTCTGCTATGCACTGCTCGAGCATCAAGTCGGTTTCTATACCACAGATTACTTGCAACAAGAGGGCTCCTGGGGCTTTATGCTCATCATGTACAGTTAACCAATATAAAACATCACACTCAACTTGATAAATGCACAAGTTGTTCTCTCTACTAAATGATCCACATTCAGTGTATACCTCGCAGTATGTCATCTCATTGAATTCATCCGAAGAGCAGGACATTTATAGCTCGGTGCAAGCCCTCTAAAAGACAGACTATATCGTGCTACTGTCCTATACAGTCCATACACATCGTCACTCCAAATGAAGCAAGCCATCCCTCACCAACCCCCTCGCAACCTCCACCGTCCTCGGCACAATACCCCGGCTCAACTCCCCCCGTTCCCTCTCTAATTCTTTAACCTCGACACTTCCCGCTTCTAACTCAGGATGCGGCCATTCAAACGTAAATATAAGATATAGATCACCGTCCGGGGTCGTGGACATTATGTTTGACACGCGTTGGCCTGTTGCGGGAATGATGAAGTCGATCTGTACATTTACTCTTAGCCCCGCTATGCCCCTAAGTATAGGGATGATTATCTGGATACAGAGTACAGGGATGGGGAAATACATACCTTCATCGCTTCCACAAAGGAAACCCTCTCCTCAACACCATTTCCACCCTTCTTATCATCCCCATCGCCCCTAAACCAAACCCTCCTTGTCAAACCGCTCTCATCCTCAGATACTATCTCCGATTTCTCAATAACCGGAACGAATTGTTTCGGATCACGCGCTTTGAGCACGAGGGCGGTCCAGAGGTCTTCTTTTGAGAGCATGGGAGTGGTGTCTGGGGGGTTTACGGGGACGACCGTTGAGAATGATATTAGGACCATTGTTTTGTTGGCTAGGTTGGGTTGGGGTTGTGGTTTGATGAAGTTTGATGCGAGGTTGAGGTTGGTTGGTGAGATGTTGGAGATGTTGGAGATGGATGGGATGGGTGGGATGGATGGAATGCGATGCGATGCGTGCTAAGTATGCTGTGCTATGTTATGCTATCTTTGTAAGCATATTCCGCAGTCGTAGGATTGTCTCAGTTGCTGGTGGTATATTGTGTCTTGTAAAGGTTGGATCCTGATGTTGCAAAGAACAACGGGACAAGTTCATGCAATCCATTAACCACAACATGTGAAGATGTAAAGTACAATATATATATATATACACACAAAAGAAATGTAAATCTCCATAATGTCCATAATATAGCATAATCTGTAAAAACACATGGTATATAACCCGAACTAGCCTACCCCACAACTCCCTCGTCAGCCTGGTCAGCTGGATATAAACCAGGCGAATCGAGTACCCTCACGCATTACCAATGGTCAGAAGTGGCACAAAATACATAAACCTATGCAAGGTATGAAACCTGTATAAACCTGTCATATCACCAGCGCCAATAAAAACACAAAAGTAGATAACAAGCCGAACAAGCCGAGCAGAGGTGACATGACGAACATCGACGATGGAATAAATAGAATGATCAGAAAGTAAAAAAGGGCAAAAATAAAGGTATAAGACGCAAATAAGTATCCCCCATAATCCGTGGCCAACCTGAGAAACGAAGAAAAAAAGAATAGAAAAAAAAAACATAAGCAATTATCCGCCGTGATAGATAAAATGGACCCGCGATTTTGGTGTATCCTCCACTGTTTTCATCTTGCCTCGCAAGCGGGTCTCGTCGAGTGGTGTAGAACGTCCGTTGCGCATGAACTCCTTTCCAGACGTTTCTCATTCCTCCTTGCAAAACGATTCCCGTAGACGTCGTGAGTGGCGGTATATGATATCCATGCCATGCCATGAGAATATTATCCAAGAAATAAAAACATAAGTAAGAAAACAGAACCACCCAACATAGTTGTGGCTGTATCAATATAAAGGCCAACAGGTTGGCTTTGGTGCCCCAACCCGTGTCCATGCCGTGGTATATGAGAAGTGTATGACCCAACGGGTCATAATGTAATCGAAGAGCCCTGAGGACTACCCACGTCGACGCTGCAGTTGTTGACCAATCCGCAGAGCTTCAGTGCCATCATCGATAAAGGTCTCTTTGAACCACGGATGTTGCAAGGCCTGCTTGGCCGTAATACGGTTCTTGGGGTCGTAAACAAAGATGCGCTGTAACAAATCCAGGAACAACCGGTGGAATTCGGTGTTGGTCGGGATGAATTCCTATACTCATTAGCAAGGTTCCAGAACAGAATGGAGAAGACGTACTGCAAGTTGTTTCATGGCCCTCACGTACTTCCGCGAGGCTCGGGTCGTGTCATTGTTTGGATAGTCGAGTTTTCCTCGGTTGAAGTATCTGTTTGGTTAGCAACGTAAACGGCAGAGAGAGAGAGATAGAGATAGAGAGAGAGAGAGAATGAGAATGACATACTTGGCGGCTTGATTTGAGCTTCCATGGCGTCCGCCCTGCATAACTTGTTTGACAATCCGAGACTCGATCTTATGGCCAATGACGCATTCCATCATGGCCAGGTGCTCGAGGTTGTCGTGCGTCTGGAAAAGCGCATCGCCCGTGAAGAACTCAACAAGAATGCAGCCGATACTCCAGATGTCACAGGGGAAACTCCAACCCAAATTGAGAATGATCTCCGGTGCCCGGTAATGTCTAGTGGAAACCACGGACGAGTGGTACTCGTCGTCGAAGGTGGCAGATCCAAAATCGATCAGTCGAATCTCACTATCCAAGAGGACGCGTCGTTGACGTGCTGTTCGCGATGTTGCATGCGAGGAGGATGGGATTGTTCGGTTGTAGGTGAACGTTTGGTACGCATTGTTCACGAGCAGGATGTTCTCGGGTTTCAGGTCGGTGTGGATGAGGTTAAGGTCATGAAGGACTAAAAAGTTAGCATCCACAGCCGCAGAGCGGGAGGGGGGATTGCTCACAGGCTACACTTGTGAACAGTTGTCGTGCGAAATTTTGAATCTGAGTGCTGGGAAAAGGCACGAAACCGTTGCCCTTGAGGAAATCAAAAACACTCTGACCCAGAAGATCGGTTACAATGCAAATGTGGTTGCGGTAGTCGAAGCAATCGCGTAAGTGAATGCACTTATTCCGATTTGCCTTGTCGTTGGAGGACAATGTCGACAACACTCGGAGCTCAATCCTAGAAGCGTCACGGTACTTTTGGATCGAACGGATGATCTTAATCGCGCAGCGAGACCGGCGCTGCTTGTCATATGCTTCCACGACTTTTCCAAACGTACCCTGTCCGAGTAGTTTGATAATCGAGTCTGAAAAGTCAGCATCGGTATTTCACGGAGATTGAAGGCAACTCACATCGATCTGTGATCGGTGTATCCGGAGTGACCACATAGTGGCCATCATCATCATCATATTTTTCGTTCGTCCGTGCATACTAAACAAACAATCAGTAAACCAATCGAAATCATCCAGGGGGGGAAAAAGAAACTTACATCGCGGACAACCGGCACAGCGACATCCTTGGCTTTGATAGGCGGGTTTGGAGGAGGAACGTAACTCAGAAAAGCATCGCCCACCGCCTCCAACTCCCGTCGCTTCTGCTCATCGCGTGTGGATTTGCGTGTTGTGACGCGCTTCCGCTTTTGACCGATGTCTGCCTCCTCGTAGTAAACACCGTTATTCGTCCCAGTGCTCCCCTGCGAGCCCAGCGACGTTGGAGCGGTCGTGTGAAGCGAGGTCGTTCGGTCGGTTGACAGAGACGCCCCGGACGATTCCTCTCCGAATTGCTGCTGAGGATGGATAGAATACGACGGACGGTCGTAGTAGCCCACCTCGTATGCCGTATCCAACCCCGTCCGTCTCCTCTTGCCAGGCGGATGTATCATAGAACCATTTGGAGCAGGAACGGCAGAAGATGCGGTAGTGAGAGTGTGGGAGGGCGCCTTGGACTGCTCCGGTGGAGGGGTGTCATCGATGACGATGACCTCCTTGGGGATCCCGTTCTTGTAAAATTCACCCCAATCTGGATTCTTTTTCCTACCATTCTGGGTCGGAGTGGCCGCGGCGCTGTATCCGTTCTGAACGGAAGCCATTGTGGCCGGGGTGGAGGACAAAGGTGCGGGAGCAGTCGGGGGCGCGGCGAGTTTGGGGGATTGAGTATACGGGAGAGTTGTGGTCGTGGTGGATGCGGTCGTCGTCGTCGTCGGAGGCGGATTGATGGCGTAAGGATACGAGGAGGTGGCTAGACGAGCGGTGGCAGCAGCGGTGGTGGGTGGATAGGGAGGATTTGGCTGGTAAGTCTGCGGATGAGGAGGATAGGCGTAATGCTGCGGATGATGCGAAGCAGGATGTGTCGCGGTGGCCGTCGAAGGGGTCGACATAATGCACCACGAAGGACCCAGCCAGTTCGTGATGAACGGCGGATTTGGTAGAGAAATGGGTAGAGAAAGTGCACAGTGGTGCTGATAAAATGGAGGAAGAAGAGATTGGCAGTTGCCAGAGAGGAGAAAGAGGAGAGAAAGAGAGTGTGAGAGGAGGCGATTGTCGTCGGATTCGCTGAACCGTCCTTAAGAGTCGGCTAGAGAGAGACTCGAGAGATTCCAGAAAAGAAACCAGCGGGAGGCGAGTCAGAGACAATAGTACTTTTTTTCTTTTGTAAATAAAAACAAAACAACTGTACTCTGCGTAGTAAAGTCAAGAAAAAAGAGGAATGAACCAAGAAGATCAAAGGAGAAAGTACTCCGTAGAGACTCTCTCTCTAACTCTGTGTGTGTGGGAGTATCTGTTCCGGGCCTCTCTTTTTTCGCGATGCGTGGGGATGACGAACGAGAGCGCGAGAGGCGGTCGGCCACCGTGTTAGGACATCTCTTCGTTCTATTTGTTATATGGAATACACGTAGAGCACAAGTAGAGTAAAAGGGAAATAAAAAGAGGCAATGTGAAATGATGATGCTGAGTGATTATGGATTATGCGCACTGGCGCAGTGGCTCATGGGGCTGTTCAATCCAGAGTAGGTTTGTTCAAACACCAATTGCCCGCCCAGGACCCGATCTACATTATTGCAGCCAAATGGCACTGCAATTGACCCTTTTTAGGCTTGTTTCCAGCTACGGCGACTATTGCCGCTGTACCCTCGTACATACTTCATCCTTTTTCTATGCTTATACTCGGGTGTATTTTCCTCGCAAAATATATATACAAGTATATTGTACTACCATACCTGGCACACAGCGAATGCCTCAATTCTCTTTATCCTTGCATCCGTGGCGACGCGACAACGGCATTTGGGAATTGTCTCGCTCTCCGTACTGCAGCATGTCATGCGTTACCGCCCTAACCGCATTGGGTCTAGCTACGCCTGGTCCGGGTTAACTCCGGAGCCTTTTTCCTGTCCTATACTCTGCACTCCCGTACAATTATACGGATCAAGTGGTATACCAACTGTAGAGAGAAAATGTACATCCAGCGCTCTGTAAACGGGCAGTCAGAGTACCTTTTCCGAGGTGTGCATGCGTGTTGCGTTCCTGGCGTGCAAGGGATCTCGTGATGTAATCCCCGAGATCTAACCCGATACAGAAACTCTCCCCGTCCGTGCTATATTACAGTACACTATTTATATGAAGTCGATATTTCATAGATACGGTTCTACAATTAGATTCGTTAGGTATTCAACTAAATAAACAACAAGAATGACAATGCCGTGGTCGCACTTCTAATCCCCAGCAAAACATGCATCCATGAAATCAAGATACTGCACTGGCACCAGAACCCCATAGTCAAGAATAAACACAAGGTAAAAGAAAAGCAACCGTAACGCCAACGACCACGGTCTGCCTAGTAGCCGTGGGGAGTTAAGAGTGTTAAACAGGGAGAGGTACAGGGAAAAACTCGAGAATCGAAGGGAAAGCATCAATCCATTCGATCTTCTTTCAGGTCTTTGGAATACGCCTTTTGCACATGCTTCGCGCCTCGTCCATCGAGTTCCAGCATAAAAAGAACATCCCGAAGTTGAATACCAGCGCCCTTCTCTTGATCCTCCCGCCATGCCCCAAGTTGTTTGGGTGGAATGATGGTTGGCTCGCCGTTGCGGCCGCTCTTCTCACCGCCTGTACTGGGGGAGGCTGTATTGAGACGCGACGGAGTGCTAAAGCCACTGGCATTTGATCCGCCTCGGTTCAACCAAGAATACGACTTCTTGGTACCGAACACTCGACCGGACAGCATGCTGTTTGTGGCCATACGCGCCGTCTCAACGGACTGCTGGTGTTGCTGGGCCTCGCTGGCCTTTGCATCAACCATTTTTCTGGCTTCCTTCTTGGAAACTCCCTTCTTATCGAACCCAGGGGCTTTCTCCCCGATGGGCGTAGAAGGAGCAGACCCGGTGGGCTCTATCGATTCCGCCCGGTTTCCGGTGCTCTCCCCCAAGATGGCATTTTCGCTGCGTTTTGCACGCTTTTTAGCACGAATTTCTTCATTCGACACATCCCTTTCCATGAGCATACGGTACTTCTCAGGAAGTGGTCGAGTCGACGATTGGTCGGTCACAGAATGCGGCCCTAAAGATACAGGTTAGCAACAGTCAATCAACTCTGTCTGTTTAGATCGGCATACGTTTGAGTGAAGACGACTTGGGGCTTCCAGTCCCGTTGGCCTGTTCAGCGGAACGGGCCAAATCTTGCCACTCAACTGGCACCGCCCCATGTGAGTGTGCGCGCCGGGTTCTGGCAAGTGATGACGAATAGTCGACCACGTTTCTCAGCCGCTCTTCGCAGCATATCGACATGAGATTCAATATATCCACCAAAGGCGCGCCTTCTTGGTTCAAAATTGTCTTTCCTGTCCGCACAATGGATGAACCGTCTGGTCCTGTTACTTCGATCGGCTGTGGGCGGCCCGGTACCGGATGGAATAACCCTTCTGCGGGTATACGAACGCCAAGTTCAAAGCCGCGTCTCTGCAACTTTTGCTCAAGAAGTTTTGTTAGCAAGAAAGGCTCTTGCAGATGGTACTGCGCGCGTCTGGCCGCTTCGGAGTCCTCGCGAATCGGTCCGGTTTGGGTTCTATAAGGAGCGGGTGTTGGTTCGGAGTAGTAGGAATCCTGTGTTTTAATCTGCGAAGGCTCACTGAAGCTTGCTGTCGGAGTGGGTGTCCCAGCCGTAGAGGTTTGTGATGTAAAAGAGGTAGGGCCCTGTTGTAATTGCTGGTGCTGTTGTTGTTGCTGGGGAGGCGGCACCTGTTGAGCCCGTGGAGGAGGCCCAGAATAGCTACTTGTAAGAAAAGCCTCTTCTTCCCTGACATCAATACCAGATGATGCTAGAACATCCGTCAGTTCAGCAGCATCTGTCGCTTTCTCTGCTGGGCGAGATGGAGGTCCCATTGTGCCCGACGGCGGGGGCGGCGCTGGCGTTGGTGCTGTGCCGTTCATGTTTGTCCCGTTCATCATTGGCGACTGATTTTGTGGTAACTGAAGGGTTCCAAAGCTTGGAGAGGCATATGGTGATTGTGTCTGTGTCGGAGGGAGAGGGGAGAAAGGCTGTCGCTTCTGAGGTGGAATGCCACCATTCACTGGAGACGCCGGGTTGGGAGACGGGGAGGGGCCAGGAGGAGAGAAAGGTTGGGGATAATGCTGCTGGGGCTGTGTTTGCGCCATCTTGGTGAATGTATAGTTTTGATCTCGAGGGAAAAATTGCGCGATCTGCCACTTTTCAGACTCTGTCGCGGCCACCGAAATCGATAGTCGTCCGCGCGTTGGTCGTAGATGTGAGCAGACTGCTCGAACCGCCGCCACCACCAACTTTAACCATCTCAAGACATCGGTTCAGCAATAGTATAGCGATATGGAGTTGCTGAAGAGTTGCCGGCCAGCACAATAACCGATGCGCAGTGAATGAGTTGTGAGTTCGTCTGTCTTGTCCGCGGCGGGAAGGGAGCTCTGGCGGTTTCAAACGAGGTTTTTGCTTGGAGAAACGCCGCGGCAAGTCGGTCACGTGAGTTTATGTCAGCACCTTGTCGATCCGGCCGTCTCCAAGAGAAGCTCAACGTCGACGAGGTCAAAGGAGCAATCATTTCTTGTGCTGCTCATTTTTTCTTTATATATTTACGCGGTGGCTCGCCGCTTGTTTTGGCACTTGTCTTCTCAAGCCTGATTCCCTAAAGAGTCTTGTCATGGGCTGCCGTCCATCGCGCAAATTAAGATTCGGACAAAACCAGGCGGCCCCGACTTTCATTGTGTTTCCACCATCGTTTCGTTAGATCTTCGTCCGACATATTCAATGCTCCTCGGGCCTCTTTGCTGAGAGCATATCAGTCTTTTTTTTTTTTTTTTTTTTTTTTTTTTTTTCGGCGTCGCGTCATGGCCGCAAAGCGCAAGGCGTCGGCCTTGAACACGACAGTCGACGATGAGCCCGTCGACCCGTCCGATGAGCTTGCTTTTTACTGTTTAGGTGGAGGAAATGAAGTCGGCCGGTCATGTCATATTATCCAATATAAAGGGAAGACGGTAATGGTATGTGGCAATGAACCTTCAAGGTCCAGTGAGCTTAGGAAGACTGACTGGTTGGTACAGCTTGATTCAGGAATGCATCCCGCGAAAGAAGGCTTCTCCTCACTGCCGTTCTTCGACGAGTTTGACCTGAGTACAGTTGATATTCTCCTGATTAGCCAGTACGTGGAATATACCCTTCCCCTTCCCAAGACCTTGGCGCACAATCATACTGGATTGTCACGAGAAGCGACAAGGACAACAAGATCTCCGGTCATTAGTGGAGGAGTGCTATACCTCAGTGATACAGGCTCTATGTCTCCGCATGTACATCAGAAACACAATAATAGACTGTTCCTGCGTCATCCTGTTTCCTGTTTTGTATCGGTATTATTGCATGCGCATTATGAGCCAGAGGACGCATTCGTAATGATGGCTAATCTGTGTTGGTCTATAGTTTCCACGTTGACCACTCGTCCGCCCTCCCCTATGTTCTCAGCAAGACCAACTTCAAAGGCCGTGTTTTCATGACACACGCCACCAAGGCCATCTACAAATGGCTCATCCAGGACAATGTCCGTGTGAGCAACACGGCATCATCGTCGGATCAGCGCACAACTCTATACACCGAGCACGACCATCTGTCTACCCTTCCGTTGATTGAAACAATAGACTTTAATACGACGCATACGATTAATAGCATCCGCATCACTCCTTTTCCCGCTGGACACGTTCTCGGTGCTGCCATGTTCTTGGTTTCGATTGCTGGTTTGAATATCCTGTTCACAGGAGACTACTCGCGGGAAGAGGATCGCCATCTTATCCCGGCTGAAGTGCCCAAGGGTATCAAGATTGATGTCCTTATTACTGAATCGACCTTTGGCATTTCTTCGAATCCACCGCGCCTGGAGCGTGAAGCAGCCCTCATGAAGTCGATCACAGGAGTTTTGAACCGTGGTGGCAGAGTTCTCATGCCGGTATTCGCGCTGGGTCGCGCACAAGAGCTACTACTGATTCTTGACGAATACTGGGAGACACACCCTGAACTTCAAAAGATCCCCATTTACTATATTGGTAACATGGCCCGAAGATGTATGGTGGTCTACCAAACATATATCGGTGCCATGAACGACAACATCAAACGCCTCTTCCGTCAACGTATGGCGGAAGCAGAAGCCGCTGGCGACAAGAGCATCAGCGCTGGTCCTTGGGATTTCAAGTTTGTCAGAAGTCTTCGGAGTCTCGAACGGTTTGATGACTTGGGGGGGTGCGTGATGCTTGCTTCGCCTGGTATGCTGCAAACAGGAACGAGCAGAGAACTGCTAGAACGATGGGCTCCGAATGAGCGCAACGGAGTCGTCATGACCGGTTACAGCGTTGAGGGAACAATGGCCAAGAACTTGCTTAATGAACCCGAGCAGATTCCGGCTGTCATGTCGAGGACTGCGGCTAGTGCAGCACGGAGGGGAGTGACTAATGGTGGTGGTGACGAAGAGCAGAAAGTTATGATCCAGAGAAGGTGTACCGTAGATGAAGTCAGTTTTGCAGCTCACGTTGATGGTGTTGAGAATCGCAACTTCATCGAGGAGGTTGCTGCGCCTGTTGTGGTAAGTAGCCTGGACACAGCTGTACAACTGTTCTGAGACGATAACTGACTCGTTGCAGATCCTTGTCCACGGAGAAAAGCATCAGATGATGCGTCTCAAATCCAAACTTCTCAGTCTTAACGCCGACAAAACCGTCAAAGTAAAGGTCTACACTCCAGCAAACTGCGAAGAAGTCCGCATTCCTTTCAAAAAGGACAAGATCGCAAAGGTCGTCGGCAAACTCGCACAGGTTGCACCTCCTTCAGAGCAAGACGATGGTCATCTCATGGCCGGTGTCCTCGTGCAGAACGGATTCAACCTGTCATTAATGGCACCTGATGACCTCCGAGAGTACGCGGGTCTGACAACCACGACGATCAATTGCAAGCAGCATATCACCCTGAGCTCCGCAAGTATGGACTTGATCAAGTGGGCTCTTGAGGGAACATTCGGAGCCATTGAGGAGATCAGCGATACTTCCAAAGCCGAAGTCAAGAAGGAGAAGGTGGATGGAGAAGAGCAGAAATCCAAAGAAGAGGCTGCAGACGAGGAAATCCCGATGGAGAATACACAAACATACTTGGTTATGGACTGTGTGATCATCCGGTACAACGCTCGTACTCGTGAGGTTGAATTAGAATGGGAGGGCAACATGATGAACGACGGTGTTGCAGACGCAGTCATGGCTGTCCTGCTCACGGTAGAAAGCAGCCCTGCGTCTGTGAAACGTACGTCAACTTATCCTCAAACGAATGAAATCGGCTACTGACAATCACAGAATCCGCCAAACACAAACACCATCACCACCACGACGAAGACATCGACCTCCCCAACCCCCACTCCAACCCTGGCCCTGAAGAACGCTTCACCCGCCTCCTAATGATGCTAGAAGCTCAATTTGGCTCCGACATCTCCCCCATCGAAACGCCCCGCCTTCCAACCGAAGTCACAAACACATATCTAAAGAAAGAGCCCGAAACCGAAACCGCCATTCCAGAAATCAAACAAGAAGACCAAGAAGAAAAAGAAACAGCAACTCAGGACTCAGACCGCCTCGCAGATCTCGAAGCAGCCGAGCTCGCTCGTCTGCAGGCTCTGGGTATCCCTGTTCCTGGGATCGAGATTAAGGCTGATAAACATATTGCCAGGGTTTGGCTTGAGGATTTGGAGGTTGAATGTGCGAATGCCGTGATGAGGGATCGGGTGAGGGTTGTTGTTGAACGGGCTGTGGAGACTGTTGCAAATATGTGGACGGAGGGGCCTCTGGCGGCGGGACTGGCAAATGGGTCTAAGACTAAGATGGAAGAGAGTATGAAGATGGGAGTTGAGGCTAAGGCTTAATTTTTCGGTTGTTTTTGTTTTGTATGATAACCATTTCCGGGGATAGATACCCAGTTATAACAATTTAGTCGGGTTTGGATTAAAAATTCTCATTATCTCAGGCAAAGCTAGTAATATCCTGATCCTAATTGATTCCCCTGAAAACATCTTCGACAACTCTCACTGTAGTATCAATGATAAAGTCAACCTCTTCCTTGGACACATTGTAAGGCGGCGCCAGAAGAACATGATCTCCTTGGACCCCATCCACCGTTCCTCCTCCAGCATATAGCGAGATGTTGTATCCCGGAGACAGCCCTGTTTCTAAGACCCGCGCTGCGATACACATTGCTGGGTCGAAGGGCTCCTTTGTAGTTTTGTCCTTGACAAACTCGATCTGTTCATGTCAGTGGTTGTAGCCATAGTAATAGGGTACTTGAGAACGTACACCCCAGAACAACCCCTTCCCTCTGATATCGCCCACATTTGGATGCCCACTGACTCTCTGCTTCAGTCCTCTTTCCAGATAAGCACCCATATCCCTTACGTTCTCAAGTAAATTCTCCTCTTGAATAACCCTCTGCACGGCCAACGCCGCCGCACACGCAATCGGGTGCCCCTGGTACGTCTGTACATGGCGAAAGGCCCCAGTCCCCTTGTCCAGGGCCTGTACAATACGGTCTCCAATCAATACTCCCGCGACGGGAGCATAGCCACCACCAAGACCCTTGGCGATTGTTTGGATATCTGGCACCACGTCTTCTTGCTCCCATGCGTGTAGAGTGCCACAGCGACCCATGCCGCTCATGACTTCATCAAGAATAAGGAGCGTGTCGTAGCGCTCGCAGACAGATTTCATGGCTTTAAAATAGCCTGGGAGTGCAGGAACACAGCCGAGGGACTGTATACAGCTGTTAGAATTATTGTCTCCCTGCATACGAGAGGGTGTACTGGTACGTACCGCACCAACGACCGGCTCTGCAATAAACGCGCACACAGTATCCGGCCCAACACGCTGAAACTCTGCATCTAGCTCTGCCGCTAGACGAGTGACGTAGTCCTCGTCCGATTCACCTTCATTCTTCCCGCGGTAGGCGAAGCATGGAGAGACGTGGGAGATATTCTGCGCCAGGAGAGGTTCAAATGGCTCGCGTCTGAGGAAGTTACCTCCTGCTCCTAGGGCACCAAGTGTAATTCCGTGGTAGGATGGACGCCGGGAAATGAATCGTGTACGTTGGGGCTGCGGTGTGGGTAGCTCGAGGTAGTATTGGCGGGATAGTTTTAGGGCTGCTTCTACCGCTTCGGAACCTTTTCGATGTCAACTCACGTACCACTAAGAAAGGAGAGGGAATAAAAACCAGAACTGGCAACATAGAGCTTTGAGAGCTTTCCACCGGTTGAGTCAACAAGCAACCTAGCCAGATCTTCCGAAGCCTTTGTTCCAAAGAAAGCCGAATGGCAATATGACAACTCATTCATTTGTTTAATCAAGGCCCTTTGGACTTTCTCATTGCCATGACCCAAGCAAGAAACGGCAGCACCACCGGTAGAGTCAAGCACTTTCTGACCATCTTCGAGGAAGATGTAGCTTCCTTTTCCGCCGATGGCTTTCTTGGGGATGAAGCGGGTATCTCGATGGAGGACGGCGCTAGTCAAGGAAACCACTGCTCAGCTGTTAGTGGTTGATCTAAGCCTTGTCATGGAATCGAGTTTACTAGTTTGAGTCATGGTTGCACGGCAAGTTTGTTTGAGATAAGTAACCAATCACCAGAGTAGCAATCGATATGCTCAGTCTTGGATTCTGACCAAACCATGATCAAACTGGACGGCACTTCAGTCCTCTTATAACTACACCATCTGTGTCCCCGACTTACACCCGTTATCTAAGTGCTTCGATTTATATTTGCGGGGTAAAGCGGAGTCAGAAATGCCGATGCATGCTCGGTATCCCGATGTCAAAACTCCCGAGTCTAGCACTGGCTGATGGCGCCGTGATATCGCCGATGGACGATGTGAAGCATGTGTTTCTGACAATAGTTAATGACCGATTGGTTGTTAAGCGTCGATATGGATTGATGACCTCGGAGTTGATGGGTTGCCGAAGTGAGTCACTAGTTGGGCTTCAGTAGATGTATACTGCTTTAAGCATAGTCCAGAATATATCCCTGCGTCGGAGCAGTAAGATGATTTTAGTTATTCCAAGCCCAAAGCATTAGTGAGAAATTTAAGGCCAGAAACCGAGACAGTAGATATTTTTCTGGATAATCTGGGTTTGATTATATAGTTCTAGTATGGCCATCGCTAAACCCCAAATAGGAAAGGCCACAGCTGCCAAGCCAAGTCCTCCGCAAAACCTCCGCAGGCAACACTACCGCCAACTACACCACTTCTCCAACACAACCCACACCTCTCACCAACTGAACAACAGAGGTCTCTTGTAGTAAAAAAAAAAAAAATACCATGTCGCGACAAGCACAGGTCGAAGAAGTTTACGACTCCGACCCCGAAGAGGTCGCTCCCTCTTCCGACGATGAGCTACCTCCCCCCCTCACAGATCAATCCATCCTCTCTGGTGCTGGTGTTCCCCCACCTGGAGGCTCTGCTTCGATCCCAATGAGACCCGCCCCCGAGCCGCAGCGCGAAATCCCTAGACACTACCAGTGCTTGTACCCGGTTTACTTCGACAAGACCCGGTCGCGGGCAGAAGGCCGCAAGGTTGGAGTTGAATTGGCGGTTGAGAACCCGTTGGCGAGAGATATTGTGGATGCTGCGCAGATGTTGGGGCTACAGGTGGGATTTGAGCCAGAGAAGTTACACCCTAAGGATTGGGCGAATCCGGGACGGGTGCGGGTGTTGTTGAAGAATGAGGGTGGGAAGTTGGCGAATCCCAAGATTAAGAACAGTATGTTTCTATGTCATTCTTGTTGATGGTTTGTTGCTAATTATTCAGAACACCACCTCTATATCCTCGTTGCGCAATATCTCAAAGCCAATCCCACCACCGAGCAATCACCTTACCGCTTGAGAATCAGAGGTCTCCCCACTCCCGAGAAACTCCCCGCTGCTCCCCAAGCCCCCAGAGGTTGGAAAATCGGCAAGATCCTCCCCATACACTCCCCCGCTTACAGTGGTGGCGGCGTTAGCGACAATCCTCTCAAGGACGCTATGGCAGAGATGCAAAACCTGCAGGGTATGCCTGGGATGCCACAAATTCCAGGAATGCCGGACATGTCGGCAATGATGGGCGGCGAGCCGTCGTCCGCAGGCGGTGGCGAGAAGAAGAAGAAGGATAAAAAGAAGGGCAAGGCATGAGGGTTGATCATGATATCTTTCCATAGGTTGTTTTTGTCTTATTGCATTGTACAGGCGAAAGGCGTTTGTTTTTCCAATGATAGAGGGCATGCTGTTCTCGATGCCGATGGAATGAAAATGATTGGGAACCTGGAAACAGGTCCGACGTGCTTATCGTTGAGCCACCACAGATCTGTTGCTTTATCTTTACCTCCATTACACCACTGATTAAGAGGTGTCTGTAGCTAGCTTGCTCAAGCAAACGGTGAATGACTGCGTCTCGTCTAAGATTTCTCCGTTCAGAACCCTTCTTCCTGTACCTCATTCATTCCACTACTAACTATTAAGCAAACCACCCATTTACCTCCATCTTCTCATACTATTATGGTCTTCAACGGTGTGCTGATAATGGCACAACAGAAGTTAGGAGTCAGCTCCATAAGTGTCCGGTTTACCCAGACGCCTGAGACTGGATGAGTGCGAAACTGCAGAAGCAACCGTGCTTCCACAGCGTACGGCTTCGTTACTAAGCTCTCGGTCTCAATGAGATGGCCACCGAGTATGTTCAGGTGAACAAGAAGTATGGACAAAGATGAGGTCAAAGATACCTCAGAAATACTATGGTGGCGGTGTCCATCTTTCATCGAAAAAACTTGCGCCTCGCAGACTTTAAACGGATACAAAGCACATGAAAGGCTCCGCCAGACACCAATATCTGTTATCAACGAAGGCAGAATTGAAATTGCAGTCTGGATACGACAGGCCCTATGCCTGCTTAATTCATCTCCACAGTCGCAGGGAAGTGGGTTCACAAAAGAGACATCTATGCTGGAGAAGAATAAGCGAACTTCCATACCTGCTACAGTCGGCATAGCCGCGCCGTATCTGGTAGCTCTCGGCTCCAACCAAAGAACGTGCCAGTCGCTCCAGAACGCTTAGTGTCTATATGCCCACCTGGCGGCAAACAGCCCAGGGATTCAAACCGGATCTACTGCCGGAACTCCTACCTCTCCACAACATCAACAAGGAAATGAACTATGGTCGTGCTGCGTGTGCGTATTTTGAGCGCCATGAGCAGCAAAATGTCGACCAAGCTATCCCGTCTTCGCCTCGGTATTACTACTGACGGCAGCCTACGAGAGAGCGATGACTCGACGAAATATTCCATCAGGAATTTGCCCGAATCACAGTGCCTTTACACCATCTAACACATCTTATAACAATGCTGAGATGCATGACGGATGCTGCTGCCTTTGACACGATAAAAGCCTAAGCACTTATAACAGATCTAGAGTACCAGAACAGGCTGACTAGTGCAATGCACTAATCCCACCCCCCTTCTGCGGCAAAGCAGCGAATGGAAGCGGGTGACCCCGGATACATAGCCGAATAGCACAAAGGTATACTCGGCTGAACACCTGCGATTCTCCAGAGCCCTAGATACTCGTGATGGTCGATTTTTCGGCTGCGTCAAACGAGCAGCAAGAGGCTGCCAGCCCTTCAATGTTGGTTTTGCTTATCTTGAAACACAAAATAACTTCACAGTTAGCTTCCGAATGGTCGAGTGGCGCTGGTGAGTGGAACATGGAGTCCCGTGCAGAGGTAGGGGGCCACGCAGATGTTAATAAACCTCAAGAAATGAAAGGACGTCCAACAAGACATGTCATTGCCTATATCTTTGCCAGCCACAAGGCCAAACTAAACACTGCATCAGAAGATGTTGTTCAACAAAGAAAGCCCGAAGTGGGTGTAGTTTGTCGACACTTCCGATATAGAGCTGCGCCATAGTGGTTTCATTGCAAGCGTGAAGCTCTTCTGGCTCTATTGAAATGTTCCTTGACACCTGGAAGGAGATCCAAAGCAGAGTATGTGATTATGTCTAATAGGAGAGATCGAAGCTGTATTTCATGGCAATAAATAGAAACTGTGTATTGAAACACTAGCCCAGATGCATATACAGTTACATATACGTAGTTTAAGCAATACAATATGCACCACAATGTCACTCCATGCATTGCTGTCAACGAACATGAAGTATGTTATACCCTCACACTTATTGGCCAAACCCCGATACGATAAGATCCCCGGGCGGAGCCAAGATCAGTCATCCAGTCCCCAACTCGGCAATTCGGGGGGTACACTACGACCATGCCATCAGTCCAGCAATTCTCTTGCCGCACGTCTTGCCATTCCTAGACTGAATTATCGCGTTGCGCATGCGCTTCAATATCTCTAATGCGCAGTCTAGAAATCACCAGGCCAACGGAGTACGGATACGGTCTTGTCGATGGAGTGAACCGACCCCCGCCACGGTGACCGAGGTTACTGCATGGTAGCGAAGACACCATGGACCAAAGCCCGACAGACAGTTATGTCGATTCCGGGATTTGGAATCGAGACCCAAAACCATTTCAGGATTCCACATCGACTACGAGCAAAAGTAGAGGAGGTGCATCGACAAGTGGTCGACAGATCACGCGCAATCGCGCCAGTTATAGCTGCCACAGTTGTCGGCGGCGGAAGGTGAAATGTGATAAGGTACGTGAGGCCTTCTGGGTTGGGGTTATACGTGTGTCGCATACTGACTTGTTCAGGTCCATCCAGTATGCGGGAATTGTGCGAAGAACGGAAACGAATGCGTATACGATGCCGCGCCACAGAGAGACACCGGATCGCGCTCGAGACAAGCAAAAGGTGGTGGACAAGGAGTCAAACGGAGGAGGGAGACATCGCGGCCATTTGAGGAGGACGTTGATGAAATACAATCCATTTACGGCGATTTACGGCAGGCTAGGTCGCCTGAACAAAAGCCTGGTTCGCAAGCGATTGAGGCGCGACTCGCCAACCTTACGTCGATGATTGAACGCCTGAGCAAGTCCAACCAGCCGCTCGATTCTACGGAAAGACAACTTTTAGCGGAGGATATCAATCTGGAGACTGCCCCGGGGCATACTGGACAAAGTAGCGGACAGGCGAAGCCGACTATGGCTTCTCGTCCTGCTAGCCCGCGTCGCGTGACTGATTCGAGCAATGATGAATTTCCGATTCCCTCTGGGCATGCGACAGATCTGGTCGATCCTGTGGGTAGCTTGAACCTGGGCCATCTGAGTCTCGAGGATGGAGGGAAATCGAGATACGTCGGCACCACTTATTGGGCTTATATATCGCAGGAAATCACCGACCTCAATCAGTTGCTAAGAGACCAGAACCGCTCACATGCGATTTCTGCCAACAACAGCTGGACCGACGAACCAATGGCGGATTCAACAGCCAAGACGCCAGGAGATACATGGAAGGCATCTGACGGGTCTAGCGGACCGAGTGACCGATTATCGAGCGGAAACACGCCCCAGAAGCTGTTTATTTCTCCTGGAGAATCTCCAGATGTGAAGGAGAGATTAGTGGAGCCGGAAATGCTCGAGCGCATGCCAACCAAGCGACAGAGTCATATCTTATACAAAGGGTTTATGTCGGGTGTACATGCTATTAGTCCGGTTATTCATCCGCCTACGATTTTGAAGTTATACAATGCTTTTTGGGATTGGTACGATTATAGCAGTTACTCTGGAGAGCCATGTCCAGATCCTTCGTTTGTTCCGTTATTATATGCCATTTGGTATGGTGGTTCAGTCACCGTGTCGATGCGGACTCTCCAGGCTGAGTTCAATGTTAACTCTCGATCCGCGCTTTCAAAAACATTCAACGAAGAGGTGACGCGGTGGCTGACTAAAATATCATTCCCACGAAGTACATCATTACAAGGCCTGGCAGCATATCTATTGGTTCAGACCATTCTTTCCAAAGAGGAAGAACCCTTAACCAGCAGTCTTTTTATTAGCCTTGCCATGCGTGTCGCGCAAACTATGGGCTTACATCGGGATCCAGCAAAATTTGGCATCGAGCCCTGTGAAGCCGAATATCGCCGTCGGTTATGGTGGCATATCGTGCACATGGACGGCGTCGTCGCGATGTCCAGTGGATTGCCGCCACTGGTTAGTGATGAGAATTACTGGGATGTACGGGACCCCAGTGAGCTTAAAGATACACTCCTAGGCACACCCGAGGCAGAGCAATACGAGCAGCTTGTGTCTGCCAATATGCGGCTACGAGACAATCCAGATGAGCCGACAATTTGTGGCGGGCCATCTTTGGTGAATGTCTATTATTTGTCTGCTAGGGGGAAATATGTTATGGCGCGTACGTATCCATTCTTATAAGATCATCTATAAAGGCTAATTTTGGATTAGGGGCTGTTCGCCGGATATTAAAGATCCAGCTCGGAACCAAACCAGTAATGAGACGGGACATGGAAGATCTCAGATCCATACTCCTCGACCTGCAACTTCAACTAAACTCGATCGTGAATAGAATTCCAGACGTTATGAGTCTGGAGACGGCCTCTGTATCTGACGATTCACCGTCTTATTCCTCACGATCTCCGGTTGAAGTAAGGACCACTGATACAGAGCTTCCAGGTGAAGGGCCCAATCGTTGTCCGGAGCAATACCATTCTCCTGTTCTTGTTGCTTTTCACAAGTGGGCAAGGATATTACTGTCCTTATTCATTGATAAGGTTAGTCATCTTTACAGAGGGTGGCTCTGAAAAATGGGCTGACAAATAAGGCATTCTGCGTCGCATACCAACCATTTCTCAAAAACGCCAAAAGCCGTATCTGGCCATCCGCACGACAGAGGTATGCACTTACTCGACCGCACCCTAATTAATTCAAATTAGTCTAACGAAACAGCGCCCTCCGCCACTGTCACGGCTTTATGGAAAAGTTCATCTCCCTCGCCAGCGACCCCGACTTCCAACCTTTTCAATGGAGCTGGCCCGGCAACCACCAACCCATGCACGCAACAATGATCATGCTCATCGACCTTTACGAACGTCCACACAGCCAAGAAGCCTTTAAATCCCGCGCTCTCATAGATCAAATCTTCTCACTCTCCGGACCTGACGGTGGCGTTGTCGGTGGTGAAGATGGCGTCTCGACACAACGACCCTTGAAGGACGGAGGCCGCGAAGCATGGGATATGATTCGACGTCTGCGCCAGAAAGCATGGCAGAAGGCTGGTCTTAACCCGCAACGGCTCTGGACTGAACACGCACAGATTCAAGCAGGTGTTGTTCCTGGGCCGGATGAGTACTCGTGTTTCGCGGATTCGAGACAAGTGCCGGTGGACCGACAGTTATCGGACTTCTCGAAGACGTTCCACAATATGACAAGGAATCATATGCTTCCAAACCCTGTGTCGAGCGTTAGACCTAGTCCGCTGCGTTACCAGCTTCCTCCACCGATACCGAGTTCTCTTCCGGCTACGCCACAGTTTCCTCATTCCCCGGGTGCTGCACCACTACCACCTCCTACCCGTTCTCTCGATGCGACTTTAGCCGGATCCACTGTGTCATCGCCGGAGAGTCTCCCGCCACTAAGTACTATCTCTTACACACCACCGCAACAACCGCAATTACAACCCCAACCTCAACCTCAACCCCCCACCGGGGTAACAACCACCACACCACCACCAAGCGGCTTCTCCTTCATAAACACCCTCCCCTTCTCCCCAAGCGCACAATCAATATCTATGCCCACCGCAGTCCCCACACCCCCGTCAATGGTCGATCCGAACCTGAACAATTTCGACTGGGATCAGTGGGATGCAGTGTTTGGGCAGCATTTGCCTGTTGCGGATGAGTTGATGGAGTTGGATCCGGTTGTGGGGTTTGAGTTTGCGGATATGGGGGGTGCGGGTGCGGGTGGAAACGGGGGTGGGTTTTGATTGATACCTTGTTTTGCAATTTTATTTGTTGTATATAGGTGTATGAATATGTTCATGTATATAACCTCAAATCAGTCTTACTAATATCATTATGAAAGAAGAAAGTTTTATCTATTAGGCAGAGAGCAAGACGTAACAATTCATGAGGCGTGACTGGCAGGATACGAAAAGATGCGATATAGCTAAATAAACAAAATATCCAGGAGGGCGAGCGGTAGGAAGACTCAGACAGGACTACAGCAAGGTCCATATATCCGTATCTTGGTCCCTTGTCCCATCTCACTTTTATTAGGTCGTTTCGCATTTTCCTCATCAAGGTTAAACTTGATTGACCAAGTTTAGACCTTGACCTCCTCGAGACCGTGCTTCCAGAGGGTGGCGTAAGGGGTGACACCGTCCTCGCGGAAATCGATCAGGACGTGCCTGTAGATGTTAGTGGAGTTGTCCAGTCGGGATAGTGTGAATTGAACATACATAGCATCACCGTCCATGGCCTTGCCCATGAGAATGTCGTAGTTGTCGTAGTTACCGAGGATCTTCTTAACAGCGGCGGGAGCACCAGCCTTGAACTCATCGATCTTCTCCTTAGGGGCACCCTTCTCGGTGAGCTTGGTGAGGACCTTCTTCATGTAGACTTGAAACTTTGTTAGTAAAATAACTCCTTATCACGCGTAGGTAGCCACGGCGAACTCACTCTTGAGGTGCTGCTTGAAGGCGTCCTTGGAAGGCTTCATGCCCTCCTCGGCCTTGAGCCAGACGAGCTGGAACTGGTCCTCAATGTCGTGGACCATGACGGCCTCACCCTCACCACCATCGTCGTTGGCCTCCTCAGCAGAGGGGTTGGCGCCCTCGAGCTGGAAGTCCTCGTTCTTGCTCTTGAGGTACTTCTTGCAGTCGCACTCCCAGAGGACGGGGCCAGACTCCTGGATCTTGAAGGTGTCGGCGAGGAGTTCGTCTCCGGAGATGAGGTCCTATCGATGAATTCGTGTTAGAGATATGTTCGTTGATATGCTCATTGGAATATTGGAGAAACGGTTTTTTTATTATTTTTTTTTTCTTGCCCCTCCGTGAGAAACGTGGGGTCAGACACAACATACCGTGTAGATAAGCATTTTGACGGGATGAAGAGAATTAAGTGCCTAAAACGACGACGACAACAAGAAGACCGGAAGAGAAGATATGAAGAGAATAAGCGGGCTGGAAAAAGAAAAAGGAAGAGAAAAAGAGAAAAGAAAAACCATACAGAAGAGGGGAATTTGAAGTTTTAGTGGCGCCTCCAAAAGCGGTATAGCGGAATTTATTTTTTCGGGGGCGCACTAGTCTGTTTTGGAAAGATCGGGACTGTCAGCAATTAATACAAGCACATAGTTAGGTTTATTTCAAGTGTGTTCCGAAGTTGAGGGTGTAGAATATATAACCACTGGCTCTGCAAATACGGAGACACCTGCATGCCTCTTGTAACTGCAACATCTGATGTTGTTTGCCTGAAGACTTAGGCCACTCTGAAAAGGAGACCATCGGTAACATACGGTGTGTTACACTGTAACTTTCCTGAAATCCACATGTCCTGGCATCAATACCCGTCCTGTACCGTACTGTACCACGCCGATTAGATAAGCCGATCGGCTTCGACGACTTCTTGTGGTGCCACCGCTTTGGGATGGTTCCTGACACTACTACGGAATACTGACTTTCTTCTACTCTTCATCTTCAACTTCTAATCATTCTTCTTTTCATCTCTTTTGTCCTTATCATTCCTTTCCTTAATCTGAAAAACTCGTGCTGGCATTACAATCTACGGCTTTTTCCCGGTGTTCGGAAGCTGCGGCTCATACCTGTTACTGCCGCTATTCCCCTGATCGTATCCGCCTGAAATACCTCACTTCTTACTCATTTCCTAATATATTGCGCTCATTCTCCTAATATACACTTTTGGTCGCCGGGATACCTAATCACACTTCTTTCGACCACTACTATTCGACTTTACCTCTCCCGTGTATACGTGCCGTCGACATTCGCGCCCGAAGATCCTAGGTCATCCGCTTCTTCACTCGCCGATTTCTATGCGCTGATTCTTTTTATTCGACTCTCGCACCGTCGCATGCTCGTCTTTTAAAATGGCGTCCAATACTTCGGTCGTTTTCGACCTTCCGCCTCTTCCTTCGTATACCTTGACCCCTCGCGAACCTCTCCTTGCTCCGATCTCCGATAACATACTCTCGTTGATTCTGCCGATCGTCGCCTATTGGGGTCTATCAATGGTTTATCACCTCATCGATGTCTACGATCTTTTCCCGCAGTACCGTCTACACACGCCCGCAGAGGTCCTCAAGCGAAACCATGTCACGCGCTGGCACGTGGTTCGAGATGTCGTCCTCCAACAGGTCGTTCAAACAATTGCAGGTTATGCAGTGAGCTATTTCGATGAGCAGGAGTGTGTTGGAAAGGAGGAATACGATGTCGCTGTCTGGGCTCAACGCATCCGCATTGTCCAGAGGGTGCTGCCTGGTTTCTTGGCTCTGTTTGGAATTGACGCATTGGGACTGGCCAAGAATCTGTCCCGGAGCGGCCATACGATGCTTGCCGGAGCTCTGTCGGGTGGAAAATACCCTGGAATGACGCAGTCGATTATCCTCGAGTCTGGCGTGGAAGCCATTGCTCCAGCTTTCACTGAATGGGAGATGACCTTGGCTAGTTTCGTCTTTTGGTACTTTGTTCCGTTTGTGCAATTCGTCTGGGCTATCAGCGTCGTGGATACTTGGCAATACTTCTGGCATCGCGCTATGCATTTGAACCGCTGGCTATATGGTAAGCACTGCAATTGTCCGTGTTATGAGTGATCGGTTCTAACTGTCTCTAGTCAAATTCCATTCGCGCCACCATCGCCTTTATGTCCCGTATGCTTTTGGTGCTTTGTACAATCATCCAGTCGAAGGGTTCCTCCTTGATACAGCCGGTACGGGTGTGGGATTTTTGACCGCCCGGATGACCACCCGTCAAAGCATGTGGTTCTTCACGATGTCTACAATTAAAACCGTCGATGACCATTGCGGCTACGAGTTCCCTTGGGACCCCCTTCAGAAGATCACGTCCAACAACGCCGCCTACCACGACATCCACCACCAAAGCTGGGGTATCAAGAACAACTTCTCTCAACCATTCTTCATTTTCTGGGATCGAATGTTGGGTACCAAGTGGGAGGGCGATGTCAAAAACCGCTACGAACGGTCCCGGGAGAGCGCTCAGAAAAAGGTGGAGCAAGATGCAGCCGCCGCAGCTACCGCTATCAAGGAGCGCAGCGAAGGTGCAGTAGTCTCGGGAGAGCCAACTGACTCGAATGCTCGAACGCGCCTTCGCAGAAAGACCTTGTCCACCAGCGTTGAAGATCTCAAGGGTGTAACCCATGGTGTGGCCAGCAGTGTCCTCCAGGCCTAGGTTTCTTCTTCCATCATTGCATAACAATGGGAGTTTGTATCAGAAGGCTTGCATATTGCATTCTCTTTTGCCTCGCCTACTTGAGTATCCTCGGGGTTGCAGGACTTCTCCGGGAGATGGCGGTTGTTTTGCTTGTCTATATTTTATTCGCCTCGCTGTATTAATACTTTGGGCTGTTTGGCCCTGTACAACGTGTAATTGCTTGTTTTGGATGTGCGTTGATTGCAACGAAATTGGAATTAACGACTGTTAATGCATAATAATATATGTTTATTAATGCTTATTTATCTATTGGTTCTATTGAAAATACTGAAGACCATCAGACCCCATTTCTATTACCATTCATAAAATCTTTCGACGAGCTATCTCATCATCGCTTACGAAAAGACTCCACGTCGTAACCGGACGACCTGATTCTTTGGCATCCTCACCTTCAGATGTTTCCTGGCTGTACTCAGATTCAGAATAGCATGTCTCTTTCCCAATCAAATCTCGATAATCCATGGCCAGAATACCCGCGTCTGGGCCATCGCTCATATCTGGTCCTTCGAGCTCTATGGCTTCTATTTTTCTGGCCAAAGAATCAAGAGGACTTTTTTCGTAATTCACTACCTGGTCCCAGTCAAGCATGTCGCGGGACGGGATGGTGCCAGCTAGGGTCTGTTTTGCGTTGGAAGAATGTTTCTTGGGTGATAACAGACTGATGGGTGATACTGCAGTCGTATCACTAAGAAAAGGATCGGTTGATACCAGAGTCTCGTCCATATCTTCGTCTGGGGTTTCTTTGTATAGCGAGACGTTCTCTTCCGTCTCATCAGCCTCCGTGTTGGGTGCCTTGTCTTCTTCTGATTCGAGTCGCAAAGTACTTTGCTCAAAGCACTCCCTCTGCAATTTCGGATCCAGATGAACAAGGATAGACGCCGTGCTCGATTCCTTCGGTCTGCTTTCAACCTGCTCATACGAATGACGATCCCGTCTCTTCCTCGCGGCAACTTTCCTCGCCTCCTTAAAATCAATTGCCAACTGCCCGCTCTCATGCAACACCCTAAACGCCTCCCCATGACACTCAATACACCCCTCGATAAACCTCAACAACCTAGGTGACCTGGATTTCCTCCTCGTCCTCGTCCGACTCAAAATCGCAATCCGCAGATTCCGCAGGAACAACGGCTCCCCCACTATCCGCGCAAGCATACATGCCTCACATTTATTATAATGCTCCCCCGGCGCACCAATCGGCGCCTCACCATCATCCTCTGGCGATTTTTCTCCCCAAAGCCGTCGAATAGATTGGATCGAGCGAAGCAGTTTTATCTCGAACATCTCCAGACACTCAGCCCTACGATCCATCTTCTCCAACCGCCGCGTAACCTCCGCCTTGACCAAGTGAAATAAATGCCCGACAACATACGCATTTAGCCCACTATGCGAAGCACACAGCTCCGCCTCCCGACCGATATACTTCGGTATCATCTGCACCAGTTTATTCCGGCGGAGCGCGGGTGGGAGGAATTTGATTTCTTCTTTGAGGCGTTCGTTTGGGAGGATCTGGGCGGGTGTGGGCCGTGATATTTGGTAGACTGGTGGGTTCTCGAAGAGGAGAGTGCGTGTTAGGGCAAGGAGTTCGGTAGCCGTTAGGTCGGTTGTTGTTAGGGGGTAGCGGTGTTTGATGCGGCGGATTACTGCTTTCTCCATGGCGTGTCGGTTGTTCTGGTTGTATGGATATGACCTTCCGGGGTATAGATGCTCGTAATAGTTCGCAAGTTGAGATGGACTTTAAATCAATATAAGCACTGCTACTTTGCAGTTTAGCGTTAATGGAACATGAAGAGCAATCCAATATGGCGATGGACATCATGACGACTAGGAAAATCAGTCTCCGTATATAGAGAGAGAAGCCAAAGAGCTCTATGCGCATAATGGTCCTTTGTCCTTTTGTCTGAGATGCCTTTTGTCTTGAATATCTTGGTTTTCTCATTAGGGCTTTGTTCTTCTGGCTAGCTGACAATGGCTTTGTGGAGACCAAGGATTTGTATGTCTTAGGAGGTTTATATCTGTACGATGATATGGTAATCATACTTCGTTTCTGAATCCAGTTAAAATCCCATTAAAGCTAGATACATCTGCCATTTTTTATTGACAAATAGATGTCCATCTATCCGTTGTAAGTCAAACATCGCAAAAGACATAACCTGGTTTCCAATATGACAAACTTTTCTTTCCCCTTGTAAGCTTCTTTCCCTCCCCTTTATTTCAATATCCAGAATTTCCAACAAAAGCGAAAAGCAAAACTCCAAAACATTATATCCAATCCAATCATGTTCATCCACTAATCCAAAAAATCCTCCGCAAACTCCTCGAAATAATCCACATCATCACTCTCCGCACCAGGCAACTCATCATCTGAGAAATAACTCTCCTGCGGTTCCGGATACGTCACATTTTCATTCGGTCTCGCCGTAATATCCTCCGCATACAGCTGCGGGCACGCCTCGAGCAACTCCTTCGCGCCGTCGATTTCGTCCCACAGATATTCGTCTTCGGGATGCATGATGCGGAATGGCAAGGATGGACCGAAAATTCCATTTCGGTCTTCTTTTGCGCTGGGGATAGGCATGTTCGGACGGGGGTACCGGACAAAAACGACCTGCGACCAACCATACCGCTGCTTACAGCTGAAATCGCCATACGCAAGAACCATCAAATTCGGCAGTCCATCCGGACTAAACGCCCATTCGACAAAGTTAAGCAACTCCATCATGTTGACCAGTTTTTTCATCCGTCGGTCCTGGTCCAGTGACATCCGCAGTGCGAGGTGAACTTTGAAGGTGTGTTCCGAGGGCATGCGGCGTTTGGGGCGGCGGAGGGACAGGGGAACGCATTTTTTGGGGAGACCGGCGATTTTGAGCTTGTGGAGGAGGTTGCGGGGGGTGTGATAGGGGCCTGTCATGCGGAGGTGGAGGAGTCTGAGGGTTTGGGAGGTTTGGGTTTTGTCGATGCGGGTGCGCTGGGGTTGTTACCTATGTGGTGTAAGAGGTTGGGTGGATGGGAGGGGGCTTACCAGGTCGCGAGGAATGATGTTTATGCCCAGAGCTTCGAGGCGGAGATTATCGAAGACTTGGTAGAGACGGTGTCTCCAGAAGAACGGACAATCGCGATTCTGACCCATAGCCAGCTTGTCATGATAGTGGTATGCTAGGCGCTTCAGAGTAGGTGCATGCTTGAGAATAGCCCACGGGGTACGCTCAGAAGACTGCACGAGAAAGTCCATTGCACGAACATACAGCTGTTCAAGACCACGAAAGGCTTCGAGAAACTTAGGAACACCCAGACTAACCATTCTAGAATCGGACATGCTCTTGTCTTGGTTCGGGGGAGTGGTTTCTTCGTAGTCGCACTCGAAAGCTTTCAGGTTGATGCCTCTAGAAGTGTACCGCAGAGCTCTGAGGAGATTGAGCACGCAGCGACAGTTCTGTAGCTTCAACTTGCGGATCTGGCTGAAGTCAAATGTCGGGTAGAAGACTGAGTACGCCAGCTTGAACGACACGTTTACAAGACTTATAGTATGTAGTGCATCAAACTGGACGTACAGGTCCTCAGGCACAGTTGAGAAAAGACCAGTCGACTGCAGACAGTACTCCGACGTGCGAGGAGCCAGAGTGTAGCGACCCTCAAATCCAACTTCCAGCGATTCGAGGTGGCGGCAGTTAGTTTCAATGATATCGTAGAGTATATAGCTGTCGATAAAATCGGCCTGTTTCCAAGAGAGATGGCGTAGATTTCGAAGGTACATCAATCCTTCCAGGCCGTCTGTGTACGTGTAGCCAGGGTACACTCTAATGGATAGAGAGGTGAGTTGGCGCTGACGGCGCGCGAGGTAACCGTGTGCGCTGAAGATTCCTTTGGGAAGACAGCAGCCAAGGTGCCAACTAATGGATCAGGATCTATTTTTCTGTTCAATAGTTGAGGTGACATACCTGAAGCCCTGCAGAGTGTTATGCGGCAAACGAGTGAGCACACGCTGCACATTGCGATACAAGTTCATGAATTCTGTATACTCGGTCATGCGGCGCCTTTCCAGACTCATCTCGTCGATGTCCATTCCCCATAGCGTAGCGATGTTCGCATGGTTGTGCAAGGGGGCCTCGATTGTCAGATGTCTGATCCAGCTGTACACACCGCATGACTGCAGGCTGGGAGTGTCGTCTGTCAAGGCAGGTTGCAGAAAGCGAGATTCATGGAGGTCATGGTGCCTTTCGTGCAGGGTAATGAGGGTGAAGTCCCTGTATAGCTCTGGCTGCACTGAATCGTGAAGGTATTTCGACACCAGGGAGAGTTGGAATAGGTCACGTTTGGAGAGCTTTGCTGTTAGTATTGTAATTTTTCCAGATCCTTTTTTTATTGGGGCGTACCTTTTCTATTATGCTGATAAGCATCTCCCCCGGAAGAAGCTCCAACATGGTAGCTCTCTACAAATGCAGCTGCAGTCAATTGGTCATGAGTCTGGGAAGATAAAACTGAGAAAGCACGTAGACGATGGAGGAGTTAAAGAAAAAAGAGAGAACAAGATGCTGGGTTTATATACATGTTCTTTTCTGAATAAAACAAATTAAACTATAGAGTATATTCACTGCTTTGAGTATTCACTGGTTGCCCTAGATATGATCGCTGTTTGCTGTCATTTCATGCAGGTCCTTGAATTCCTCAACAATGCCTTTGCAAATCTAGATGCGCATGGTGTACCATATACAAGCAAGAGCTTTCAACTACGAGACAAATTCAGAATTCCATGTGGATATCAGCTCAATACACTTCCTTCATGCGCAACACAGATTTCTCGCTGCATGAGGTTTTCGCCAACAAGTTTCGATTTATCGAAGGGTTTCACTAAGACAAGAGGAAGTACGACCTTACCACGGCTTATTCTTTACGGCTACTAGCCCATTCGTTTAGCCGTGGGGTTGCGACTCCAAACATGGATCCCATTAGGATGTCGCCGTCAGAGTGTGTATGACGAGACGAGACTTGAACCCTTTACAAGGCAGCCTTTGTTCAATGCCTTGAGACTCACCACGAAAGCACTGCCTGCACTGGGATGTTCCTTTCTGGAATATATATGACCTTTCAGGTCTTTCTCTTTTATCCCTTGGGCCTGTGTTATCTAACCCTACGAAGAGCTCTTCTGGCCCTTATGGCGTCCATGTCTGGATTAGGTCCTTCTGCACAGAAGGTCTTCTGAAAAAACGTCGACGAAATGTCAATTCTTTAATCATTTATCGGCAATCCAGATAGCTAGCCCAGTAGTCGTTGATTTACAGGAAACGTTTCAGACTGACCAACTGGGGGCTAGATACATTCCCAAGACGAGAGAATCCAGCTACCTGTGCGGATACTTATCCATGCCTGAATCAGAGAGATCCTGCTTAGGCGGCTTTTTACTGGCTCGACAGAAGACCATGGACCTAAGACTCGAGGCAATTGAGGCTACCCACTTCATCGCGTTCTCCCTAGGTGACGACATTTTGAGACCGTTCCTGAAATAGCTATTCTCATGGATCTAACTGGATTGTTCCCAACCCAGGGATTTACCTTTGCGATATTGGTTTTGTTCTTGCTGAAGACACGCCATACATTGAACAGATGGGACGTTGGTCAATGGAGAAATGTGGTAGGGCCACCTTCACATACAAAGGTGTCATAAAGCTCAGCTAGGGTAATGGAACATCCTTCTCATGGGTTCTAGCTAGGTAGCTATTGACGAGAATAATTGACATGAGGAAGGAACAAAGGAGGTAACGCCGTATTTATCAACAAAGCAAGCAACTGCATCTCACGTGATAGCCAGCAAACATGGCCGGGCCGTCGCACAAGGCTTCTGGTGATTATAAGGTTCTCTTCAACGAGAGACCTCGACTCATACAAGTGTCCTGGGCACCTACCTTCTGCAGTCGAGCTCAAGAACGAGATAAACCAACAGGAAATGCTAAATCCAAGCTCGACCTGTATCACGTGCTCAATAGCCACGTATTTAATTAGCATTATTCCTTCCTCATCCAGCAATCAACAAATCTCCATTAAATCCATCTTCGTTGTAAGTTATGCGATAACCCGCCGGAGCCTCAGGCAGTAATGCGATCAGGCAGAAAGGCAACAGCACAACTCCGGTAACCCTCTCAGACAAGTTTGGTTCGGTCCGATAAAAAACATAAAATTGACCCGTCGTTCCGGAACACACACGCTCAGGAGCTTTCTCAAAGGAGCTCTGCAAGAAACCTATGCATTGATTGGGAGCTATGATATCTCTTAGGCTGTCCGGATCACGCAATACCAGCGCAGCAGTGCTGAGTTAGTGGAAATTGAGGGGCCCAGTCGAGTCCAGATAAGAACCGGCTCCTTCCGTGGTGGCCGCGCCGCCGACAAACACTATGGGATACCAACACGTTATTGTCCCGCCTGGGAAGGGGAGTTTTACAGCATTTGACAGTGACATTGACGAGAGGTGAGCAGCACCCCTAGATATATCTGGTATGTGAAGATACTGATACGAGCTCAAGAACACTATGGACTTATCGAATCCAGGGAGCTGCGGCTGTCATTGGCACAGGCAATGCTCACCTGGCTGCGCTCCTGCTTTCCGGGACAGTGTTGCTTCTGTCGTTATTGTTAAGCTCTCATCGTGGGGAAGCTAACTATGTGCCCCTTCCCCATGCCCTGATGCATTTCATTGCATCTACAGGGGCTTGCTGCCTAAGCTGGGTGGATTTCCGTGATTCAGGAAACTGGAAATGTCCTGCCCTGTTAAGCTACGTCGTAGCGCTGGGTATTATACGAACATGTTGCAGATCCCACAAGCGCAAGATCCAGGTATATCGTCATATGAGTTTGGCGGTTACTGCGGCTCTAATTCTGGGAATTGTTCAATATTTACTTCCGATGATAATCTTCAACTCGACATATCGCCCAAGCTCTATCCAAAGCGCCTTGCTAGCTTGTCTAGTGGTGGTGGTAGTATTGGTACTGGTTACTCCTCGTCCAAGGTGCCCATTCATACCCGATGCCGAAAGCGACGAACCTGCTATAGAGGAGTCACCCGAAGAGACATGCTCCTTGTTTTCATACTACTGCTCGTACGATTGGATCACGTACGTGATCCTGCGAGGTTTCCAAAGAGACCTCACGATGGACGATTTGCCTCCTTTGCCAACATACGATGAGCCGCTGAAGTGGCTGAATAACATCAAGAAGCAGCGTCTTAGAGGCGGCAAAACATTCCGCACGCTGTACAGGTTGCTCAAGAAGGAAGTCACAACTATGATGGGCTGGGCTGCATCTACGGCAGTGGTCGAATTTCTCGCTCCATATTCGATGTTGCGATTGCTAGCATATCTGGAGGATCCGTCGGAGGCAGTTGTTCATCCGGCTCTTTGGATTGTTTTGCTCTTTGTTGGGCCAATTGTTCGTTCACTTTGCTATCAGCAATACATCTTCACTGCCACTCGACTTCTTGTCCGCGTCAACATGTCTTTGGTCCAGGAGATCTACCAAACGGCCATTAAATCACACATTTATGATGACTCTATCGGAGACCTCAGTCGCAAGAGACCATCGGGACGAAATAAAGAGTCAAAAACGCCAAAGTCTGGCCAGGCCAATCTAACGAGTCTGATGTCTTACGATGTCGATGCGATTTACAATTCACGGGACATATTTTACGTCGCAACAGCATGTCCAGTATCGACCACCATTGCCATGGTTTTCCTATATCAGATGCTTGGCTGGCCTTCGCTTTTGGGTGTCATTGTTCTATTCCTTCTCACGCCTCTTCCTGCCTTGGCATCGCGCAAGATATCGCGTATTCAACAGTCTGTGCTCCGTGCGACTGATGTTCGTCTATCGAAGATTGCCGAATTCTTAAACTCAATTCGGACGTTGAAGTACTTTGGATGGGAACCTGCCGCGATTAACACGATACACGACATTCGTGGCATTGAACAGCAACGTCTCTGGAGACGCAGTGTTCACGCCGCTGGGATCTCCATGTCCGGGGACCTGTTGCCTTTCATCAGCTTACTGGTGATGTTTTCTGTCTTTGTTCTTTTCACAGACAATACTCTTCATGCTCCAATTGCATTCACCTCGCTTTCGATCATGGAGACACTGCGATCCCAGTTTGTCTGGCTTTCGAATATCAGTCGATTTTCTGCGCAGGGCGCTGAATCCCTCCGACGTGTGGACAGATTCTTCGAGTCTGCTGAAGATATACAGAGACATCCCGAGGGACCGTTAGAACTGAAGGATGTTACTTTTCGCCGGACTCCAATTGCTGCATTCAGACTACGGGATATCACCCTTCGCTTCAAGCAGAATGCCCTTAATATTCTTACTGGTCCGACTGGTTGCGGAAAGACTTCCCTATTACAGTCCCTTTTAGGCGAGACTGTTCTGGAATCTGGAAGTGCAACCGCACCCCGCGATATAGCATACGTTCCCCAAGCACCATGGTTACAGAACGATACTGTTCGGCAAAACATACTGTTTTACAGCTCCTACGACGAGAGTCGCTACAACATTGCCGTCGAGGCAAGCGGCCTAGCACAGGATTTGCAGCAGCTCCCACTTGGAGATTCCACTGTTGTGGGCGAGAGAGGGACATCACTTTCTGGAGGACAGAAGCAGCGGGTATCATTGGCCAGAGCTTTATACTCACGTTCGTCGACGCTTTTGCTGGATGATATATTCTCTGCTCTTGACACGCATACCACAAGTCTTGTCTATAAGCGATGCTTCCGCAGTGGCTTACTTGCAGACAGGACTGTTGTTCTTGTTACGAGCTTGCCTGTTGCATTGAAGGATGCAGAAATGGTGATTCGCTTGGAACATGGGAAAGTTGCTTCTGTACAATCATCCCAGCGAACTTCTCAAGTTGCCACGCCAAGTGTGGAAGAGATCGAGACCGGGGCTCTTCTTTCTAGCACTCCATATGAGGCTCCCCAAGAGATGGAGCCTCTGGCAGAGCATGTAATATCCAGTGGTGCTGTTCCGGAACAAGAAGTTGGTACAACAGGCATGGCTAAAGAGACAACAGCCACTGGTCGGGTGCCCCGTACGCTCTTTTTCCAATATATGGTCATGTTTGGGGGATTTTTCTACGCCGTGACAGCAATTGTGGCCACTCTCACAGTTCAATTCGCATACTTCGCCATCACCTACTGGCTTTCCGTCTGGACAAGCGCCTACGACAAGTATGAGCATCCAAACTCAATTTTCTACCTATCCGTCTACGCAGCGACAATTATCCTCTTCCTCCTCCTGCAACTCGCCAACAACCTCATTTACCAATACGGAGGCTGGGCAGCAGCCAAGAAAATGCATGCGAAGCTGGTCACCGCAGTCCTGTCAGCACCTATCTCCTGGTTCGACGAAAACCCCATCGGAAGAGCAATCAACCGCTTTGGAAATGATACACGCTCTCTGGACACAGTCTTGATAGATTGGCTCCGCATGTCAATCGAAAACTGGCTCCGATTCCTCCTCCGAATCGCAAGTATCGTATCCATAATGCCCGTCTTCGCCGTCCCAGTTACAATCATCTGCGCAACTGGATTTATTATCGGAGAGATGTACACCCGTGCACAGATCTCAATCAAACGACTCTGTTCCGTCAACTACTCCCCCGTATTCTCCCACTTCACAGACTCTCTAAGTGGCATGGCTGTTATCCGAGCCCGCGCTGGTATGGATGAAGTCTTCCAGGGCCTCCTCGCTGAAAAACTCGCCGTACATACTCGCTCCGCGGAGGCGCAGTATAATTGCAACCGTTGGGTATCTGTTAGGTCGGACTTTTGTGCTGCGTCTGTTGCGGCTGCGGCTGGATGCGTGGCATATTTCAGATCTGGATCGGCTGGCTTGGTGGGCTTCTCGTTGACCAATGCCATTGGTCTGAGTCAGACTATTCTCACGCTGGTGCGGACGATGAATGAGTTGGAGGTCGAACTAAACTCGTATCAGCGTATGCGTGAGTACGCAGATATCCAGCCTGAAGAACGCTTAAATGAAGAAGAACAGCAAAAGAATGCAAAATCCATCCCAGCTAGCTGGCCAACATCCGGCCTCATTGAATTCCAAAACGTCACAGCCCGCTACCAAAACGGCCCCGACGTCCTGCGCAACGTTTCCTTCATCGCACGACCAGGAGAGCGAATCGGCATCGTCGGACGGACAGGAAGCGGCAAAAGCACACTAGGACTCTCACTTCTCCGCTTCGTCAACATCATAGAAGGACGCATTACGATTGATGGCATCGATATACAGGATATTCTACTAAACCGCCTCCGAAAAAGCGTCACCCTCATCCCCCAAGAACCCGTTCTCTTCTCTGGCGATGTCCGCTCAAACCTCGATCCGTTCAATGAATCCAGTGACACTGAACTCCGCGCAGCACTCTCAGCATGTACATTCATCCAAACTCCACCACCCACAACTAACACAGAAGACCATCATCACCAACAGCAAAAACTAACCCTCTCAACCCCTGTCGCAACAAATGGCGAAAACTTCTCCCAAGGCCAGCGGCAAGTCCTATCTCTCGCCCGCGCGCTTTGCCGCCGCTCGAAAATTGTCCTCCTTGATGAGGCGACTGCCTCCGTCGACCAGGAGACCGATATGCATATGCAAAGCGTGCTGAGGGATATTTTTAAGGATTCGACGATTATTGCAATTGCGCATCGGTTGCGGACGATTGTGGATTATGATCGGGTGGTTGTTATGGGGGGTGGGGAGATTGTTGAGTACGCCCTCTTCTTAAAGTTTTACAGGTTATTGTTTATTTGCTAATAGTTGTAGGAATGATTCGCCAGCGAATTTGATTGAGAAGAGGGGAATGTTTTGGGATATGTTGAGGAATACGGGGGAGTATGATGAGTTGGTGCAGTTGGTGAAGGGACAGTCATAAGGAGAAAGAAGATACAGTTTGGTTGGTATATACAAGTTGTACATCGCATTGTACCTGCATTTGTACAGTCGGAGCAAGTATTGAAAACTAGATTGAAATCAAATCACATTTACCGCATCCAGCTATTGCTCACTATAAATGAACACTACTACGCAGGAGGAATCTGCTGCTGATCCTTCGGCCACTTTGCAATCGTCCTCTCCTCACCCGTCAACGTGAATTTGACGACAACATCCCGCTCATTATTCAACGCCACTTCGTACTTCCCAGGATATAGCACCCGGTTACCAAATTCATCTGTCCGAGCCACACTGTCAATCGTCACCGGGATAACCAACGTCTTGGACGACCGCGGCGTCAGACTTGGCAGTCTGTCAAACCCGACAAGCCATTTATTCGGATATGGCTCTGGACCGGCGGTGGTGTTTGCGAAGAGCATGGCTGTGTAATCTGATGCAGTGCGCCCCGTGTTGGCGATTCGGGCCGTGAAATTGAGGAAAGGCGTTTGCTCGATTCGTTCGTAGCCCGGGTGTGGCTGAGATAGGAGGTCATCGATGTTGTAGGTATTTGTCGATGCCGTTGCTGTTCTGTTAGACGAAGACGTGCTGAAATTAGTGTAGAAGAGACCGTGGCCGAATTCGTAGACTGGTGTGCCTGTGTACCACATGTAGGTCTGGCCTGGGTTGCTGCCGTTGGGCCGCAGGTTCATGTCAATCGCTGGGAAGGTTGTTGCGTATTCTGCTGGGTACTGGGTTACGACGAGACGGCCTGCGGGGGCGCGTTTGCCGGTGATGATGTCTCGTAATGCTTGGCCGCCGGATTGACCGGGATAGCCGCCCCAAATCAGAGAATTTACGTTTTTGTTCGATTTGAGGGATGATGAGTCGACTTGGCCGCCGCCCATTTGAAGGACGACGACGGGTTTGCCTAATTGGCTTAGTTGGTTGATGAGGTCCAACTGGTTGCCGGGCCAAGTGACGTTCAATCGGTCCATGGCTTCTGCTTCGAGGGTATTGTCGATCCCTCCTGCGAAGATGATGGTATCAGATTTCTTTGCTGCATCGAGAGCATCCTGGAATCCGTCTTGGGTCTCGGTAGTGATGTTGGTGCCAAGCGCATAGTTGACCGTGAAGCTCGAATCCTGGAAAGCCTCCAGCAGACTGGTAAGGTATGGGGCTTTTCCGTAATAGTTCCCTAGCATCTGCCAGGTTGCATTGGCCCATCCTCCGATCAGCGCCACACTACGGGTCGAGTTGGACAGAGGAAGGGTTCCGTCGTTCTTTAACAGAACGGTACCCTCCACGGCGGCCTCATAGGCAATGTTCCAGGCATCGGTTGTCACAACATCGTCCCAGTCTAGGTCGCGGTACTCGCTCTCCTTGCCATCGAAGTAGCCTGCTTGTATGAGGTTGGTATATAGACGTCTTACACCCCTCTCAATGTCTTCACGGGATACCAATCCCTCGTCAAATGATCCGTTAAAATAGTATTGGTACGTTGTGCCGCAGTCTATGTCAGTTCCAGCCCGAATGGAGTCAGCTGCAGCGCTCGTATAGTTTGCAGCATACTCATGAGGATCAAAAACATTTCCCACCGCTCCGCAATCACCAGATACGAAACCATGTTCGACGAAGTTGAACGTGTCGCGCAAAAGAGTCTGAAGGAAGAACGAGTTGGAGCAACTGGGAACCCCGTTTACCGCATTATACGAGCACATGAAACTCTTGACCTTGGCATCCCTTGAGGCAACAAGGAACTGGGGCATATAGTACTCTGAGAGATCCTGTTGAGTGATGCTCATGTCGTTTCCCAGACGCGAATGGTCATCCCAGTTCTCGATGTCATAGCCACCGTAGTGCTTAGCATTTGCGATCACCTTAACGTGTTCAGTATCCAAGCCGCCCTGAATGCCGGTGATATATTCGTACGCGTAAGTGGACGCCAATATGTACGCATCCTCCCCTGGGGTTTCTTGGCCACGGCCCCACACTGGGTGTCGGAAGGTGTTGATGTTCGGGGAGTATGTATTCAAGCTGAACCGTCCGATATTGTTGAACGCACGTGCCTGTGTTGATATAATGGATCCGATTTGGTTGATCAAGGTCCGGTTCAACGCAGACATGGTCAAGATCGGCATTGGAAACGATGTTCCCCAGCTCCAATCTCCTTCCGGGGTGAAGTTTGTGTGAGCCAAGCCATGGAGCGATTCATACCAGACTTGGTATTTGGGCAAACCAAGTCTCGGAGCACCACCGCCCGTATTGCCGGAGTTATTGACGAGCTCGTCAAATGTAAAGAGAGAAACGAGAGAAGCAGCTCGGTCATAAGAGCTGGCTGAAGTGTTGCATACCAAAGCTTTGCTCAGCGGTCCATTCTCGCAGTCAGGGAAGGACAGCTCAATAGTGGCCGTAGAAAGCGGATCAAGAGGTGGTTCTGGGTTGACATTGTAGTCCGTGTTGCTAGTCTTTGTCTGGGCTACTGTGGTCGACAGCAACACCGCCAACACGGCAAGAACGGACTTGGTAGCCTGCATGGTAAACAAAGCCTTGTGGTTGATGCCATTTCTCAGTCCGGAATGTCCGTATTTATATTATGACAAAAAACGTCACAACTATTCGGATAAAGGCCAATTATCCAAGGCCATCGGCACTCTTCTAGGCCTGTATACAAAGGGAACTTCCGAAACCCCAGATGTTCATCCGGATCCAGCAAGTCCCGCAGTCGATCTTGGTCCTCCAAAACGCGGGGGATTGTGCGGTCTTTCTGGATGTACACATTTTAGCCTGAATGTGTCTGCCATAGATTTTGACGTCAATCCGCAGGGTAGCTTTCCTTCTCGTGGTGAGATGCGGAGTGTCCGTGTGCTCCGGATGGGTTGACTCCGGTCGTCATACGGGAGGTGACTGTGTCGGAATGAAGCGATGCATCCTTGATTCAGGCTAAACCTCCAGTCTTGTCTTCCATGGCATGATGTTTTGGTAGGGAGATATAAGCGTTAGGCTAATCCGGGTGTTGATTGACCGAGTAACTTCGTAGTGTTTACTCCGCAAACGCCGGGAGATGTTCGGTAAAAAGCATAACACGCTAGCCTGTTTTTGGACAAATTTCATGTGGCTTGGGATTTGTGGCTCGTGTATAAGTGGCTGGTGCATCTATGCAACCATGACGTTTTTTCTACAAATACAACAATGTCGAGGATTAATCTTATATCGTGATATACTGAGGCTTGGGGGGTAATTGCTCTGATAGGATATGCTCCGGCTGAATCAACAATTTGGTGAGCTCTATCTTCTTTCTAACCATGAAATATGAGCTCTTGTTGAGGCGAATTCCCAGAGTTGAAGATGTATTTACATCGCCATGACATCACGGTTATTATTGAGCTTGATAAAGGAAAATGTTGCTCTTAGACCTGGTGGTTTGGTTAAAAAACACCAGTACAGCAACCATGTCCTTCTTACTAGGATACCTACACCAGCTTGTCGACACAGCCCTCTCCTTCCTAAAGTTGATCCAAAGCCGGGAAATAGGATGGCTCACTATCGTACGCGAAACGGGTGAATTCAAGCGCGAGCAGCAGCCGCTATGGAAAAAGTTCAAATTGGTGCTGCTGTTCAACCCGTTGACGGAATGGTTGGACCAGACGCATTTGTTCCGCCTCTACACGCATGAAAAGAACATTGAGGCTGGTTTGTCAAAACGCTCCTGTATAACCGATGATTATACTGACAATTCTTAGGGCAGGAGGAAGTAGCGGCGCAGTCGCACAAACAGATCAAAGGCTTCATTGACTTTTTCCACATCAATATGAACGATTTCTTACCTTCAGATCCAGAACAGTACGGATCATTCCAGGACTTCTTCATTAGACACCACAAACCCGAGGCCAGGCCTCTGTATGCTCCGAATGATAAGAAAAAAGCTGTTGTCGTGGCCGACTGCCGGATAGTCGTATATCCCACCGTTGAAAAGACGCGCAAGCTCTGGGTGAAAGGCAGCCAATTCACAATAGCCAATCTCATCCGTGACTCCGATCGTTCGAAGCCTTGGGATAATGGAGCGGTGGCTTGTTTCCGGTTAAGTCCCCAGGACTACCATAGGTACCATTCCCCTGTGGAGGGTAAAGTGAAGTGGTTCAAGCAGATTCCGGGCGACTATTTCGAGGTTGATCCTATAGCCATTCGGAGCTCTGTGAATATCTTGACCGAGAATGCCCGTTGTGCTGTCTGTCTTGAGACTAAGGAGTTTGGAGAGGTATTGTTTGTCGCTGTGGGAGCATCAGATGTTGGAACCGTTGAGTAAGTGCATGCCATCTCCACCGATCACTTTCGGTATTCTAACAGATACAGGTTCCATGACAAGACGATGACTGCAGGAGAGCACATCAAGAAAGGTCAAGAACTTGGTCTCTTCAAGTTCGGTGGATCGACTATTATGGTGGCCTTCGAACAGGGCCGTATCAAGTTCGATGAAGATCTGGAGCGCTGGAGTCACGACCAGGTTATGGTTGATGTAACGGTTAACAGCAGCATGGGGACTGCAGTCAGTGAGAAGCAGTGAGAATGTTCGTCCTGTCTATTTGAGTTGGTTTGACTACCAAGTTTTCAGTTTGGATACTCTGTTGTAAAAATGTAATGCAGTCTATGGAACAGAAAAAGGTCTATACTTGTAAATAACACATTTTCTTACAGGCAGTTTTATGGGTTTCAATTTTGTTCATTTTCAGTAAAAACACAATACGAGTAGTCCATATAATCAGGTCAAAATTTCTCATGCTTCTAATAAGCACTATCAATAGTAATTCAAGGATTGGACGCTCGTGGCAGGTTTTTGCTGTCATGAGTGCTGGAGATTCGAAGGGTTTCATTTAGAATGTCCCATTTTGGGAACACGATCTGGACTGGGCAAAACACCAGCATTCTCATACGACCGGAACGTACTAACCCACGCCTCGTAAGTATCATCAATACGATCCCATCCAAGCCTTCTCGCCTTCACTGTAGTACTCATAAACGGCGCCCCCGGCGTACTCGGACAGAACAGCCAGTTCATCATCGCAAACCCATGCACCTGGAATGAATTAGAATTACCACCATACTTATCCACAACACTTTCCCAAACAGTACTCTTATCCTGTGCCCACTCAACAAGATCCATCTGAGGTTTGTTGTCGTCGCTGGGGGCTTCGGAGCCATCCATCGGGACCTGATAGTACTGCGCGAACATGGTCCAGAAGAACCGCCATACTATTGCGTCGCCGTTAGAATGGTCGAAGGCCTCGTCTTTGCAGTGGTTTTGCGTTGCAGCCCAGACGGTTAGATCGGCGACACTGGGGGCGTAGCACTGGTCGTCGACTCGATGGTAGCCATTCATGTTTCCGGGCCATTTTGGGCTCTGGCCGAGTTCACGGCAGATAAGGAAGTATTGAGCGATTGGGAGGGCTTCGTTTATACCGGAAACTAGGGATAGAGTTAGTCTGTTGTAAGGTTGTATAAAAGGGTGGGCGTGTTGCCTACATTGTGGGGCGAATCCGATAATGCCGAAAGGTCGAATGATGTTGTGATGTTGTAGTGCCAGGTGCTGTGACGTTTCTGGATTTCGAAGAGATCGTCCTCCTGTTTGTAATAGAAGATCGTTTCGCTTCCCGGACCATCGTATCGTGGGCTATCCTCATGGCAAGGCATGTTGAAGTTCTGGAATTGAACTCCATAGTGCTACTACAAGTCAGACACCACCCTCGTATTTGATATAAGGAGTAAAATACCTTTCCACCAGTTTGCAAACACATACGTTGAAGCTTCGGACACGCTACATCGATTGCTTCCAGAAAGTTGCGGAATAGCGGATTGTTCCTTTCAGGGAGTTTGCTGAGATCACTATTGTGAGCGTACGATGTGAAGAATGCATGGGTAACATCCTTGCACACAAAATTCATCTTCTCCACAATTGCTTCCTGAGAGTCCAGGAAGTTGATACCGATGAAGGTGACTCGGGGGTCAACCCAGTAGTTGCTTGATGGCTTGCGCGAAGTGATGATGATTCGGGACCTGCACAGTAGTCAGTGTTACCATGTTATATGTGACATGTTAGGCCCATGCCACAGTGCTTACCACTCAGACTTGGGTGTCCGAATCAGATGTTCGACAATAGCATGGCCACTGATGCCGTTGACACCGGTGACAAATGCAACCCTACTCGAGGGCGGCGCATGAACGGAATTGCTCATCGTGCAAGTGTAACATGAGGATGTATACTGTCGAATCGAGCAGGTATGCTGTCCTGTTCCCTTCTAGTGATTGAAATTCAAGGGCTCTTCCAGCCCTTTTTATCGTCTCATGTCGACAACGGCTACAGCCAAGCCGGCATACATCATCGACCCTGGTCGAGCACCGATTGCCGAATAAAGTCTGTCCACTCAGCAGTACAAATTCGGCACTCTCGCTGCTTCGGACTCTTAACTCTCGCCGTCCTGTAGGCAATACGAAGTGCTTATTGGTATGCAGCACGAACCCTTATCGGTCACATCGGAGGTTACCATGTCCGTATCAAGCATCGCATCTTAATCAATCGCAAGAGCGATTTCCGCTTTAGGCCAGGCGGTGATACTTGACGCCGGGAGGTTTACCAGACCTGTCTAGCTCCCGGCTCGGCAAGCGGGACCTGGGCCATTTCAGGACGGAATTTGGGTGGGATTCGTACGGAATCATTAAATGCATAATGGATTGTGTATAGGGTAGCATAATTTGGCATTTTGGCCAAACGCCGGCCCGGAAACTCAACATTTACAACATTTGTTTGGACAGTATTAGGGTTAAGACAAAACGGGGTTATGGGGTTTCAAAGCCACGAAAAGGGTTTTTCTCGTGTATCGTGTGTTCTAAAATATTATTTGACTCTTTCGTTAAAATAATGTTAACCTTATCCTAGTTGTTATTTGAAATGGTTGACGAAAAGTGAAGTCACCGCATGTGCTCGACCAGCCGCCAACTCTTTGCGACTACCTAATATACAAATGTCATGATTCACTCCAGGAGAAGAGAAAATGGGACAGTCCACATCAAAAACATTGTCTCAACGAGACCGGAATATCGGCCAAGTCATCCTAAACCGAGCAGATGAGCGAGCTCACCAACCTAAAAACGAGCACACAAATAACCTAAATGCTCTTAATGCAGCTACCCAGCTTGATATAATGAGAACTTACATCGGAGACATCGGCCTCGATGCCACGCAGCAAGATCTATCCAGATTCATAAACGTATGCCACCTTGCCTTCGACGGCAGAGGTACATCTCGAGTCAAGAAACAAGCCGTGAACACGATCCTCGGGCAGGAAGCGCAGATGCTCCGTGTGAGGGATGTGCTTGAATACTTGACGAACAAGGGGTAGATTGCCTATGTTCTCGACCCCGAGACTGCTGAGAATATGGTGAAGAATGAGGTAATTGGTGTGGGGGATGTGTCTACGAGATTCAGGGACGTTGCTGAGATTATGAGATTGACGAATCCGTATTCGAAGGATTGTTTTAATGCTTACTTTCCGTATCCTTGGTACTGGTTGATTTACACGATAACGTGTGATCGGTTTCTGCGTCCGGATGTTTTTGATCTGGATCGGATTTCGGATGTCGTTCAGCAGCGTCTGGATGATACGGCCTTGTAGTGGTTTGTTGTTCTGGTTGTCGTTATTGCCATGGCTTACTTTGTTTTACTTGCTTATGGAGGAATTCCTAAGGTATCGATGTTTATTTTCGCCCATGATTATGTACAATCGTAATGAATGACGACCGAATTTATACGCCTGGCTCCTCTAATATATGTGTAGCAGCCGGTAACTTCTATAACAAACACAAGACAGAAATGCGACATGTTGCTTATGCTTTTGACTTGGAGGACTTCACCTTCCCATCTCTTCTGACCTCTTTCTCGAGTTCGTTCAAAGCGGCGCCGTACCGCGACTTAGCATCGGCCACATCGTCGAGCTTCATGTTCACCCGTTCGACCTTGGAAGCTCTGGTTATTTTGCCATCAGAACCTCTGGCAATCTCGTTTGTGAACCATCTGCCTTCTCTGTGTGCGAAGAGTGTCCATGCTGATCCTTCCTTGTGAGCACGTGCGGTACGTCCGACACGGTGGATGTAGGTCGTGATGCTAGGAGGAACGTCGTAGTTGACAACATGGGTCAGGGATGGGAGGTCAAGACCACGCGAGGCGCGATCAGTTGCGACAATAACGGAGATCTTGCCCCGGCGGAAGGCTGTGAGGGTCTTGCGGGAGGCGGATGATTTGTTCGATTTGATGATAGTTCCCACCTGGCTAGCAAGAGAAGGATCGAGTAGGCCAAGCAAGCGAGAAAGACGAGATGCTGATTCAGAGGACTTGGTGAAGATAAGAACTGTCGTGCGCGCGGGATCGGATTTCGGTGTGGCCTTGGCAGATTCTTTTTCAGAGTCAGAGTCCGATTCGGATTCATATTCGGACGATGAAGTTGCTTCTGAGGACTCAGATTCGGAATCGGATTCCTCAGAGGAAAATTCATCAGAGCTGCTCTCTTCAGAGCTAGTATCATCAGAACTAGTGCCATCAGAACTGGTATCATCATCAGAACTTGTGTCATCATCAGAACTGGTGTCATCTGCCTGCACAGCGCGGGCAGGTCTTGTGCTTGAATCAAGATCACCAAGACCAATACGAGACCGCAGGAGGCGCAGAAGATAAAGTGGTTTCTGCGCGCCATCTCCAACCGAGATAAAGTACTCTTTGAGTGTCGATGGCAGAGTAAACTGGTCGTCTGTAAGAGTCACGTCCTCGTCATCTGCGACACGGTCGGCTGATCCAATGACAGCCAACTTAGGGTTGGTCAAGCGCAATGAGTTCAGCTTCGAGACATCCCTGGTCATTGTGGCACTAAGAACAACCTTTCTGGGATCTTTGTTCTCGATAGGAAGCCCAAGGTCCGACATGAGTCTTCCACTGAATCCGAAAGTATTCGGAGACTTTCTCGCATCCAAAGAATTCATTACAACATCAACCCATTCCTGGAAGCTTTCATTCAGCAGTCGATCGGCTTCGTCAATGACAAGCCATTGAAGGTGTTTCAAGGTAAAGCCCTTTGTGTAGCGAAGATGGTCGACAAGGCGACCCGGCGTACAAATAAGAATGTCGACGTTGGGTTCGGGTTTGTGCAGGTAACCAGGTAAAGACTCGTTAAGATCTGCTGCTTCGGAGATATAATCTTGCATGTTGAAATCTGCCCAATCGTCTGCGGTGAATCTGAATTGCTGTCGTGACTTGAAAGACTCAGGGCCGTAGACTTGATCCACGCGCATCAATAGCTGCTGTTCGTCTTTGATGGCGACATTTCCCACCGCTGATCCAATCTGTAAGCCTGAACCCGCGGTGCATAGCTCAGTAGCCTCTCTAGCTTGCTTCACCAATTCTCGAGTAGGGACAACGATAAGTCCTCTCAATCTTGGTGCGGGAATATGTTCCAAGTTAGTCACCAGTGGAAGGACATAGGACAACGTCTTTCCGGAGCCAGTCGCAGCCGAAATACAAAGGTCACCCGAGTGCTCCTTAGGTCCAGGCAGAAGCAATGGAATAACAGTAGATTGCACTGCAAATGCTTCTTCGTATCCGTGCTCTTCAAGAATGCGTAAGAGATCGGGTTTGATGCCAAGGTCGGAGAACTTCGCTTTCGCATCCGATGATGTTCGAAGAGGATTTGCCAGCCAATAAGGAAGAGTTGAATAGGTCGGTAATTCCTCTTCTTCAAGCGTGGCCTCTGGCTGGGGCAATGGCTCCAGACCTTGGGCCACTACAGGTTCTGCTGTTGTCACTTCCGGTTTTGATTCCTCCGATCCTTTCTTTGACTTTGCTGCTTCTTTAACCTTGGCTGATCTCTCGAATTTGGATAAAACACCAGAGTATTTGTTTTTCTGAGATTGCGGCGTGTCGTCCTCTCCGTCGTTGGCGGCATCGGCTTTCTCAGATTCCCCGGTCTCCTCTTCTATATCTTCAGCGACCTCATCGCCCTCATTATGCCCCTTGGAAGTTCGTCGTTTTGAACTTCTCGACTTCTTGGCGTCAGACTTATTGTCACCTGCGCTTGGAGAACCATCTTTGCTGCTCCTCTCCGGGATAGCACTTTCTTTCCGGGTCGCATCCTCTTGATCATCGGTCTTGTTTTCGGATTTGCGCTCTTTCTTCGATCGTTTCTTCTTATGAGAGTCTGGGGATGAGAGGGAGCTCTTGTCTTTCTTGGACTTCTTGATCGGCGTGGATGTCGAGCTATCGACGGCGGTGCCATCTAGGTCTCTCTTTCTCTTATGCGATTTCTTTGCGCTTTGCGGGGTATTCGATTCATTTGTAGGAAGGTCATGGCGTATATATCGGTCCTTTGCCATCTTCAAGGATATCGACCTGTCCGAGGGGTCTGTAGAGGAAATTTGGTGCTGCGTCGATGAGAAAAACCGTCCGAATAATTTCTTCCAGCGGGGGCAATTTCCCGACGCCGATAATTGGCTACTGGCAGAATTGTCACACCGCCCGTTGGTCCGCCTGAATCTGGACTTCCCTGAAGGACAACGTTCGATGCGCAAAGAAGCTCCATTAAACCCCTGGGCATATGAGAGTGACAGGAGCTTGCGCAATGGGAAGCGCAGATAGGTATATTATACAGATGCTGCTTAGAGCTTTCTTGAGCGAAAACGACAGCCAAAATGCCGTATAACATTGCGTGAGTTTTGTCGCATTCAAGCTCGGAGTATCGGTACTAATTCAATTGGCGCAGTATGGTTAGCGACTTCTTCTTCCCTCAACCAGGTCTGTTTCTGCTATTGGGGTTATATGTTTGGGGGTATTGCTGAGACTATAACAGGAGGAGTTGAAAGTCACATCTACCAGCTGTCGACCGTAAGCATACCGGACGGTTTTATTTCGCACTAGCCTAATACTTATCGCGTTTCAGAAACTCATCGATCGTGGACATAAAGTCATCATTATCACTCATGCATATAAAGGACGTACTGGAGTTCGGTACCTCACCAATGGCCTCAAAGTCTACCATGTCCCGTTCTTTGTCATATACCGCGAGTCGGCCATGCCCACGGTGTTCTCCTTTTTCCCTATATTCCGGAATATCGTCATTCGCGAACAGATTCAGATCGTCCATGGGCATGCCAGTTTGAGTTGCTTCTGTCATGAAGCAATTCTACATGCGCGGACCATGGGGTTACGAACGGTGTTTACAGACCATTCGCTGTTTGGGTTCGCTGATGCGGGATCGATCCTTACGAACAAGCTTCTTAAGTTTACTTTGAGTGATGTTGACCATGTAATATGCGTCAGTCATACATGGTGAGTCCAAACCCAAGCCAACTATGATAACTGCTAACTTATCAATCTCAGCAAGGAAAACACCGTACTCCGCGCATCCCTAGACCCCCTCATGGTTTCTGTAATACCAAACGCAGTGGTTGCAGAGAACTTCTGTCCATTAGCATACGCGCCTCGCCCAAATGATCGAGAACATGGGCCATTATCCGAGTTGCGGCCGCAGCCGAAACCGATTGGACCAAACGATATTATCACGATAGTGGTGATTTCGCGTCTTTTCTACAACAAGGGAACAGACCTTCTGATCGCCGCTATCCCACGGATTCTCGCTTCCCATCCGAATGTGCGCTTCATCATTGCAGGCTCAGGGCCAAAGGCAATTGACCTGGAACAAATGCTGGAAAGGAATGTACTTCAGGATAAAGTGGAAATGCTGGGCTCTGTTCGACACGAGGAAGTTCGCGATGTCATGGTCCGTGGCCACATCTACCTTCATCCCAGTCTGACAGAAGCTTTTGGTACGGTGATTGTGGAGGCTGCCAGTTGTGGGTTGTACGTGGTGTGTACCCGTGTCGGCGGTATTCCCGAAGTGCTTCCCCAGCACATGACAACCTTTGCAAAGCCAGAAGAGGACGATTTGGTCATGGCGACTGGCAAAGCGATCGGGGCGTTGCGCTCGAATAAAGTACGCACTGATCGATTCCACGACCAAGTGAAAATGATGTACTCCTGGACCGACGTCGCACGGCGAACGGAGCGAGTCTATGGAGGCATATGCGGGGATATCAGCCCAGAAGAATTTTACGGCTACTATCCCGGACAAGGCTGGGAAGCTAGTGGAGATAGAGTACGAAGCTTTGCCTTGATTGATCGGCTTAAGCGATATTATGGCTGTGGTGTATGGGCAGGCAAACTATTCTGTCTGTGCGTTGTCATCGATTTTCTTCTTTACGTTTTCCTTGAAATGTGGTTTCCGCGGGCAAACATCGACATCGCTCGCAGTTGGCCTAAGAAGCTAAACCAGCAAGACAAGCTTAAGGCTCGAACCAATCGTGATCCTGAAACTACTTCCTGAAAAGTTTACTTGAGAGGAATATTGTTCTAATGCTTTTGATCATTCACTCGTATTAATGTACAACAACCGTGATACCCATGCTAATTATACATGAATCGTTACTGAAAATGAAAACCAGTTTTCAAACGCCAACACCAGCAGTCTCCACTTTAGCTCCGCTTCGTGCTGGGCTCATATTTCCACTCCGAAGCCAACATTTAAGCAGAATCAGGCTGGACATTCTCTGCGCCAAGGGCACCCTTGTCACCACGCTGGCCACCATGGGCCTGGTCGCGCTCCAAACCCCGCTGTTCAGGGATATAACGCTCGAAGCCAGGCTCTCTGCTAGCACCAACGCCCTCGAGACCACCACCGCCGTGCTTACGGTGGCTTTGGCCATCATGCCTCAGCTCGCTGCTTGTCTGGCCAGAACCCGGGTGTCCAAGACCGGTGTAGACATCCTGTGATGTGGATCCCTGCAGGGTATCCGCTGCAGAGGTCTTGACGGACTCCTTGCCGTGACCGCGCTCGACGTTGGGGTTATTTGCCTGGCTGCCGGGCTCGTTGATGGTGTTGGGTGTGAAGGAGTTGCTGGCAGGGGCAGTGCCGGGGGGGTGTGATTCGGCATGGAATTCGGGGGCATAGTCTCCGGGGGTTGCCTTGACACCGGGTTTGTGCTAGTTGCCTATTAGTATTGGGTTAAATATGAATGAAGATTGTTGACTTACTCCACCATGCTCCTGAGGAGCGTTGGTAGGTTGCACACTGGGCTTGAACTCGCCCTGCTTGGGGGTAGCGATCGAGTTGACGTTGTTGAGTTCACTCATGATGGGTGTGTATATGTGTAGTGTGGTGGTGAGAAGTGTATAGGAAGGATATAGAGTAGAGTTAAGATATGTTTCTGGGTATCAAAGAAATTGAATGATTCTGCTATGCTATTCTCAGAGGCGACTCATACCCTACTTTATAATGCCATTTGCTGGGTCTCCCAATCCGACATCTTGGCAGGGTTTGGGTGGATGACGTCAGGTTGAGCGGCGTTGACTTCATAGTCCTCTCACGCTCCACCAAACCAGTACCACTTACCAGCATGAACACTGGGAATATATGGACCATGACGTTAACAGTTGTTGCACTAAAATCTGGTTGAGATCCGCCAGGAACAGTAACCGGCCTGTTCAGAGCTATGGTGTCAATGTCCAGGGGAGAGTCGGGAAATGTTGTCATTATACTCCATAGGAATCTCAAGGAAAAAGATGGAGAATGTTCTATCAAATTCAATTCGATGTAGCTAGGTATCTTTGGGGTATGTCAGCTTCTCCTGTTTCCGTTCCGTCTGCGCCTGAAACGATCCGATCCCAAAGTCCAAACAAGGTATCTCAGGGAATTAGAGTGTTCTGGCCTATTGGCCATTCCAGCGACCACTTTCGGGTTTATGCTGTCTCGCGTTGTGTTGTATTGTGTTGTGTTCTGTGTACGTGCTTATGCAGTCCATCACTTCATTACCGGTGGTCTCCCTTCCTTATTCCACTTCACTCGACTCTGTACCCATTCCACTGCTTCTTGAACACCACTCCCCATCAACGCGCTTATTGGGAGTACGCGACTATCCCGAACATCGGCCCCCTTCTCACCCTCAAACACCTTCCGAACAAACCCTTCCTTAATGCGCACAACCTCCACACAATCCTCCCGATCTTGCTTATTCGCCAAAACTAGTATCGGCACCCCCGCAACCTCAGAATGCTGCAACACCGACTCCAAAACCTCGCGACACTCTTCTAACCGCCCAAAGTCGCTCCCGGGCGCATTAATACCCACCATCTGCTCGGTGAATTGCTGCATAGCCTCAGACGAACTAGGTCGTCGTCCCGTAGAAAACAGTCGAGCGATATCCGGATCCTGTCCGACGTCTGCGCTATCTACCACGAAGATGATCGCGTGACAGCTGGTGTAGTAGCTCTGCCAAAGTCCGCGCATGGATATTTGGCCCCCCACATCCCAGATCTTCAGGTACATGTCCGGTAATGAGATGTTTGCGACATTCTGGCCGACGGTTGGAACGGTTTTGCCGGGGTTGGGGGCGGGGGCGCCGTCGGGACGGGGTTGGTAGAGGGACTTTATTTGCGAGAGGAGAGTGGTTTTGCCGGCGTTGTCAAGGCCAAGGAGGAGGACGGAGTATTCTGGTCCGTTAGCATGAGTCCATATGTAATGAGGCACGAAGTGTCACACCCTCTTTGCTAGTGGCGTAGAGATACAGCGATTTAGCCAGATGGTACATAGTTGCGACGATGCGCGGAGACGCTGCGGAGTCCAGGCCAACTCCGACAAGATCGCAGTAGGTCGAGATTCCAATCAGAACAGGCAGGAAACGGGACAAAAGAGGAGAATCATGGCATCGCGGATGCTTTGATTCTCCTGGAGTATCGAATTTTCTCCTTTTTACTCGAACTCTTGGTATCTCTCCTTATCCAACGATTGTATCTCCTGTCAGCGACTTTCTTGGCCGATCCGCATCCTTGGCCCACGCGTCAGCCGCTTTCGGATTGGGCAATCAGGGCATGGGGTTTTGAAATGGGGGTACCCTATGCCCTATTTCTGCATTGGGAATCACGACATGGCGAGCTGAAGGCGAGCGAAGGCGTTGACAGAAGCTCAACTCACACCCTACATCCTACAGGGATTATGATTTCAAACACGTCTACTATATCAGCTCTGTCACAATATAGCACAAGACCGCCTGGTATCTGGATGATGCTACGCTTAACCAGGTCAACCAATTCCGGCTTTGGAATGGTTCCAGACTTGCTTCTCCCCACCTTAGATGCTCATTGCTCGGAGTTTTAAAATGATTCCAAAGGATCCCACTAGCATTCGCCTCCATTCAATTCCCTTGCTCTACTATCATTCGTCCATTTACAGCGCTGTTGTTTGACTAAGAACTCTCCAATTTGTCAGCCGGTTCTTCCGACGTTCGCAGAAATCCGTCCATATTTCCTTCTCTTTCCCCGCTGGCGACGTTGCAATATTTTTCTCATTTCTCCTTGCGGTCCTTGAGATTTAACCTAGGTTGAAGGCTAGGCTCTCAATGGCCGTTGTCCTTGTCTCTCCTTCTGGAGAAGGTAGCATTGTGTGATTGTTTTCCTTTGGCTCAGATAAGCTCGCTGTACCAGTGGTCGCATGTCTCGGACAGAATGTAACGGGCGGCCGGAGGCTCACAATCTGCCTTTAATGGAGGTTGACACCGTTATCGTGGGTACGTTGGGTATACCATACTACCACCAATAATGCACTTTGCTAACGCCGGGATTCGACAGGGAATGGGCCCGCGGCCATGATTCTGTCTTACATTCTCCATGGACATATCCCGCATTATTCAGCCAATCCCCCGCATCCAGACCCTCTACTCCATGCGAAGCTGCAGGATGCATCCCCGTTACTTGATCTCGATGTCGATACCCTGACGGAACACTTTGCGGCGTCGCGACTTTCTTACTCCACCCAGGCGCTTCCCGTTAATGTCCTTCTAGATACCCTTATCCGTCCTAGCGTCGACGTGGAAGACGCGGAGTGTACTACAAACGTTGAATGGAGGACTGTGCCTGAAAAGGCCGTTTCGCACTTGGTTATTGGCAATGCGCCACAGGCAGGTGGTCAGTGGGTGGACAACCCCATGCCTGCGAGCTGGGATATTCAGACACTGAGCTACGCGGCTATGTTGTCGCTTCCAGTGTACTGTTATGCGCGACACTATCACAAAGTGACTGGGAAAGAGCTACCTGCGTTTACTCGACCGACGCGACGTGAGATTGCGGAGTATCTACGCGAATATCCAAAGGCCGTTGGAATCGACGATGTTTTCCGATTCCACGAAACAGTGGCCGATATTTCCAGGACAGCGGACGGGTTTTACATAGCCTCGCATAATATCCGCTGCAAGCACTTGGTTTTGGCTAGTGGTATCTTTTCAGAAGTGATACAGCCCCTTCCGATGTTGAATCCGTTGGTATCGCTGGAACCTATTCCTGAGATACCGCTCCTTGTCGTTGGATCAGGATTCTCCGCGGCGGATGTGATAATCTCAGCTCCCGAAGACCAGAAAATTCTTCACGTGTTCAAATGGGATCCAGAGAATCGACCATCACCACTGCGCGGCTGCCATCAACACGCATATCCTGAATACGCCGGTGTCTACCGATTAATGCGACGAGCTGCGGTCGCTGCATCACCGACTGCGAAGCGACCTCGAGCAAAACGAGTAACCTCAGGCTCCTTCCTCGAAAGCCGATCCTGGGACGAGGTCTATGAAGGCCAACCCAATGCCGAAATTGCCGCTGTCGAGATGGGCGATGGTCATGCCACGGTGACCTTCCGTCGACCAAACGACGAGACATTCACGCGTAAAGTGCGCGGTCTGGTCTACGCCACTGGTCGACGGGGTACTCTAAACTATCTCGACCCTGGTCTTCTCTCCGAAGTACTTGAGCTTAGTGACAGGACTGAAATAAATCCGGCCATCTCGAGCCAGTCGCTACGCGCCAAAGCCTTTGAGAACCTAGAAGTCGCTCGCAATGTACATATCATCGGCAGCTTGACGGGTGACTCGCTCATCCGCTTCGCTTACGGAGGCTGCGTGCAGACAGCGGGTCGATTAATTGGTGCGTCTACCGGAGAAAGCGAAGGCACAAGAACACCCAGTGGCTCAGTGTCATCCAGGCCGAGAACGGCGCTTCCTATCATGAATGGCATCGATGGTCATCACATTTATCCCCATGAGCATCTTCCTACGTCCTTGGAAAAGGATAACAATCATTACTTGGTCTCCACCGCGGCTGAGAAAGTTGGTCTCGGTGGGTGGTGGACGTCGTTAATGCGATTATGGGGATAAGACGTCACCTGTATATGAAGTTAGAATTGTACGAATATGCATGCAATGATAATCGGATTCCTAATGATCCTACCCAAAATGACATTTGCTACATTGGGGAGCAATTATGATATCATCAAGGAGATAGATATAAACTTCCCCTTCGCACCGTTCATTGTTACTTCTACACATCAAAATGGCAAACAAAACCCTCCCCTTTACATGCGCCCTAGTGACCGGCGGCGGCGGTGGCATTGGCAAAGCATTGGCCTCATGCCTAACCTCAAAAGGTATCAAAGTCCTCATCGCCGGCCGCACCGAATCCAAACTCCAAACCGCCGTCCAAGAGACAGGCGCGGCGAGCTACTACACCCTTGACACGGGAGATATTAACGCCATCCCATCATTTATCACCAAGATAACAACAGACCAACCCGACCTTGACTGCCTATTCAACAGCGCAGGCATCCAACGCCCGCTTGAGATCAACAAACTACCCGTCGAGGAGTTTCTCAGTAAAGCAGACCAAGAAATCAACATCAACGTCCGCGGACCCATGCATCTAACCCTCGGCCTCCTCGAGCATTTCCGCACACAACACCATGCTGCAATCATCAACGTTTCCTCCGTCCTAGGCTTTGTTCCCTTCTCAATAATAAACCCCGTCTACAACGCGACAAAAGCATGGATGCATTTCTGGTCCATGAATCTGCGCACGCAGATTAATTGGGCTGGAGATGGGGACAGGATCAGAGTCATTGAGATTGCGCCACCGGGTGTGGAGAGCGATTTGCATCGCGAGTGCGAGGATCCAGATGATAATAAGAAGAGTAAGAACAAGAGTGTTCTGAGTATGGAGGAGTTTATGGGGGAGGTTGAGGAGAAGTTAGAGAGAGGGGAGGAGGTTATTACGGCTGGAATGGGGAATGAGTTGGTGGAATAGTGGTATGGGGTGTATGGGGAGATGTATGAGAAGGCTGAGAGGTGAGCCTGTTGATATACTACAAAGTACATACAAAATATTTAGATGAAGAGCGAGCAGTACGGAAACAAGCTTAATACATTCTCCCAAAGTTCTAAAGCTAAAGCTTCGCCGCCCACTTTTCATCGCCCCCGATATACCGAAACACCACCCTCGAATCCCGATCATAACAATCATTATCCTTCGATGCCCCCTCATATGTCCTCAACCCCTGCCCCCCAAGCTCCAATCTAGCCCCCACATTCTCTGCCAAACTAACCGCCAGCGAGAAATCCTTCTTCATCAACTGCACCTTAAACCCCCCCTCATACCCATGACTACTCGGTGCATCTGCCACAACCCCAGGGCACGGGTTAAACTTGTCACAGATGGCATTCTGCGCCGTCCCCGCGGCGAATACATTTGATAGTACGCGCGGGTCCAGGCCAGACCGGATACCCATGTTGAGTGCCTCGGCGCTCCCTATCGCGATCAGACCGGAGAGATAATTATTGCATAGCTTCGCTGCAAGACCTAGCGATGGCGCACCGCAGGGGATGATTTGCTTTCCCATTAGGCTTAGTAGCTGCGTTAGGGCTTGCAGTTGGGGATCTGTCTCTGCGCAGCCGAGAAAGAATGCGATCGTGGCTTTTGCGGCGCCGAGCGTGCCGCCGCTGACGGGGGAGTCGTAGAAGGATGCGTCTGGGTGGTGTTCTGCGAGGTGTTGCTTTACGAATAGGTTTGTGGCGAGATCGATGGTTGAGCAGTCGATAAGGACTCGGCCTGCGAGGTCGACTGTAGTAACACCAGTTTTCTCGTCTAGATAGACGGACTTGACGTGCGCACCTTCGGGAACCATTGAGAGGATATATTTCTGTCTTGTCAGTGACCGTTCACCTGTTTATCAGACATGGAGACAGGGGCGTACCGCATTCTCAGCGACGTCCCTAGGCGAACTTGAGGCTACGACTTTTCCGGGATACTTCCTCTCGAGTTCCTCGACAGGTATTCTGGAAATGTCGTAGACGTGGATGCGCGCGTTGTCTGGGAGTTTGGCTGCGAGTTGCTCGGCCATGTGCTTGCCCATGGCGCCGAGGCCGATGAAACCGATTTGGGTGAAGTCTGATTGAGCCATGTTGTGTCTGTATTAATTTTGTTTGATGCATAGTGCTTATGAGTATTGCATGTTGTATATAAAGTGCTATATGTGGGGGGTGCACTCTGGTATTGGGGCTTGGATTGGATTGGGGGACTTTGGAGATTGGGGAAATATGGGGAAATTTGAGGATGCATGGAAATTAAAGTTGGTGACAATTGCCTCTATTGTCAGCTATATGCATAATCTACTCATTATAAGATCTTTACAAAACACTATTTTCCTCCTTGCCCTTCCCAGCACAATGCTCAATCGCCTCCAACAAGTGCGGTACAAAAACCGCCGGGTCCTCTGTCGCCGGGAAATGACCCAGCTTCGGCATTCGCTTGAATCTCGCCCCGGCAATCTTGTTAGTCGTGTTCTCCGACATCTCAGGAGTATTGCTCCAGTCGTATTCACCAGCGAGGAGGTAGATTGGGCATTTACTCGTGTTGATGGTTTCAATTCTACCGCGGCCGTCCCAGCCGTTGAAGTAGAAGTCTAGGTCGCCGTGGTAGACGCCGTAGGCTTGGGCACTGTATGTGTGCCAGAGCAATTGCCGGTTTTCGCGGGGAGCTGTTGGGCACATCATCTGGGTTCGGTTAGCAATGCAAAGTGAGATGGTTGTAGGAGGGGCATACTCCGTAAACCCATTCCGGGTTAAAAGTAGCACTGTTGATCAGAGGGGACTTGTCATGCCACTCGCGGTGCATCTCAATGCGCTCGCATCTAGATTGGGGTAAACACGGTTAGTCTCAGTCCAGGGTTGGAAAGGACGGATACTCACCCCTGCAATGGAATCGAACCACCAATCCCAACCTCCTCCGCACGAATAGCAGCGGCAATACACGCCTGACCAGCCATCGACGCACCACACAGAATAGGATTCTTCAATCTCAATTCCTTAATCACCCCCGCAATACAACTAAGATACGCATCCTCGCTATTTGTATGCCCACCAGCGGGATATTCTGGACTCGGAAAACTGCGCCCATGCGAAGGCAAATCAAACGCATACATCGTGCACTGAGCCCTCATCCGCGCATCGTTCATAATCCCGTGATACTGCCGACTATCAGACCCCGCCGTGTGCAGAAAAACGATATCGCACGGGCCCGTGCCACTGCTCTCGTAGAAGATCTTGCATCGGCCCCAGCCCTTACTCTGCACGAAGATATACCGGCCTGTCAGGTGATCTTCTTCCTGCTCTGGTTGGGCAGAGACATCGTTTGGTCCACAGTATGTGTCGTGCAGAATATCCAGCATCGTGCGCCAGATATGCGCGTAGTTTGCAAATGCGAGTTGATCGCCAATCACTTCAACTCCTTCCTGGCGGATGTTCTGCCCGTAGAGAGCCCAGAAACTCTGGTACGGCATGACTGGGTTCTTCTTGAATAGGTTCTCCCATTGCATTGGCAGCGCTGCGAGGGAGAATAATGCATCCGTGTAGGAACCAGCGCGGGCACTTCCTGTGCCCTGTTTGAAGGTGAAGATGATGGCGTCGTCGCTGCCGACGGACTTAATGGCGAAGGATATCGACTTTGAGATATGGGTAGTGTTTGTGAATGCGAGGAACTGGGGGTCTTTGGTCACGGCAGAGTTGAATTCCGGGAGGGTGTCGCCCAGTTGAGATGGGAGGCTGTACCAGGGGTGTTCGGACATGGTTTTTGGTCAGTGAGAAGGAATGTTTGTTGCTTTTGGAAGTAATGTAAAATGCATCTTATAATCCATAAACCCTTACCCCACGTTCCCCACAGGCCGAGGAGAGTATTGGGGTAACCGTACTGGTGGATGGGGAAATGATGCACTATGACATTGGCATTATTAATTGGCGTTTCTACTGGGGTTTTGTAATAGCAAGTACCAAAAGTGCATTTGCTCGTAGATATCATTCGTTTCTCATTCCTTGGGGCAGAATTTCTATTATATGAGTATCTGTCACTGTTGAAAAAGTGCACTTGCTCCATCAAGGGAAAAACACTGTGTTGCAGGTTATGTGCATCGTACTCTGACTGTCCAGTTCGTTTCTGTTGCTCAGGATTGGGCCATAGTCGCCGTTCCTGGTCGTGACGGTGCCAGGGATAAATCAACCAGGCTATGTACCATCTCCAACCTGCCCACCGAAACCTCTCGGCTCAAGAAGATCCGCATACACAAACAAAGCCCTACTAATTAAATCAACAGCATTCCACGTCCGCATACCCTCAAGAATCATCGCCCAAGCCCTCACTACCTTCGCCCCAAGCAACTGCGGCGCTCTATCGATGATTTTAGGATTCCCTTTTGGACTTGATGATTCCACCTCACGCAGCGTTTCTTTTATCGTCATGAGGAGGTTTTGTTCATCTGCTTCGAGAGGATATTCTAGGCTTGTGTATGCCGTGGCTTGGATGAATTGGTTGAGGACGTAGGCGTATTCTAGTGAGCATACAGCGTGCATGACTGACCAGCTGGGCGCGCGGCCGACGAAGTGGACGCCCATTTGTACCGGTGAGCATAGGGCTGCAGTCTGTATTACTTAGAAAATGCGGGCACGGGAGAGGAATGGGAGGGCGGGCACATACAGCATGTCTTGCAGCTGTCAGAAGTAAAGAACCCCTCTGTAGTGTCGGTTGCTCATGCAATCGCTTGGCAATCTGGGTATGATTTTGCTCCAGGAGGGAACGAGCTGGGCCAATATCAAGCGCCAACCTAATGTGTGCCATATGGAAGAGGGCCTGCACATATCGCAAGTTAGACTCCAGTTTTGGAAGGATCAAGAAGAGATCTCACAGTTGAGTTGAACGCAATTGGACCATGCTTATCTAGCGGGCTGTATGAAGATTCTGGATTCTGTTCCCACGCACTTTGCCATTTGCGCAGAGCTCGCCGTAATGAAGCAGACATCCCGGGAATCATTTGGTTTTCCATGCCCTGTAGTTGCATGGAGTGTTGGATAGAAATGATCCGTTGAAGCAAAGCATGGATCAAAACGTGCGCCCCGAGTGACGAACACGCAGGTATAGCATCGGCATCCTGGATCAACGCAGCGATACAGTCGTTGAAAAAGGGTGGGCGATTCGACCGCTCGTTCATTGCTAGCCAACTATCAGAATCCGGGGCTTTCCACTCCATCTCCGAACACGGAAGTCTGAGCTTAATGTCTGCAACCATGAGTGGTGAAGGCAGATTGAATGTTATTGTATGAAGATCAAAGAAGCAGAATATGATGAGCTTGGTGCGTCGGGCGCTCTCAGCTCGAGCCCACTCTTGCCATGTCATGGGTACCACAGGGGACTCAGAAAGGCCATGCTGGCGCACTAACATTGCTAGCACACTCTGTGTGGCTATGGCATGTCGTACTAGAGAACGATGTTCCCCGGCCCAGGTCGCCATAGCCATGAGAAAGAACAACGTCTGTATGGACTCTGTGAGCGCGTGATTATCTTGACTACTTTCTAGTCCCTTGTCAGTCGTCAGGTCATGACGATCATCTCGGTCCGACTCAGATGTCGAATGGGGCGTGTTTGTCAAGCACTGGAGTGAATCGGACGGGGGTTGAGCGGCGGTTTCCTTATCGTTTTCCCGCTGTTGGATCTGCTCAAGAGCAATTACCCTAGCAAGATGAAACAGCTTTAGACCTTGATGTGATTCCAAGCAGTAGTGACTACCGACAGCCGCAAGGGCCAAGACCAGTTCAGGTGCCATCTCCCTGAACCGAAGAGTTTGCGGATGAAGAATCGGGAAATGGGGGTGAAAGCCATTCACGAACCCGTGCATATAGCGAGAGATGGCATGTCTGGAAGGTAGTTCAGGGGCTATCAACTGAATCGAAGAAAACCGCGAAATCTGAGCATTAAGCCACTCCCAATCCTCTTGAGACACCCGGATAAATGGTGCCAGATGGACATGGGAGCGGCCTGGATCCGGAAACGAGCCAAGCTGCGACTTGGGACGGGTTTCTCCGGCCGGCAACTCGACATTCAAATAAATCTGGTCCTGACCGATTGGCTGCCTGGTTGCTGTAGTAGGCGATATAGACGGGGGATCTATAATAGAAAGCTCTGGGTAGAAGGGCTGTTGCTCAAAGAATGGGGGCAAGCAAACGCTGTCCAGGTAATTCAGCCCAAACGGTTGAGTATTGCTCTCGGGGTTCATGAAAACCGGTCCTACTGCATTAAGATACGGTGATATCGGTTTCAACCCTGGCTGGCTGAAGACAGGGGGGGTTGCGAGTGCATCTCCTACAATACTTGCATCGTGACCTGAGGCACTTCCAGGGCCCACTCTAGCGCTCTGGGGCTCTGGTGAGAGGCTTAAATTACCAGGAGACGCCCTGCGGTCATACGAAGGGCCCTGTTTATCGTCTGTAGATGGCGCTGGATTTCCGTCATTATCCGGAGAGTCCTTGTTCGTATGGGCAAGTTTGATGTGGCGATTTAATAGATCCCTGGACAATGATCAGAGAATAGACTATTTCCCAGATATAGACATTACATACCTCCGACGGCATGAGTAGCGACATTGGTCACAATGGAATGGCTTGAGGTTGTAATCTACCCCATGTCAGCTATTGCGGGGAAGACGGATGTGAGGCAGACGTATGCTTTCATGCCGCTGAAGGTGTTCGCGCCTATTGAAATTCCGTTGGCACGTGTCGCATTTGAACTTCTTCTGGGATGACTGCGGCATAGTAGAAAAAAAGAAAGAAGAAAGAAAAAATTCACTTAGCATGAACGGTGAGGAAGAGGAAGAAGGCCGCGATAGTATCCCGTTGGGGAAATCGATTTTGGGGAACTCTCGGAACCGGCAATTAAGATGCTACGGTAATCACAGACAGCAATAACTACGCCCGTCCAAAACTATCACTATAGAGTACCAGGTAGATATCTCCCTCTTCGCCTAGCATCTTCAGCCCATTCAGCATCGTGAGCCAAAACAACTTCCACTTCACCCAGGGAGGTCTCGCCCCGTTCCAAACGGCCTATCCTCCGCAGTGTCTCAAGCGCCTGCGCACGATCCGCATGGATACAACAAATCCGATCAGTGTCATGAGGATCCGTCCATTCTGCAATGTTCTTCTCTCCAGCCAATATCCGCCGATCATGACATGCATCGCCGGCAAGATAGACATATCGATATGCGCTGACACGGCATAGTAAATTGATGTGTCCGGGAAGATGACCGGGTGCATTGACGATGAATACACTTCCATCGGAGAATATGTCGATAGTATGGGGTAGCTCGTTCAGGGGTTCCCACGTTCGTTCTTGTAAGCCTCGGTCGTGGACTTTGTTTGACTGGTTGCTATCATTCCTTCCCGGGCCACAGAGCTCTATCGTTCGTTCGTGTGGCAGTAATCCACTTTCGAAGTTACTATGGCTACCGTTTGACATGCTGCTGTTTCCTGACAGAAGATCCAATGACCCATTGCCAACGATGAATTGCGACTCAGAAAAGTCCCAGGGCATGCCAATATGATCCCAATGAACGTGCGACAGAATAACGTAGTCAATGTCTGCGTTTGTCAGGCTCCCAAGAGAAAGGGAATGGATCACATCAGGAAATCCCGATACGGGCTGTCTGGTTGCGAGATGTTTCCGGACACGGTCGACGTAGAGATCAGGGTCCCGGCGGATTCCCAGGTCAAACACCAGGCGAGTGACTTTTCCGGAGAATTGGCATTTATGCTGGATCAAGAAAGAAAGTGATGGCACTGTCTTTCTGGACTCTGAATCATTGTCCACTGGGTCGATGAAGAATTTCTCGGGGAGAGTTAGACTGCCAGCAGCGAGGGCGTGGACTGTAACAGTATTTGGTCTGTCCATAATCGAAGAAAATACGTCAAGAGATTAGCGTGATTTATGGGAGACAGAGTACTGAAGAGACATCAAGCATTTCAACTACATATTCTGACATGAATCTTGGGGTGTCTCCATCCATTTGGGGGGGCACTGGCATATGTTCATAGTTTGGGGTGCTCGTCTATAATGTTAGATTACACCTTATCCTCAGCATTCCCCAGACAGATTACAGCTTCGGACATGCTTATTGTGTATGACTTCCATTACTGATAGATTATGCATTGCGTAGGTATCTAAAGATGAGGCTTATATTCACCGTCCTCCTTCATCTCCTTAATCATCTTCTCTGTAATTTTCGTGGCTTCAATACCCGCCGGAGCCCCGCAGTAGACTGTGGCCTGCAAAACTGCCTCGCTAATCTCCTTCTCCGTCAAGCCATTGTTGATAGCGCCACGCGTGTGAACCGCCAGTTCTGGCCAGGCCTTGAGGGCAATCAGCATGCCGATGTCTATGGACCAAGTCAGTGTGCTTGCTTCAGGGCGGATTTCCTAATATGGTTCTTACTCAAGAGACTCCGCTGCTTTCTTTCCAGGCCGGGTCGTGTCCAGATATGGCCCCAGCACCATTCGGTCACGAGTTCTTGGCCAGGACGGGCAAAGTCGCTGGAGCCATTGGCTAAAGATCTCTCGACATATGCGTCACCAACGACTGCTCTGCGGACTTTCAAGCCCTCTTCGAAGAGGGTTTCGTGGAGGGGCTTGAGTTGGGGTTTGTCAGCCATGGTTTATGAGAAAGGGGGATGGAAAAAGGATGAAGAAATGGAGGAATAGAAAATGATACTAAATAATTAAATGGTATGCTGTACAAACGACATCGCCATTATTATACCGTTCTTTCCCTGTGCCCCAATGTTTCCCCAACATTCCCCTCAATACCCCAATGTCCACTTCTTCCCCAAAGATTACAACATCGAGATGGCTATGGTGGTATCGTGGTATAAATGGACTGCTCAAGGGAATTAGACGGTGTCTAGTTTCTCTTTTTGTGAAAAGAAAGAACAAGTTAATATTATCCACTATGTCGTCACCCATCACGGTAAGTCCCTTAGTATCAATCACCACATAGGGTTGCTGACACAGGAGTATAGCTCAAGAATCCCTCGTTATTCCATAACCTTTCCTATTCACATGGGAGATGGATTGAAGCCTGTTCAAAAGCACGCTTCGAGGTCGATGGTAAGTACCAAATCACAACAGCGAAACGCAGAATAACTGACGATCACAGACCCAGGAACCGGAAAAGTATTCACGACCTGTCCCGACCTCGCAGCAGAGGATGCCAATCCCATTGTACAATCCTCCTACGAGGCTTTCCAAACATACAAGACTATAAACCCCAGAACGCGCGCCCAGCTGCTGCTCAAATGGCACCAGCTCATCCGGGATAACCGCGATGATATCGCCACCATCCTGACGCATGAGACCGGAAAGCCGTTGAACGAGGCCTACTGTGAGATCGACTATGCTACCGGGTTTACCTGGTGGTTCGCTGCTGAGGCGGAGCGTATCCGCGGGGAAGTTAGCACGCCTGCTGCGCCGAATAGGAGGGTGTTGGTTATCAAACAGCCTATTGGTGTTTGTGTTGCGCTTGTTCCATGGAATTTTCCTATTGCGTGAGTGCGTACTTTCGGTTTATCCGGTTGTATACGGATACTAATCGGTTTTAAGGATGGTTCTCCGGAAGGTTGGAGCTGCGCTGGCGGCCGGCTGTACAATGATTGCCAAACCATCCCCCGAGACTCCTCTAACGACTCTGGCCCTGGCGTACCTGGCAGAACAGGCAGGATTTGCCCCTGGTATTTTTAATGTAATCACTACCTCGAACAAAAACACACCGGCTCTCTCAGAGACCTTGTGTAAGCACCCGCTGGTCCACAAAGTCTCATTCACAGGCTCCACAGCGGTGGGCAGCATCATCGCGCGACACTGCGCCGAAGGTATCAAGAAGGTGACCCTGGAGCTGGGCGGCAACTGCCCCTTCATCATCTTCGATGATGCAGACCAGGAACATGCGCTCGCTCAGCTCACAGCGCTCAAGTGGCGACATGCCGGCCAGGCCTGTATCACTGCCAACCGCATTTACGTGCACGACAGGATCTATGAGCAGTTCCTAGCCAAGCTCGTTGAGCACGCTAAGATGATCAAGGTCGGTCATGGACTGGAGCAGTCGAATACCATGGGGCCCCTGACTACTCCGCGAGGAGTCGACAAGGCCCGTCGTCAGGTCGAGGATGCAGTCCAGCATGGAGCGAAGATTGCTCATGGAGGTAAACCTCTGTCGGGCGCTGCGTTTGGTAGCGGTTACTACTTCGAGCCTACTATTCTCCGCGATGTAGATTCGTCGATGCAGGTGACGCAGGAAGAAAGCTTCGCGCCCATTGCCGCGGTGTACAGGTTCAAGACCGAAGATGAAGTCGTACAGCAGGCTAATAATACCGTCATGGGTCTTGCGAGCTACGTGTTTACCACGGACGTGAATCGCTCATGGCGCATGCTGGAGAAATTGGAGGCGGGTATGATTGGGCTCAACACTGGGAACTCTTCTGCGGCGGAGTCGCCGTTTGGTGGGATGAAGATGTCTGGGTATGGGAAGGAGTCTGGAAAAGATGTGGCTGTTGCGGAGTATTTGGTGTCAAAGACGTGTACCATGACTGTAGAGGGGGCACTGCCTTGATCTTATATAGCATTAACGATAAGGGCTTGCCCAAGATGATGAGACGAAGTCCAAACAGAGATATTTGTGCTTGTAATCCTAGAACGTACACATTATCCTTGAAAAAGCTTAGCTACATCAATTTTTAGCGCATGCCAGCATACCAATTTGTACACAGATGTTCGTCCAATGAATCCTTGTCGATACTAGCCCATGATTTGCAATTGGTCGTCCGGCGGCCACCGGACCTGCGCAAAGCTCAAACACCGCTTGATACTTTGTAGGTACTTGCGTGTGACCTCGTCGCTAAGGATGTGCGCTTGCTGGTCGCTCTGATGCAGTTTCTCTCGTGCAGATCGCTCGTGAATACCAACCATGGTAACACCAATGGGCCATGCACTGTTTATCGGAGTAATCAGAATCTTTTTTCATGACATAGGGGTAAGCAACTTACGCCTTTCCAATACTCAACCGCAAATAAGCATCATTAGCATCGACGTATCTCCTTTGCTGAGCTTTGTGAACAATCTCCAGAATAGGTTCCAGCATTTTATCATCCACATCAAACTTCTCGAGCTTTTTAAACAATGGCTTCAGGTTATCCCTCGACTGCGCCATAGCATTGTACGCCTGTCGACCCTGGAGACTCTGTCTGACAGTCAGATCCCGCTTCGCCAAAGCAATCTCCCACTCCGAGAGCACCATGTTGAAATACGACGCAAGTTGTCGAAACAGAAACTTCCGGCCCTCATTATCCTTGGGAATGGTCTGAGAGATTTTCATATCGACTTCAGGAACCGGCTCCAGCGTGGTAGGAATCGGGCCATTGGACAGCTTCGGCTTTGGCGTGAGAGCGCGCTGGACGAGGCGACGGTATCGACGTAGACGAGCATTATGCGATTCTCCAAATAAACAAACTGGTTCTTCCAGCTCGCGGAATTTCTGCGCAAGTTCCTCATCCGGAATATCATCCTCTTTTTCGCCCTCGCCCGGTGTCCCTTCTTCGCTACCGCTGCCAGGCGGTGGTAACTCTGGCAAACCGAGCTTCTTCCTCCGTTCTCGTTCCTTTATCGCTTCCTCTTCTTCCCTCTTCTTGCGCGACTCTTCTGCCAGTTTCTGCTTCTTCTGTTCTCGTTCGCGTCGCCGTTCGGCTTCCTCATCGTCGGCCTTGCGCTTTAATGTCATGCGCTCTTCGCGTTCGCGGCGGAGACGTTCTTGTTCTTCATTGTAAGCGGCGATTCGGGCGGCTTCTTCTTCGCCGCGACGGATGTATTTCTTTGCTGGTTGTTGTTCTTTGTATTTTTGGGATGAGTCGGTGCCTTTGGCTTTGCCGATTTCTTTGGACATTAAAGCTGCGAAATCCATTTTTATATTATAGAATCAATGGATGTAGAGATAAAGAAGATGAATTAGTCCATGAGTGATTTCTGGGGATACGGTAGTGGTTGAAAAGGTGAATGTTTGCGGCGGTGGAAGTCGAAGTCCGACAAAGCTCCGGATTTCTTGTTGTGACGAAGACACCTTCAACCTCAACCATCAGTTTCAACCACGCCACACCACAGCACAATTCTTAATTATATCCGTCAAACATCGAAAAATATACTTCAAATATTCAATTGACTGAATAGCAACCTCACGAAAACCAAAATGGCCGCGCGAAACGCGCCCCAAATCGACCGCCAAAAAACTACCCCCTTCCACCTCAAGCTCTTCTACCGCCTCAACAACTTCCACCACCTCGCCGACTTCTCCCTCTCCCCATCTCCGTCCGCCTCCTCATCCTACGGCGGTCCCGTCAGCGGCCCCAACGCCATCCGCGCCCAGTCACCCCCCTCCGCAACCACCGCGCGCCTCCCGCCACATCTCGAAATCTACACCTGGCAATCGTGCACCCTGCGCGAGCTTAGCCAACTGCTTACCTCGGCGCTGCCGTCGCTTCTTCCTGATCCACCTGTGGGCACGAGGTTGTGCTTTCGGCTTATTTACCCCGATACTAAAGCGGCTGCGGCAATGGGGTCCGCGGCGGATGCGAGAGGGCGGTATTTGAGTAAGGATATTGGGAATGTGGTTATTGGGCCGCGGGATACTCCGTACCGGAACGGTGATGAAGATGGAGAGGATGCGGCTGCGGCGCCGCCGCGTGGTGCGCTACGGTTACAGGGGAATGATACGGAGAGGGCGTTGCAGGATGTGCGGTTTGTGATTGGGGATTATGTCGATTGTGCGATCTTGCCGCCGTTGGAGGATGGGTCTGTTGCGCCGCCGATTATTTCGGGGAGGGGGGCTGTGGGGGGACCGGGGAGCATTGGTGGGGGGATGAGGGCGTTTCGGGACAATGGGTTTGGGCTTGGACGGGGTGGGAGAGGGAGGGGGAGTGAGAGGGTTCCTGTTGGGGATTGGAAACGGGGGGAGAGGTTGCCGGATGGGGGTGGACGCGGTGGACGGGGTGGACGAAGAGGGTGGGCGCCGTATTAGCTATGAATGACATTGGGGATTAAACTGGATGTAATTCGGAATACCCAGTTCATAACAAATAATTCACTTGAATGATTATAATACTGTTATGTCTACAATGCTTATCGATTGGCAGCGTCCAATCAGAAACGAAGTTATCGTCAGCACATCTCATGTTGGAAGAAATGCAGTAAATCTCTAATGAATACACGTCCAGAGTCGGAATATAAACCCCATAATACTCCAAGACAACCGAGATATCACTTAAAACTCCGCAATGGAATCCTCCCTCCTCTTGCCACGTAGGTGGTATTTGCCCTGACCAGTTAGCCCCTTCACCAAACTCTTATACCATTGATAGCGACATACATCAGTGTTGTAGGCAACATAGCCCAAAGCACCGGGAATGGCAACCATGTAGACGAACGAAAACCAGGCGTGGCGCGGCGTCCAGCGGAAGTACTTGTAGCGGTTGGCGGTGAGTTCTGTTGCTCAATGTCAGTCGTGTTCGGATTGTAGGTATATCCCCAGCGTCAAAAGGCAATTGGTTTCGAGCATTGAGTGTTTCCTGTTGTCTCTTGCATCACTATCGGGGAAACGGGTGGAAGTACCGTAGTATTTCTGGAGGGCCGGGTCAAGGACCAACGCTGAAAATCGTTAGCTACTGTTCTCAGCTAGCAGTGAGGAGGAATGGCATACACTTGCTTGGACCGGCCATGATTGCAGTTGATCGTGTCTATCGGCGCAAGTGGGAGACAAGCGAAGTTGAGGTCGAAGGTCGCGGATGCTTGGCGCTGAGTCATCTTAATTTATGCAATTTATGCTGCATAACTCAGCTCCACTTGAGATACTGAATGCGATAACGAGAACGAAAACGCCAGAAAATAAGATCAAATAAAGTAGTCTAGGCACATCTCTCTATTCTATTCTCCTCGCATTTATTTCTACTTTAAGTGCTGACTCAGAAATAATAGTCTCGTACTCTGGCACTGCACTCCACTGTGACATCACGCCTAATCCTAAAGCGTTCGTCACAAGATTATCGCCGAGGTTCGCGTCTGCCCTATATATATTGAAGATCCCCTCCATTTTTTAGACATCACAATATTTTGAACTTTCACAGATTTACACTCACAATGGCTCAAGACACCAAGGTCACTCTCTACTGGTATGTCTCATCTCACCTAGCCAAGCAGGAAATCTCTAACCCAACCAAGGCTGGAGCAATCCCGCTCCCAGCGCATCCTCTGGCTCCTCGAAGAACTCAACATTCCCTACGAACTCAAAACCTTCAAGCGCGGTCCCGACATGCTTGCTCCCCAGGAACTTAAGGAAGTCCATCCCCTCGGAAAGTCCCCCGTCATTGGCATCGAGAACGAAAACACCACCAAGCCGTTGATTCTCGCTGAGTCGGGCTTTATCACCGAGTATCTGTGCGACCACTTTAATGGGGAGAGACTTGTGCCGAAGAGATACAAGGAAGGAAAAGAGGGACAGGTTGGTGCGGAGACAGACGAGTGGATTCGGTACCGGTACTACATGCATTATGCGGAGGGAAGTTTGATGCCGTTTTTGCTGTTGTCTTTGGTTATGAACGGTAAGTCTGCCCCAGGTTTCCATCTAGATATAGTTGACTAATTGACTAGCCCTCCGCAACGCCCCCGTCCCTTTCTTCGTCAAACCTCTCACCAGCATTGTTGCCTCCAAGGTCGAATCCGCCTTCATCAACCGCAACATCGACAACCACTTCCGCTTCCTGGACGAGCAGCTCAAGACTGCTCCCGGCGGCGGCCCGTACCTCTGCGGCAAGGAATTGACGGCTGCAGATATCCTGATTAGTTTCCCGATTATCGCGGCTATGATTCGGTTGCCGGAGGGTGCGGAGAAGTATCCCAATGTGAAGGCGTATGCGGATTTGTTGCAGGGGACAGAGGGTTATAAGAAGGCGGTTAAGAAGATTGAGGAGGTAGAGGGAAAGTTTGAGGCTATTATGTCGTGATTTTGTGTTCTTATTTGATGCCATGGTGTTTATGGATATGTGTTATGTTGAATGTCTATGTTATGTCCGTTCTGTAATATATGTAGGTCTGTTGCACTGCTATTAAATGACAGACTGGCATTAGTATCTATCCAGAACTCGCCTCAAACCACTATATCCAAACGAGAGCCAAATAGCGCCCAGAAAAAGAACTATAGAAAATCAGAACGCCGGCCAATAGCATCAACCCTCACCCCCAGCATCTCCATCTCCTTCATATCCAGCACCCCCCGTCCATCAAAAACCCATTTCGGATCTTTCATATTGTACGCAATCCGCGCCCATTCCAGAGGCTCCAGCACCGTAGGACGGCTCGATTGCGAACGGCAATCAGCGCAATCAGTGGGACAAGCGTCTTGGGGTGTCAAATGGTAGGTCGCGCCATTGGAAACCCATACGTCTTGTACGGTTGGGTCACTACCCAGGCTGTTGTCCATTTCAGATGTATAGGATTTGGTAGATGACCGTCGGGGTGAGCTCCGGAATTGATCGCAGTCTGTGATGACAAGCAGCGCATTCGCCCGTGAACAGGCGAGGTACGGATCTCCATACACCCTGACTGCACTGGCATCACCACAGACAACCCCAACTTCCCAAAGAATATCCTCCCCTCGACAAAACGGATCGAAAACGGCAATTTCCAATGGCCGTTCTTCTAGCAATAGCCTGATAACATCAACAGCCAACGACTCACGCGGATCCCCCGTCCCCTTCTTAAACGCAAACCCAAGCAGTGCTAGCTTCTGCCCAACCAGGTTCCCCCGAAACCGCTGAACAACTTTCCCAGCAAACCGGTTCCGCTGCGCCTCGTTCATCACATTCACCTGTCTCCAGTAATCCGCAACATCTTCTAAACCCAGCGTCTCAGCCAGATACGTTAAGCTAGCAATGTCTTTCCGGAAACAACTCCCCCCAAACCCAAGGCCAGCTTTCAGAAATTGAGGCCCGATCCGCGGATCCAGACCGATAGCTTGGGAGACCTGGTCGACTTCTGCGCCTGTGCGTTCGCAGATAGCGCTGATGGAGTTGATGCTGCTGATTCGCTGTGCGAGCATGGCGTTGGCGACTAGTTTTGCGAGTTCGGAGGACCAGGAGTTTATTTTGAGTATGCGAGTGGAAGGTACCCAGGCGCTGTATACACTAGCCAAGACACGGGCTGCGTGGTGGCCGGACGGCATCCCCGAAGATCCGATTAAGACACGGTCTGGGGTTGTTAGATTATCGATTGCTGATCCTTCGGCTAAGAACTCGGGGTTGGAGAGAACTTCGAAAGGAATGCCTGGGCGAAGGCTGGCCAGCTATAGAACATAGCAGGTTAGTCTACATTGTCGCAGGCTTAAACTAAAATAAGCATCTTGGGTGCATGTACCAACTGCCGGACCCGCTGCGCAGTCCCACACGGTACTGTGCTTTTCTCCACAATGATAGTTCCTGGTTTCGCGTGTGCTGCTATCTCGCGCACGGCCTTGTCGATGGCCGTCATGTTTGTTGCTCTTCCGGCACCTTCTCCGAAGGTTTTTGTTGGTGTGTTGACTGCTAAGAAGATCATGTCGGCTTGTGATACGCGCGTCGAGTCGCAGGTGAAGAACAGGTTGGGACGGCGTTTTAGGGTGCCTGTAGTGTTTGTGATAGGGTCGTTAGTTTCGATTGCTGTACTGTCTCTAGTTGTGCGGACTACGTTGACGAGGCCCGGTTCGTGCACGGGGAGATGTGGTGATGTCCATTTTTGGATGCGACGGGGGTCCTGGTCCAGAACATTGACAGTTATAGCTGGGTTGTTCAGTGCCAGGACTGCAGCAGTTGGTCCTCCTGTTCAGCTTAGCAACACGTCACTTTTCGCTCTCCTTCAGCAGACAAGCCTTACCTACATATCCCGCACCCACGACGCAAATATTCCTCACGGCATCCCATGCCGCGGGGCCCTGAAAGGAGATGTAAGCAGAACCAGGAGAGCTCAGCAACGGTGACAAAGCAAGATCATCTCCTTTAGATGGTCCGGACAAAGGACTCAATGCAGGCGTAGTGAGACCAGTTGAGCCAGAACCGCTCCAGAAACTCTCGCCCGAGGTTCCCAGAGGAGAAGCGACGAAATCCATTGCGTCTTCTTGACCTGTCATCCTGGCTTATCGATGTATAGTCACATAGTATATCCTGGCTTCGGATTGAGGAGACAATGGTTTATACATGGTCTGATCGACTGCCCCTCCTTCGGTCGAGGGGCAATGCCCTGTGATCGCTAGCTGTTATCGTGATCATGTTGTACCATAGAATAACACAACGAGACAACCTCTGCCATCCCAGAAAACTCGTGGTATTTAGCACGCGGGGTGTCTCCCGGACTGCCAGTGGTTGTTGTTCTTGACTCGTCCCGAGCGAGAGACAGGCCCACGTGCCGCCGGCTTGCAATATCCTTATTTTGGGGTCGAATAGAATTCGTTCAAGGTTTATTGTACTGCATTCACGATAAAGAGGAGGGATAAAAAATGAGGATGGCTTGCTTTTGTTCGGTACTCATAAGGCGGGAGGTGTCTGCGGTTTCGTGGGCATGGGTATGTGTGTTTGCAGCGCTGCAGTATGGCCCTAAACACAGCCGTCTCTATCTCTCCACGAGACAACTTCCCGGATATCCTCAGAGGTAAACGGGTCTTGCTGACGACAGAATCACTAGGTCCGGTCAATGGCGTCAGTCGCACAACGCGCAGTCTAATCGATTATCTCCATCGCAATGGGGTAGACCTGGCAGTGGTTGCGCCACACTTCGAGGGGCAGCAACAACAGCAGGCAGATGAAAGGCTATTCCGTGAAGTGCGCATTCCCGGATATCCACTACCCTACAATCCGGACTTGACGGTGGTGTATCCATTCCACCTTGATGATGTCTACCGACAAACCTTTGAGCCGGACGTGATCTATCTGGCTAGTCCAGCCTCGCTCGGTTTCCAGATGCTGCTTCTTCTTCGCCAACTGCGACGTTCGCCGGTGGTGCTGTTGAACTTCCAGACGGATTTATCTGCATACAGTGAAATCCTCCTGCCGGCTCCGTTGGACCGGTTCGCTGTTTGGCTTCTTGCGACGGTGCAGGGATATTTGTTCAGTCTCCCTGCCGTGCATACCATCTTTTATCCCTCTTCTGCTATACGGGGCTACCTTGAGAAGACAGGAGCACCGCAGAACCGATTCCATAAACTTGGACGTGGTGTCGACACTTCACTATTCAACCCATCCCACCGCGATGAAAGCTACCGCCAGTCAATCGCCCCCAATAACGAAATAATCCTCGTCTACGTATGCCGCCTAGCCCCAGAAAAAGGCTTCGACTTCCTATCTCAAGTAGCAACACAACTCGCAGCAGCAAACCTACCCTTCAAAATACTCATCGTAGGCGGCAACCGCAACCCGGCCGTCGAAACTCGCATCCACCGCCTCTTCGACGAAGTTCGGGACCATGTCATTTTCACCGGTTTCCTGACGGGAGTGGATCTCGCGCGCGCATACGCTGCGGGGGATTTATTCCTGCATTGTTCTGTGACTGAGACGTTTGGGCTGGTTGTGCTCGAGGCCATGGCCAGCGGGCTTCCGGTTATTGCGCGCGACCAGGGCGGGCCGTCGGATATTATTCGTAATGGCCAGACAGGGTATCTCATGCCGCCGGACGACTTGGATGGGTTTGTTAAGTTGGTGCGACAAGTGTCGATTGACGGAGGACTCCGGTCTAATCTGAGCAGTGCTGCTCGAGGGTACGCAGACGTGACGACATGGGAGGCTATTAATCGTCGCGTGGCATGGCAGATTGCAGATGCTGTCGAGTCGCGGCCGCTCTCGAGAGCGCCGGTTACGCCTCTGCACATGGTGTGGGTGTTGGTTGAGAAGATGCGCCTTCTGGCTGCTATTGGGATGGTGTATTTGATGTGGCTGATAGCCGTGGTGCCGTTGATTATGCATGGAGAGACCATACCGCGGTTGCGTGCTTTTTATAAAGCTTGGAAATAGTAATGGTAATGAACAATGGCTTTGTTGTAGCTCCGTAGTGATACAGATTATCACTGTTGATTGAATAAACAAGCCAAGTTGTACGTCTCGTCCAAGCGCTGCTGTATAGCAGCCATAACCTGATCCAAGTCTGGCTTCTGTTCGTGCACCAAAACAGTCTGGAACAAAATGTATAGCGTTACTTCAAGCGCAGCTGTACGCTCTATACCTATTCTGGTCTATAGCTGTTAGCCAAGTACGTATCCAAGCAGAAGCCATAACACGAAAAGAGCCACCGGCAGCCTTCTCCGCTCATTAGCATCCCCAGAATACGAAACACATCCAGGTTGTCCTGTTTCAAAGGGCGAACCGTGCACCCCAGAGTGATGACAGAGACGTCTCGAGTCTGCTTCTGTTTGAGTTGTGGATATCCCCGATGATCTCATCTTTGGTGGGTCTGGTGGAATCTTCTGCGAGATCGATAAATACTGGGAAGTCGAAGTCAGTAAGATCCAATAGAATACGGGGAGTTGTCGTACATAGATCATCATCACTGGGCAGGTAGCCAAAAACAGCAACGTCGTGATGCTCTTGAACGTTCAGGCCAATGAGATACTAGGGAGTCCAGTTCTTGGGGCTCTGGAAGATCTTTCCAGTCAAAGCACGTGAATCCATGCCGGCAAGCTGAAAGGTTGTATGAGGATTACTTTGACCTGCAACATCACGTGTATAGGCAGGCTAGCTTAATCGGGAAATTGTAGGCCTCGGTCCATATGGCACTCGATATACTATACTACATCACCGTTTCCAGAGACTTGAGAAGCAGTAAAACATGTCATGGATTGAAGCTGACTGGAAAATCCAAGAATATGAGCTGAAGATTCACATCAGCAAATACAATCTATTTACACTTGCCTCTGACATGGCTTGAATGTTTGATATAGTAACAAACGCAGAAACATGTTGATTTACTGTGAAGGTATGTACATCGATAATTGCTATGGTTGTGTTTTGTACCATATTTCTCGCTTACTCGGTATTGAATCGTTTCCGAGTACAGATAACATAGGGCCTTGACGTTATGCTCTGCCAATGACCTACTCATCTGTAATCTCAATGAGGGTCTCTGTAATGTCCCTAAGTACTTAACCTGGACTCGTCCGCTGAGCAAATAAATACCCAGTCCCATAAGCATTTACCGCCTCTTGTCTAACTCCGGTTCCCTCAGCCCATAGACTGAGCATGTCTTTCCCGAGGTGACTTTCCCTAGGCACTCGAACGATTGCTAGAATGGATTGTCTGCGCTGCCGCTCAACCAATACCCACTTGTGCAACTCCCTTTGTGGCTGCGCGCCAAAGCTTCACAAAATTCATCCAAGGCTTACGTGACATCCTGTTCCAAGTTGTGGATTCCCTTTCTATCTGGATAAAAGTGAAAAGACAAAAATGGATGTAGTAGGTCTCCTTGTCGCTATTCTTTGATCGCGGTGATGTCATGTGCCGACTAACCAAATGGGGGAATTCGTATGTCTTATACGTGGTTATGGCTTCGATAATATTGCCTCTAACTTGTTGCACACCTACGGAGCGGTAACAATTCCATTTAGGACCTCTTGTCACGTGCTGCATACCAAGTCGGGTAAGCACTGACAAGGCTACACATCCCTGTAAGGCCGACAGGGATTACGCCTTGCACGGGGGCACTTGCTCGGTTACATCACGATTCCTACGATCTTACACTCAGCCTCGTACAGAGTACAGATTCGGGGACATCTACCCGCCTCCGTCAACGTTGCCCTCAGATAACAACACATGTCCCTGTAGAGATATCACGTGTGTGCTCCACGGAGATACTCTGGAGAAACGGATCGGAGTCCCCGCAGCGCCACATCACTGCCACATGGACGCCACATTAGCATTAACATCTTCACGACGAGGCTCCACGTGACGCTACCACGTTCGGACCACTACAGAGGACAGTAGTGCGCCGTAGTCACGGACGGACCACCACCGGAGGACTAATTGCTTCACTCCTACCGGCCCGGCCGGCTCCAATTACAGACCGGGATTTGGATCGACGACGACTCCGCGGAGGAGAAGAGAAAGGCACGGAAGAAGCCCGTCGCAAGAGTTCGACACAGTTCGACATCAAGGATTGAGGAGATCATGATCTACGAGAAGATGCATGCGGTGAAAGATGTCTTACAGCGGCTATGGAAAAAATCAATCATCTGTAGGAAGACATAAACGGTGGTATGGGGACGGTATAAGGTTTGGCCAGCTGTCTGATGATCCAACGGTGAATGACATGGAAGTTTCGACTGTCTCTGAACGGAGTATACGGAGTACAGAGTGTCTACTCTGACAAGTACGGACGGAGCAAGTAAAGTGAAAAACGGAAATACTAGCCCGCTGTGGACTAGCGCCACACATGGAAACGGCAGCGAAGGCCATGAACCGCGGTTGACAGTCACTAGTTAGTGGACTAACCCAATCAGAAATAGCGGGATGCAAGTGAAATGAACCGGTTGGTCCTTTCACTTGCAGGGGCCCATTTGTTCGGGGACAGTCCGTGCCAACAGAATCGCACTGGCCAATGGCTGGTCTGCGATAACGAGATCGCCCCTTTTCTTCCAATCCGGTGAGGCGATGGCGCCGGCGGTTTGGGAAGGAGGGCTGTGATTGGCTGTGACTGGTTCCGAGGTCGTGCCGTTCACCGCTGTTTGTAGGGTACCGAAGTACAGAGCAGAGGACGGAGGACGCAGGACTCTACTCCGTAGCCTACGCTTAGAAATTAATTCGTACAAGCGTAGCGGTATTAGTAGTAGTATAGAAAGTGTCTAATTATCGTGCAAGTAGTCATGATGTAGCAGTACCCATGTACCCATACTCGTAGGACAGTTGCATAGGACTACATAGAGGTACAGTAGCAGTAGCAGTCGCAGTAGCACTGTTGTCCGAACTGGAGCCGAGTGGGCCGCTTATGGTCCCCGGAGTGGCGAATCAACGCCCAGTTAATTCAGTTCGTTTGTGGGGATTATTCAGCGGCGGTTGGAGAAGCCGAAAGGGGAAACTTGTCACTCTCTGTTTGTTCATATTTATTATATTGTACAGAGTACTATAGTCCGTAGGATGGATTGAGTTGAAGGTCGTAATTTGATGGTCACTAGTCTAGGTTCAGAATTACTCGGAGTAGCCTCAGAAAAGGATCGTCTACCTCTTCCGTTCTGGTCATCGACTCGAGGAAACCCCGAAAAAAAGCCACCTCGGTAAATGCCCGTCGGATGAGACACCACTGTAGAGTACGGAGTACAGGATGTCTCTTCAGTACGATAAGTACGGAGTACAGATTAACTCTGTAGAGAATACTGTGTGCTATATTTGTGTATTTGTGTATTGTATGTTTGTATGCTGCATACTACTATATTACTATATTACTATATTATATTATATCATTATTATATAAATTAGGGAATGTATGAGAGTGAATACTCCATACACTCGGTTGAATACTACTGAATAGGTACTCCGGAATAGTGAGCTCATGATTTGGTCCGTGTAGCCCCACCGCCTCCATATTGCCCACCTTTACACTTATCCACTTATCCACGACGGAAACTGTCCTACTGCGACGGTAATACTAATCCATACTTATACCCGTCCCTCCTATCGTATTCTACTCATTATCTTTTCACTATCTTCTTCTCTATATCACTACTATCTTACTATATCTCTACCGTCTATTCCATCACGTCTCTACCATTCTCTACCATATCTGAATATGGCTACTACTACTACTACTACTACTACTACCACCACTGCTACAAACCAACAAATCTCTCTCTACGGTCATCCCTCGCCCGCTCCCTCGAATAATACCACTCCCACCACCACCACCAACAGCTCTCCCACTTCTCCTCGTCTCTCCTCTGCTACTCTGAATCAATTGCCCCTTCAGTCTCGTCAACTGCGTCCTCCCAAGGCTCCTCTCTATGTTCCTGCGGCTCTGCGCCCGACCGAACGCCCTCAGAGACACTCGCCGCCCACTCCTCCGCGCAGTGTGCATGGCTCGCTTGACAGTCTGAGCAACAGCGACTCTTCTGAGGTTCATGAGCCTATCAGTCGTCGCTCCACCATGGAGAGCACCACCAGCAGCAACGGTGTTATCAGCAAGTTGGCCGAAGATGAGTGGATGAAGAATGAAGACCTGGGTTCGGTTACTGGTCTGCCCACCAGAGACCACTGGAAAGTGAGTATCTCTCCTCGTGGGAACACGATATATATATATGTCTGAGCTCGTCGTTGGACTCGAAAATGATGTGCGAATGGCGTGATACCTGAACACAATGATGCTAACAACAACCTCAGGCGGACTCTGCTTCTTCCAACTGCGACTCTCCCACCTGCCGCTCCTCCTTTGGCCTGTTCCTGCGTCGGCACCACTGCCGTCACTGTGGTCATGTCTTCTGCTCCTCGCACACTCCTCACCTTGTTCCTCTCGACCAGAACGCTCGTTTCCACCCTGACGGTGTGCCCTCTCGCACCTGTGATCTCTGCTGGCACGCCTTCTCCCGCTGGGAGGAGTCTCGCGCTGAGCGTCTGAACAAGATTCAGAGCGTCTTGGATGCACAACAAACTGGCCCGTCCGAGATCTCACAAGACTCGGATGTCTCGGACGCTTCTCAGGAGGACACCTCCAAGTCCACCCTCACGCCTCCTCTTGCTCAGACTGGTGAAATCGCAGCCAGCGTTCCTCGCGGCTGGAACTGGAGTACTTTTTAAACTTACTCGCTACGATACCCTACTGTCGCGGCGCTCTAATACTCAACTCTATGCGCCCGCTAGACTGCTTGCATCGCACTATCTACTCGTTTTCCATTTTTCGATTTTTTTTTTTTTTTTTTTTTCGGCTTCATTTACATTTCTCTTGTTTGGAGTACGGTTCGGATGGGTTTCTTTCGGTCATGGTTTACGGCTTACGGTGTTCGATCCTGCCACTCGATTTGAGACGGCGAGGGTATTTTCGGTTTTTTTTTTTTTTTCATGTCATTTCGTTTCTTGTCAAGATACCCCGTCAGCTTTGAGCGGCAATTTTCTTTCGTTTATTTATTGGTTACGGTTATGGCGCATGCATATAGAGATAATGAATTTCGCACCACCAAACCACTATTTCCATACCATCAGTCTATTCCAACGTAGAGGTCATGATTCATGAACGACATCAACCCGCCGCCACATCCCAACATGCTCAATCCCCTCCTCGTGCCACCTCCCCATACCCTCATCTGTAACAAACCCCAACCGTGCATACATCCCTTCAACCGACACTTGCGCATGAACCAGCACCAACCCGTTCCACTTTACATCACCACTACCACCGTCCCGATCGGGTAAGCCCTCAGGCCCGCGCACAACTCGGGAATAAGCATGTTCTATCTCCCCCGGATTCCTCCGCGCCCAGTCAATGGCCGTCTCGACCAGTTTTCTTCCGAGATTTCGCCCGCGGTACGCCGGAAGAACCGCCACGCGAGTTAATTTTATATAAGGTTCGTGGATGGTGTCATATTGGTTGACAGGGGAGTGGATATTGTCATTGACTTGGTCGTTGACAGGATTGAGATTGTCTGTGTGCGTGTGTGTGTGCGCGTGCGCAGGGCTGATATCATGATGTTCGTGTGGTGCGTGAGGAGGGGGGACTAGACGAATCACACCGACTGCCTCATCTTTTCCAACCCCCTCCTTCTCACAATCCTGTTTTCTGCCCTGGCCTCCATCTTCCTCCCCTCCGGGCCGTGAGGAAGAGTACATAACCCAATGCCAACTCCGCGCATCGTCCTCATCGATCTCGCTCTCCGGCGAACATCCCTGTTCGTCGATAAAGACTGTGTTGCGCACGGTAAGTGCGTCAGTTAGCAGCGGTGGATTGTCTTTTGGCCTGGGATTTGAGGGCGTTGGGCGAGTAAGTTTCGCGGCGCCTGGTGGTCCATGAAGGGTGATTTCTGGGTGCATGGCGCTGTAGGTTTGTACGGTCTTGTGGTAGCGAGTAACGATTTGGACCCCTGATGTGAGAGGGGAACTCAATTCCTGTAGATGCAATGGCCTATCAGAACGGTGGGAGATAAAGACAGCATGCACAGCAAACAATGCAAACATCTTATCAGATATTTTATTTTCGTCGCGACAGCACTCTACAAACCCTGTACTAGTACAAGTGCTCATCCCATACCCAGGGAAAATAACACGAAGATGTCCCTCTACCACGACGCCTCCACAGTCCTAACAACCCCCTCCTCCACCGGCGGCTCCTTCAAATCCCGCATCTACAACTCCCGCGGTACGAACACAAAGGCTAATCCCGCGCAAATATACGCGCTTATTACGGAGACTGCGAAATGGGATATTCTTTTGAAAGAGGTCATTGAGAGGGCTGAATTACTCAAGTTGGAGTCTAAGGTGGTTTCTCTTCACCAATTCTCATATTACGCAGGTGTAGGACACTGCTAACTAAAATGACAAGACAGCTCACCCCCCTCCTCGCGCTATTCCTGGTCCATGATCATTTACTCTCAAAGAAAGGTATCGCGGCGAACAGTAGCCATCCGCTGCGATTGGTGATTGAGAAACACAAGACGAGATTACGGGGGGAGTTCATCAAAGCCCGTGTGCGAAGAGGATGCGCATCAGTCGAGGAATTGAAATCAGTCGTGCTCCGGGAGAAAAAGGCACGGCTTAGGGCTGAGAATGGCGATAAGGTCTCTGCTGTGTATCCGCGGTGGGTGCGCATTAATACTGTTAAGACGACCCTGGAGAAACAGTTGGGGAATACCTTCGCCGCATACGAGAAGGTGACCTCTCTGGCAGACCTAGTCCAGGACGACGACGACACGGATGACCAGAAACGGGTGTATATCGATCCGCATATCCCTGATTTACTCGCTGTGCCGCCGGGCGTCGAGTTTATTGCATCCGCCGCGTATAAGAACGGCGAGATTATTCTGCAGGATAAAGCGTCTTGTTTTCCTGCGTATCTCCTAGCGGGGGACACGGAGTGGGAAGGTGATTTGGTAGATGGGTGTGCGGCGCCGGGGAATAAGACCACGCATCTTGCTGCACTGTTGTCCAAGCACGGTGTTAAGAGTTCGAGGGTTATTTCCATGGACGCATCGCCGGCACGCTCGAAAACGCTACAGAAAATGGTCGCCGCGGCTGGTGCGGCGGGAAATATCGTCACCGTCCTCCAGGGACAAGACTTTCTAGCCATCGATCCAGTGACTGATGAGCGCTTCGCCAATGTCACCGGTCTCCTCCTCGATCCTAGTTGTTCGGGAAGCGGTATCATCGGCCGAGACGACGTGCCCCGACTCCTTCTTCCTAGTATTCCCGAGATTAAGAGTCGCAAGAATCAAGGAAAGAAACGTAAGCGCGATGATCCTCCTGCACCAGTCGTAGCGACACCATCATCAACAGACGAAAACGACACCCCGACTATACTGGATAACGACCGCCTGACGAAACTCTCAAACATCCAAGCGCGCATCGTCGAACATGCGCTTTCTTTCCCATCTGCGATGCGCGTGACGTATAGTACGTGTTCCATCCATCTAACCGAGAACGAATCTGTCGTGGAGCGCGTGTTGGGGTCGGACATTGCACAGCGCCGCGGGTGGAGGGTTATGCGGAGGGATGAGCAGCCGGTTGGTTTGAGGGAGTGGACGTATCGGGGGATTAAGAGTTATGGGGAGGGTGAGGAGAAAGAAAGTGTACAGTTGGGGAACGAAGAGTTGGAGGGGTGTTTGAGATGTTGGCCTGGGGATGAAGAGGGGCTTGGGGGGTTCTTTGTGGTTGGGTTTGTGAGAGATGGTCAGGACGACGGTCAAGAGGATGAGGATGATGACGAATGGGCGGGATTCTCGGATTAATTCTATACTGTACAATACTCTTGCACTTCATTTATATCACCTCAGAAACCGCCTTGTGCGGTTCAATTCCTTCTGCCTTGTATATAACTCCAACTTGACCGGGGAAAGCGACAGCTGCACTCTCGTATCACTAGGAATAGGCTTCCCCACACGTACCCGCCACTGTCCCCTCCGCACGAACCATTTACTGTCCTCCGGTTCGTCGAGGCGCGGGCGTTTTGTGGCCGATGGCAGTTCTGGGGGATAAGCGCCAGGGCTTACTAAAATATTATCAGTCTGGCCATTGACGGTAACATCCGCGTCATCCAGGATGGTCATGGACACAGTATCAGCCTTGTTCTCCTCCATTAGAGAAACATCAGGCGAGAATTTGCTGACGGCAGACTTGGTCAGACTTGCGATTCGTGCGCTGGTGGGACCTGAGAACCTAACTCTCGTGAGAGAGACGAGTGTGGTTTCGTTGTTGGTCTCAATGATGAGGTCGTGCGGTTTTTCGCTTGTGAAAGGCCGGGCGTATCCCATCCACCCGGCCTGTCGTTGGTCGTCATCCGGGATGAATTCCAGTCCTGATGGTCGCAGGTCTTCTAGGCGAATAACTATCTCGGATCGCTGCGTGATTGGGTTGGTGCGGATGTCGTGGGGTATTAGGCGCTGCTCTAGGCCGCGGAGGTGGTAGTATCGACAGTCTCGTAAGAGCTGTTCCTGATGCTCCCCACTCCGGATTTCCAACGGATAGCCCTGTAGCATATGCAGTAGTTCTGCAAAGACATCCCCAGACCGATTCGGTACACTCGGGGGTTCAATCGCCGGTGGCCGTAGCAACCCTGTCCGGTCTAATCCCGGGAAAACTTCTGATGGCGAAGCGAAGAAATCGGCAAATCCTAGGGAGAAGAAATTCGGTGAATTACCCGGGGACGAGAAGATGTCGCGGGGGATCTGGAACTGGCGGCCGCCGATTTGCACAAAGATGTCGGATTCGAAGAGCTGGGAGGTTAGGCGGGGTACTATACTGTCAGCTGCGTTCGGTTCAGGGTTGGAGGGACGTACAGCTGTAGAATTGCGCGTCTGCGAATAGCTTCACAAACTCCGTGCTGTCTCTGGGGCGGACGTGATATCCTGTGTTCATTAACATTACTGTCGCCATGGGCCCGGTAAAAGACATACCCTGCAAATGCCTCGCAATCTCCTGAAACGTCCCCGGATCCCGATCAATATACAATGTCCTCAGATTCACATCTCCATTCACGCTGAGTTGGGTTTCGAAGAACTGCGAGAAATAAGACGGAGCTCGAAGCTTTTAGCCTTCACTTCGCTTTTACAACCGAGACAGGACTGACCGTCTGATGCTATTGAGGCACCCGAGAGGCGGAAGAGTTCTGTGCCGATTTGGATGGAGAAGACCTTTTCGAGTGGGAGGGTGCATTGTTCTTGTTTGATTGACATTGCGTTCGCTCAACTTGAACTGAAATCGAGTGGAAGTGTCCGGTCAGGTTGAAGCCGACGCGATTCGCGTGTCGTCAGTCCTCGGTGCGATAAGATAAGCGTTTATGTGGGCAACAGGAAAAAAGAAAGAAAAAAAAAAAAAGGCAAAAAAAAGAAACGATCCCGGTGCGATTCGAACGCACAGCCTTTAGTACCGGAAACTAACGCGCTACCATTGCGCCACGAGACCGCTTGTGATAGAACGAGAACTTCTTTGTATTATAGCCTGGTTGGTGCTGAGGTGTCTGTACATACATAGTGACGCTACATACTAGTTTTATCGTCCTCTACTCGTGCTCTATGTTTCTATCATATGTTACCATGAGTTATTCGAGTTGGTCTAGCAAAAACTGTATTTGGCCAACATATGGTTATCCGTATGGATAATTGTCGGTTCCATCCTCATCATCTCCAGCCCATGCGGAAAATATATATCACAACGGTGGTACTCAACGGTGACCTGACCCAACATGTGACTGCATAAATAGCTCGATTGTCCAACACGACAACTATATCCCATAACTTAACTTCCAGAGAGAGTCTTCTTGACCCTGTATGTTTGTCCCCTGATACTACTCACCACCAAGACTACATCCCGGGATCCTGTCGAATGACTATCGGTAACACAGAATCGAGACATACTAACTTACCTTGCTAACTATACCAGCCGCCACAGTGACATACAAATGAGAATAGCATAGCATAGAAACGCTAGACCCAACGTCCAGTCCCCGTATGTACAAATGGAGCAATTACCCCCGTAGATATGCTCCGTAGATGTACTCCGTATCCCTAGCCAATCAGCATCGCCAATCCTTCGCGATGACACCATATCTATATGCCACTATATGCCAAAATAATGTATAGAACTACCCGGTACAATATAGCATCCAGCTTCACCCAAATCAATAACACATATATACGCATCAACTATATGGTGTATTTCCCACCAAAGACAGATTCTACCCCGCAACGCATTTGTAATCACCAATGACCTCCACAGTGATCCGCGGTTCATTGTCTTCCACGGTTTTCTGCACCGTCTCTTCCTCTTCTACAAGTACTATACTCTATCCTCTACCATCCTACATACTCAATTAAATCCATACCAAAGAAAGACAGACAAAATGGCCTTCGGAACAATCTACTCCTACCCCAACAACCCCCGGGTCATCAAGGTACGTCCCTCACCACCCTCCCTCACTAGTACTACCCATCTATCCAAATCATCATCCTAACAGTAATGCAACAGACCCACGCCGCCGCGAACCTCAACGGTCTGGAGGTAACAGAAGCCCCCTTCCAAATGGGCGTCACAAATCGCACACCTGAATTCCTCACCAAATTCCCTCTCGGCAAAATCCCCGCCTTCGAGTCTGCCGACTCCTCCGTCCGCATCTTCGAATCAGATGCTATCACCCAGTATGTCGCTGAATCGGGACCCGCAGCATCCCAGCTATTGGGCAGTACACCCGCCGAGAAAGCGCAGATTAGGCAGTGGATTGTCTTCGCGGAGGGCGAGGTCATGGGAGCTGTCACTAGGTCTGCGCTTTGGAGGGTTGGACTTAAGGCGTACGATGAGGCGACGGAGACTGCTGCGTTGGCGAGCTTGGATCGGGCGGTGAAAACGCTGGAGACGCATTTGCAGGGAAGGACGTGGTTGGCTTCTGAGGAGAAGTTGAGTTTGGCGGATATCTCGGTGGCGTCGGCACTTGTTTGGGCGTTTTCGATGATCTTGGATGCTGAGTTGAGGCCGCAGTATCCTACTGTGCTTGCTTGGTATGATCGGGTTCTCGAGACCGAGGGAGTTAAACAGGCTTTTGGAGAGAAGAAGTTTATTGAGAAGCGTAAGGCTCCTCCGTCGTAGACGATTACTCTGACTGTACGATATCACCACATAGCATGAAGTACATTAAAGCATAATTGCATCGAAGGATATCATACGCTCATATCAACATAGGAATAACGTTTGTACAAGGAAAAGACTACAGTCGAGCCAGCACATTACCGTTCCGTGCCATCGACTTGGTAATGTTCCGACTCGCCCAGTCCGCAATCGCCATATTGGTCACCATCGGATTCACTCCACTGGCGCTAGGGAACACCGATGCATCAAGCACATACAGCCCCTTTGTCCCCCAGACCCGACAATCCGCATCCACAACGCTCGTCCGGGGTGACTTGCCCATGCGACACGTACCCATCTGGTGTGCGCTGGCGAACAAGGTGCGTTCCGGATCCAGAGGGGGATGGCGACGTACTTCTGCAATCCACTCCTGCAGATCAGCACTGTTCGTGCCTTCAGATGCTTCTTTCGAGTCTGATGATCGAATGAACGGGGGCAGTGCCCGGCAGCTCGAGTGGAATTCCCTCGCTCCTGAAATATACGCAATCTTCGCCGTCGCAATCAGCGCTTCCAGCATGTGTTTCCGGTCATAGCTCGAAACCGTGTAGTCAATGCGACACCGTCCATCAACAGGATCGGGGTATACCCGTCCGGCGTCGCGCTCTTTCGTAAGGGTGATGAAGCCCGACATTCGCGGGAATTTGGCAGCCCACATCTTGTAATCCAGTCCATCGCGCCAGGGGAACGTCGGGATGAAAACAGCCGGTAACATCGAAAGGTTCTCGATCTTGACACCGTGCCCCTGTCCATCCATATTTTCAAACTCATTGACAACCGTGGTCAACGCTGAACCCTCCCAAGGACGAACCTCCTCATCAAAGACCGCCGCTGCTAGGGAGACCGGATGAAGGTGAAGATGTTTGCCAATGTGTGAGTTCTTCAAACCGCTGCGCAGCAAAAGAAGAGGGCTATGCAGGGTCCCGCAAGACACGATAACTGTCTTCGCTTTGATGATAACCTTCCGCGTCACGACATCACCGCTGGTACCAAAGTGAGTGTCTCTGGAGGTCCAGGTACCCTCCACACCGCTGGCCACTCGCCCCCCGTCCGTCTGATCGAATAATACTTTGTCCGCGTTGAAACCTTCCATGAACTTGGCACCGGCCTTGGCTGCGTCTGCCAGATAAGATTCGGTTGGTCCCTTCTTTCCGGTCGAGTGACAGCCCATCGTACAGTATCCACAGTAGTGCTCGCCATTCCCGGTGTTCTGGGGAACCGGCTTGGCTGCGTAGCCCAGCTTACGCGCCCCTTCGAGGATGACCCGGTTGCTATGGTTGTGCTCGATGTTAGAGTTTACCCCCATCCGATCAAAAACCCGATCCAGAGCCGTTTGAAATTCCAAGGACGTAAAGAACGGAAGACCCGCGTTTGCCCACTCCTGCCGGACGTAGCCCTGTGTCTGAAGCGAAGCTGACCAATTCACCGTACCACCACCTCCCCAGGTGGATCCTGAAAGCACGGCCATGGCGCCGTCATCGCTCATGGTTGCGCCGCCGCTTTCAAACAGGTTCGTGAAACCCTCGTTGAACCTCATTGGGAAATGCCTTGTCGAATGATGGTAAGACTTTTCCACAACAAGCACATTATGACCTGCTTCGGCGAGGTTCTTTGCCGCAACGCCCCCTCCACAACCACTTCCCACGATGACAACGTCGGTCTCGATCGTCTCTGGTTCATCACCGGGCGGCATCTGCAGAAACTCATACTCGTGGCCGTCCATGGCCTTCCCATGAACGGGAACCCGAGGGAAACCGATAACCGGGCAAATGGTCGGACTCATAGTCACCCACGTCTTCTTGAAAATAGCCGTGAGAGCCCTGTAAACGGCCCGGATCGGCTTCAGACGAGAGGTTTCCCATCCGCGGAATACCCTTTCACGAACCTCCAAAGGCTGCTCCGCGATAGGAGTAGTCGAGCCTGTGAGGATGAGAGAACCGGGTTTTGAGTTGAGAGCACTCAGAACCATCGACATCCCATTCTTACCCTCGTCATGCACCCATTCCGCAAATAGCCGTTGAATCGCATTCCGGAAGTCTGGATTTGCCGACGGTCGTTCCTCGAGATATCGCACGGCAACTTGGTTCGCATCCGGGCCGGGGATACTGGCAGCCAGCGCCGCTACAGCCTTATTCACCTCCGATGATGATACGACCTTGTCATTGGATGAGTGTGGACCCTCGCGGGCTTTGATAGAGGGAATGACCGTATCCGCCAGAGCCAAAAGTGTCTGCCATTGCGGTTTCGAGAATATCTCGGCGGTAGGCACGGGGGGAACCGGCGCATCCAACGGGGTATAAGTCGAGACTGCTTGCTCTGCCATTGTTGCGATTAGAGATATTGTAACTCGTAAGAATAGCCAAGGGTGAAAAGGGGAAGTCGAGTGTGCGGAATCGGTAGGTGATAGAGCACAACACAAAGTACGCGAAGTGGACCAGCGTCACTTCCGTATCGCCAATATTCTTGTAGAGGAGGTCAGGTCGCGCCTTCCAGTATATATGTTGTCCTCAGCACCCGCGCGACTGGCTTGACCAGCGATCGTTTCCCCCTGATTTGTCCGTAATCCTCGAGCCGGAGCGAGTTTGCGGGGAAGGAGCGACTAAACCGCAATAGACTTTTTCTTGCGAGAACAGCGAAGCAAGAGACGGAGGTCGGGGAGACACTGCGAGCCGAGGCCATCTTGTTCTGATTGACGGTGGGTCAGACTGATGTTTGGGGATGTTTTATTAGCTGAGAGCTTGATCTGCAGTGGAGAAATAACCGAGATGATTCCATGTGAAGCTGGACTTGAGTAAACAGAGTATAGCCATAATACCATTTATTAGAGGCTATTAGAGAGTATCTCGTATAATCGCACTATAGTTGAGAATGGAGAGAGTGAACGGAGAGTTGAGGGTGAGGGTGAGTTGGAGGTTGCGAGGCTCTACCGAGGTGCGTGTACAACGGGTATTAATGCAATTAATGCATTAGTTTATATCTGTACGTACAACAGCCGGGATCCGCTTCAACATACAGCAATTTTTTTTGGGGATTTCGTGACTGGCACCTGGTCCAAGCCTTCAATAGATGGTCGAAGTCTCTCCACACGCGAGATTTGCTTTTATTCTCTTCATGCTTCTGCCCAGAAGTAGTCTCATGAATAATTGCTTGCGCGATCGTAGTGCTACAAAGCCCGTGGCTGCGTAGACACTCGATCTCTGGCTTGGGCGATGCTCGGGGTCTGCTGGAGTCAGGTTCCTGGAGGTACGAGTTCGTAAAATTGAGGAAAACTCGGTTACAATCGCTCATCACCTTAGCTAAAGTGAAATGGCCCGAACTGCTGAGCCACATTGTTCATATGCCTGTCCCGCAAGACGATGAGACTGTATGACGAACTGAAAGAAACAACGAGGAGTCGTACGCTATTCAGCAGGTTGCAGTCCCGGATCTCTTCTGGACTGCTTGAATGACGGACTGGCTACCGTCCGTTAGGACAAGGAGGTAGCCATCTCGTTTTCGCCAGCTGTGGCTTCCGTGATTTTGGCTGGAGACAGCAGATCTTTTGGTATCCTCAGGGGTCATACATTGTGAACCATAAGATCAAAGGAGCGAGCGAGGCTGCAGACCTATGGCATATAATTGGCTTTTATTGGGCGACGATTCGACCCTTGAGACAACCCAACAAGCTGACTCCAGATCTGCTTTCTCTCCCTATAAGCAATGGCTTCAAGTTGAACAGTATAGGTTCTTGATTGACTCTATCTGTATGTCTGCTTTGACTTGGCTTGTGGCTTTGCCTGAAGAAAGTATCTTCGAAGGCTGTGGTCTCTTTTATGGACGTGGACCATTTGAATTTTCCTGAATTGGATCTGTGATTTACAGCAGCCTATCCATCGGAAGAAGAGGTTAATTCTCCGGAGCCCCTGCCAGCCTGGTCCAACTTTCGGAGAAGCAGGCAGTCAGTCTGCTGAGCGCAGTGATTCCTGTACCTATAATCAGCAAACGATTGTGTTGTGATGTCACACAAGCTTATTTAATAATGGAAACTGACATTTGCATTCTAATGCACTTGATCGTTCTCATAGGATTGGCTAGATTAATAGAATTCCGAGTCCCATTTCACGGAACTGGGATAATATTTGACCACAACCCATATGAAACACATACAACAACCGGGATTCGCTTATCTATTCATCAATAGCTAACGAGGACTTGCCGAAATCAAGCGAATAAACTATCAGCAGCAACCAGATGTTATCTCGTTTATGAAGCCATGTCCAAAGTAGGAACCCCGTTTCCACTGCGGCCATGGTGAAGCTCTAGATTGCACATTGAATCAAGGGAAAGAGACAGCGCATTTTCCAAAAAAAAAAGCACATAGAAAGCCTTCTGTTGCCCAAGCGGTCTGCGCCAAGTCAAAATAGCGGGCGAGCTATTTTGTTGTGGCAGATGCTCTCGGGGACAAAAAAGGGCGTCCTGGTACAGGTGCACGAAGCCATCGTCAGAATGGATCAGTGTTGACACCATTAAATGCATAGATCCTACCATACACCTCACACTTGATCATGATTTCCATTCATGGAGACTCAGCGGCTTCCACTCTAGCGTAAAGGTCCTTGTCAGAGACGTCAGTGTAAGACGGACTGTATTGACCCTTTTCCACTGAAATTCCTCGTTGTAATGGCTGTCGAGAATCTTTCGACTTGCTGAAGCCAATGGAGCCCAGTAAGCTCTTGCAGCGGTAGCACCAAGACTCGCGATAATCCCAAATGATTTTTGAACTTTCTACCCAAACTATGCTTTTTATGAGGAAACTACAGACAAGGAAACCTAGATCATTTTGACATTGATCCTGTCTAGTCATTTGCCATGATGCTAACCCTCTAAATTCATACAGAGCAACAATCTTATTCCTTCAAAAGAAATCACAGACCCTCTCTAAGCAACCTGTCCGTTTCATGCGTCTGTATTTATACTCAGAGACAGTTAATAGTAGCTAGCGACAGGCTCTCCCAGCACATCCAAGCGAGGTTCAATTCCTAGGCCCGGCGCGGTGGGCGCTGTAACATAGCCATCGTGTACATCAAACCCGCCATCCGCCGTCTTGAGCGTGACCATTTTCCGACTTTCAAGAATACAACGCAATGATCGCGCTGGGACCGTCTGCCCCAGGTGCACTATTGCTGCAAATGCAATATCTGAGCCTGTCGTCTCCTGTACGCTCATGGTATAGCCTGCGGCCAGAGCAATATCCCGCACACGGCGGCACCTGGTTAGACCACCCGTCTTGGAAACTTTCAGCCCAATGCTCTCTGCCGCGTCGTCCGCGACAAGCTGCACAATAGAAATCTCATCGATTGCAAGCTCGTCCATGCTCATGGGAATATCGGTTCTCCGGCGGAGAGAGAGACACTCGCGCAATGTAGGACAAGGTGCTTCCAGGATGAAATCCAGTCCGTCAGGCAGGAGCCTCAACAAACGAAGAGCGATTTCAACAGACAGTCCGCCATTGGCGTCAACAATAAATAATTCGCCGGGTTGTTTGTCAGCGAGAGACGCTGCTATGCGCGCGGCGTCAGCTGCAGGATCACCTCCAATCTTGACCGAGTGCCCTTTGTACCCTCTTTTCCGATGATCGGCAACGTTATTGCGCATGGCCTCCGGATCATCCACGGGAATGGAAGAAATAATTGGCAACCTAGTATCGGTGCGGCCGCCCAGAAGTTCACAGACAGGAAGTCCAACTGACTTCCCAAATATATCCCAGCAGGCAACATCGATCGCTGTTTTGGCATGTGTGTGACCGACCAGTGCAGTATCCATTGCATCATTGATACGGTCCACTCTTCGCGGATTCAGTCCGATCAGCTTGGGGGCGATTTCAGCGATACCCGCTCTGACTCCAAGTGCATGAGACGCGACAAATGTAGAGCCAAAAGGGGTGCTTTCCCCCCAGCCCTCAAGCCCATTATGGGTCGTTATCCGGACAATCGTGGCGTCGAAACTTGTATATTTCCGGCCCCCAGACAGATGATAGACACCTCCTGCGTATGGCAAGTCAACTTGGAAAACATCGATCCGTGTGATTCTTGGACCCGTCATGTTTCGTCGCGGTCCAAAGTAAACAGAGAAGAGGGTTTTCTTGTAACAGGTACGTAGATTCGAGTATCGTGCGCAGTAGACAGTGATATTCTCTTGACTGCTCACGGAAGTAAGCTCGGGCTCTGATCCCTATTTGTTGAAGATGCCATACCTCCTCCGGCTTCAGAAAATATGAAGATACCTATCCATCGTTTAAGATCGGCCATTGGAGTCGATTCCATGAGGATAGGGACTCGTTTCCATACTTGGGGAACAAGGATCGGGACAATAACAAGGATCGGGACAGAGAGCAATGCACACTTCGGTTCGGGTAGCACTGCCGTGAGCTATCCCGCACGGTTCAGTAATGGTCATTCGTGATTCGTCACATTATCATTAACACAAGAGCGATAAGTGAACTGGTTTGGAACCGAGACGGTGCATGGCCGCGGGGACCTATTGTGGTTGCGTCACTGGGGTTTACAACTATACCCAACCAGACACCAAGAATGAGAAACACGACCACGCCAGAACTACTATATATTAAACAAACCTTCCACATAATCTCCATACTACGTCGCTGACACAGCTATCCTCACCTGTGAGCCGTACTCGCCAACCATGACCACTGCTACGGTAAAAACCCGTCGGGCATTTCGCCGGACCGACGACTACACCCCAGGCACACCGAAGTTGAAGTATTTGGAGGAAGCCTTGCCTCCTCTCGGTCTGACATCGGTCTTGATAAAGATCCATGCCATTTCTCTGAATTACCGGGACGCTAACATCGCGAACGGCGGAAATCCCTGGCCCGTGTTACCAAATGGCATACTGTGCAATGATGCAGCAGGTGAAGTGGTCGCTACTGGCGAAAAGGTGAAGAACCTTGCTGTCGGGGACAAAGTGGCCCCTATAATCGACACAAAGTACATAACCGGGCGAGAGCTAGGTCGCTCCTGGCTAGCTGCTGATGAAGATGGTGTAATGGCGGACCATGTTATTTTTGAAGAGGAAGTTGTAGTCAAACTTCCGGATTACCTTGATTTTGTCAGCGCTGCGACAATTCCTTGTGCTGGAGTTACTGCATGGTCGGCACTAAAAGGTATGAGTATCGGTCAGACTGTCTTGATTCAAGGTACGTGCCTCTCCATTTGCAGTTATGGAGGAGCGACTGATACTCAGACTCGAAGGAACTGGTGGTGTCAGTGTATTCGCACTTAAGCTTGCTCGAGCCGCGGGCCTCCAAGTGATCTTGACATCCTCGAGTGATCACAAACTGGAGAAGATGAAGGACAAATATCCCAACCCACCACTGTTGACAGTCAACTATTCCAAAATTCCAGACTGGCATGAGGAAGTTCTGAGGCTTACTGGTGGTGTGGGTGTTGACATTGTGGTTGAGAATGGCGGTACCTCATCATTAGTTCAGTCTATGAAATGTACTCGAAGGGGCGGGATTGTTAGCCAAGTTGGGTATCTCGGAAAGCAAAATCCCCAAGACCTGGCTGAGCTCGTTCCGATTGTCATTGATAGACGGGTTATCCTAAGGCGGGTTTTCCACCGACATCCCCTGGTCTTACTTAACTAACAAACAGTAAAGGGGCATTAATGCAGGATCGAAGTATGATACGGAGGATTTCTGTGCTGCCCTGTCAGCTACCAAGGTGCAACTGGACGACCTGATTGACTCAACGTTTCCTTTTGAAAAGGCCGAGGAGGCAGTCGAGTACATTTGGAAGGGAAAACAGGTTGGGAAGCTTGTTCTTTGTCTTTAGAGACTAGGCTTCTAGCCATTTGTATAGCCGGCTGCTATCTGTATATACTATATACTTGGTAGGATGGAGCTAGTGTATAAACTAGACCAGGGTGTCGATTTGGCCGATTTATAAGGTTTTGGTAATAGACAGCTCGCCCTGGATTGTCACTACAGCCACCAAAAACAGTTACCTAAGCTTTGGGGACTTTCAGCAACTGTAGAACATCTTAGCTTCTGATTCTTTAGAGAAAATGTGTTGAATGAGACATCCGTGGTGTCCGTTCAACCCTCGGTACGGACACCCGATCCCTGTACTTCTTAATCCCGGAAAACCAACAAATACATCTTGAGATCGTGAGAATTTGAGCTGTTTCCCATTCAAGATCAGGTCGGTCTGTGCTATCATAAATAAGGCATTTATTGCCCTAGCTTTTAGATTTGATTCTTATTGCTCTGGTTATACCGGTCTTTCACATTTTTAAGGAAAACCCTTAGTTCAGAGAGGAGAACCTACCCTTAACAATCTATCACAGAATGTTAGAGTCTCGGTGATTAAACTTGCGTGCTTTTCGGGCTTGTGGACACTGGTCTAGTAAACATGCTAGGAAACCACGATATTCTGACGGAAACTGCGACGGCTAACGACAAATCCTCGCTGAATTACCGATCTGGTTCTGGAAAATATAGATGTTCTGTCTATGGGCACGCTTACATTCCGGAGACAACTACGTTCCCCGATGGCACTGTAAAAGACCATGCCAGGCGCATCTACGAAGAGATGCAGTCTACGCCTTCGCAGAGCTCCTTGCTGGATACCCAATGTCAACACCACAACCTGCTACTTCGAGTCAGCAAATTATGAAAATAACCTAACGGATTTTATATGTTAGGCGAACATTGTTCAAACCATCACAGATGTTGTCTCTTTTCCGAGAAGAGACCGCTAATGCCGGACGAAGTTGTCGTTAGTCCACGTAAAGTCACGATTCAGAAAAAACTGGAGCACACTTGTGAATGAACTACCTGGGACTGAAGGTACTAACACGGGCAGAGCAGACTTCCAGAAGAGAGTGATCAAGGACAACATGGGCAGTCTCGGGCCGCAGCAGAATACGGAGAACACTTAGACCTTGTCTCTGCGTGTTTCGACGTCCTGAATGAAAAAGGAGGAAACGAGCTTCAGGAGATAACCCTCAACACCATTAACTGGCAAAGTAAACAGATGAGCAAGGTTCAGGCCATACTTGACCACCTCAAGCAGAAAAGGCTTCTAGTTGCACTCGACCCAGAAATTATTGAGAGATGCCCGAAGAATCTCGACGGCGAATCTAGAAAGTTGATGCTAGGAGCAAATGACCGCTTTATGAAGATCCGAAGTGTTCGAGAGGTTCTTCAACTCGCTGAGCAGAACACTATCGCAATTCTCTTGTCCTCAGAAGTACTTGAAACGAAGTAGAGTTCTCAGCCTCACGGGCCATAATAAATGGATGTGGCATTGGTATGACTGCAGGGAACCCATTCCAGCTGACAATGAAACTAGCCAAGTACAGATATTGGTAAATATTTGTGTCTGGTAGGTATAATAGAGGCGGTATCGGTTGGAGTAATCGTTAAACAATCGAAGTCTCTTACTGTCGTCGCTACTCGCTGCAAAAAGACGTCGCACTGGTGCGACCTCGTCATCAATGGGTGATATAATAACATGGAATCATCTCTAATTTAGCGATAAATTCTGAACCACTGTCAAGTTCACGAAGAGACCGAGGGACGTCGAAGAGAAGTGCTAGACGACGACCCCCAAATATATGTTAGAACGCCAGTTTGAGACCTGCCACAGATTGTATTGACTAGTAACTCAGAAGATCCATACCCAGCTCCGGGTAGTTGAGGAGTAACAGACGCTGAACAGAAACAAAAACATCAACCTGCTACTTGTCCCTAGCGACTAGCCGAAGCCAGAACAAGCAGAAACCAACTCTTCTTGTCGAGCAGCAAAGGCATGAGCAACTTTGTCACTAGCTAGAGCTAGAATCCGACTCTCCAGGACAAATACATAGTCAAGCCAATCGATTTTGCAGTGTGGCAAGCTTGAAAGTATACCAAGGATATTGTAGAGATTCCTGCTCTCAAGGTTGCTGGTTTCCCATAAAAGGCCCCAAGATGAGGTCAGGATGCCTGTGCCGCTAAATGTCTGGCAGACAAAAGAGGCAAGCGCGAGCATGAGAGCGTTAGGGCCGGTCTCTGCGTCGCTGATGCAGAATTGGCTGGAGCAGTGGCGGTTTTGATTGATTGAACCTGTTACATTCCTCTATGAGAAAGCGAAGCACGCGTATAATGCACTGAAGACTCATCATTTTCTAATGTAAAGCGATGGGTAGCATGCTACTATAGTAGGTTAGTCACTAGTTAACATTATTTACTGCGGCTATAACTAGTTAGTTATAGTAGGCAAAGACCGGAGACTACGCTCACTGTGGGCTGCACCTCCTTTACATGGCACTTATTTACTAAACTTTGCCTTTATATGAGGCTATGTACTTGGTAGTCAATTGAGTGACTGCTATGGCCAGTCATATCGATTTGTTGCCTAATTTACTGGCTCTGGCTGTTATTATGCCTAATGGCTCAGGCAGCAAAATCACGTGTGGATTACGGAAGAAGGTATCTCCCTGAACCCCGGATCGAAATCGGGACATGCTATGTATTTAGTTATTTTTTTTTGAAGCCAGCGACCGGCTTATCTTATCAGCCACACACTCATTTTCTTCCACCCCGCGAAGACTCATCCTTTGACTGTTCTGAGTGAGATACAAGAGTCGCTGATTCGTCTCGACACTGTCCTTTTGGTTATTCAAGGGACGTGGAAACCATTGAAAAGAGTTTCCAGTTTACTATTTCCATTTTTGACCTGCCCCTGCGATTCGCACTGATAGACTTCATTGCCCCTCTTTCGGACATAACACCACAATGGAAACCAAAGTGAGTCGCGTTTCCCTACTATGGATACGAGGCCACTCTAACATATGTGATGCACAGCCCCAGGAAACCACCCTGCCCCTCCGTCCTGCTGTGGACGTGAAGCCTCCCCAGGAACATCCCCCCGCCCAGCCCGAAGAATCGCAGGAGTCAACATCCAAGAAGAAGGAAAAGAAGGAGAAGAAGGCTCAAGAGAAGGCCGCCAAGAAGGAGCAGGCGGCCAAGCAGCCCAAACAACCCAAGGGTCCCGCACCTCCCAAGGCGAAGAAGGAACCCGCCGCCCCTACCGACCCCGAGCAGATGTTCAAGGAAGGTTTCCTGCACCAGGTCTACCACGAACGACCTGAAGAGAGCGTTACCACTCGATTCCCTCCGGAACCTAATGGCTACTTGCACATCGGACACAGCAAGGCTATTGCCATCAACTTTGGATTCGCCAAGCACCACGGAGGCAAGTGTAATCTGCGATACGACGATACCAACCCGGCCGGTGAGGAACAAGAGTACTTCGAGTCGATTAGGGACATTGTCCAGTGGTTGGGCTTCAAGCCGGCTGCTATCACTTATTCCAGTGATCACTTTGACCGGTTGTATGAGTTGGCGGAGGAGCTGATTCGGAGGGATGGGGCTTACGTTTGCCACTGCTCAAGTACGTGAATCTTCGCTGCTAGCGAGGCATGCATATATTGATGGATGTTTTAGAGGCCGAAATAGAAGTCCAGAGAGGTGGAGGAGAGGGAGGAAAGGGCAAAGAACGTTTTGCGTGCGCGCACCGTGACCGTCCGATCGAAGAGTCGCTTACCGAGTTCCGGGCCATGCGCGACGGGAAATACCAGCCCAAGGAAGCTTCCCTTCGGATGAAGCAGGACCTCAGCAACCCGAATCCCCAGATGTGGGATCTTGCGGCGTACCGTATCCTCGAGGACAATCACCACTTCCGGACTGGTGACAAGTGGAAGATCTACCCGACATATGGTGAGTGTTCCAGGCACGGTTGGAAGTGCTATTCGGATTAACAACGTCTAGACTTCACGCACTGCCTTGTCGATAGTTTTGAGAACATCACCCACTCTCTCTGTACCACCGAGTTTGAGCTTTCGCGTGAGTCGTACAACTGGCTCATCAACAAGCTGGACGTCTTCAAGCCCATGCAGAGAGAATACGGCCGCCTCAATTTGACCGGAACTGTTCTTTCCAAGCGTAAGCTGAACCAGCTTGTCAAGGAGAACCATGTGCGAGGCTGGGACGACCCTCGTCTGTACACTCTGATTGGTCTTCGTCGCCGTGGTATCCCCCCGGGTGCTATTCGCGCGTTTGTCAATGAGTTGGGTGTCACTAAAAACGTGACCAACATCGAGATCAACCGTTTTGAACAGTCCATCCGTTCTTACCTGGAGTTCTCGGTGCCCCGGCTGATGATGGTGCTGGATCCAATTGAGGTTATCATTGATGACCTGCCAGACGACTACGTGGAGATGATCGAGCAGCCTTTTGCGCCCAAGGACCCTTCGTTTGGTGTATGTTTTCTATTTTTTTTACTTAACTCATATTTTGAAGATAAAAGGCTAATTGTTAGTCCCACAAATTGCCCTTCACCAAGCGGGTGTTCATCGACCGGAGTGACTTCCGTGAAGTGGACTCGCCAGACTACTTCCGTATGGCACCTGGCAAGCCCGTTGGTTTGTTGAAGGCTCCCTACCCGGTGACTGCCAAATCTTTCGAAAAGGATGAATCTGGTCGAGTCACGGTGGTCCATGCCAGCTACGACAAGCCTGCTGATGGGTCCGCGCCCAAGAAGCCCAAGGCGTGAGTACATCTCTCCCTACTCTGCAACAGCATGCTAACCAAGCCAGTTTCATCCAATGGGTCGCCAACAGCCCGGCACACAACAGTCCAGTCAAGGCAGAGGCACGGTTGCTCAACCCGCTGTTCCAGTCGAATAACCCCTCGGCTCACCCATCGGGCAACTTCCTCAACGACGTCAACCCTAACTCCGAAGACATCTACCCCAACGCCATGATTGAAGTGGGCTTCCACGACATCCGCCAGCGCGCCCCCTGGCCGGCAGAGGACCGGAAGGCCGGTGAAGAAAACGGTGTCCAGGCCGGACCTGAGGGCGTGCGGTTCCAGGCGATGCGGATTGCATACTTTGCCATGGACCGGGATACGACGGACAACAAGGTTGTGTTGAACCGGATTGTGAATTTGAAGGAGGGTGCATAGTTTATAGCGTAGCATTAGTATTTTGTGAATAGGTGCATGAATTCCCCTGGGGTAATATATATCTTGCTTGATGTGTTTCTTTACTCTTAACAGGGTAGATCCGAACATAAAGCGCTTTATTAAGAATTGGCCAATACAAGGTCTCGTGGCGCAATGGTAGCGCGTTAGTTTCCGGTACTAAAGGCTGTGCGTTCGAGTCGCACCGGGATCGCATCCTTTTTTGCCTTTTTGCTTCTGTTTTTGCGCCATGACCTGCCGGAAATCGATCAAAAGAAAAGAAAATATCATCGTTCAGCTCAATAGGTATCCTGAGATGCGTACGGCTTTTTGGTACTATCTTTTTGACCCCGGGTGCTGACTTGGATGACCGGGGAATAGTTGCCATGGATCTTCCCGCGAGTGACAGGACGGTTAGCAGGTGGTTCACCAGGTATGTGTCCGGAGAATGGCTAAAGAATAACCAGGAACAGAGCAATGCTAACCTAGTTCTAGGGACAGACAGCCTGGCTGTACATACCCTGGGGTACGTACACCAGTACCCAGCCATGATTCAGTCAGTAATTCAACACCATCCAGAATGCAGAATCAATCGGATACTCCCGATTAAACATAAGATAAAGTACCCGGAATAAAACACTCTAAATTGGCGGAATATCTCCGATTTGTTTCAACGGCGCATACGCCATCCTCGTGGCGATGTCGTGATTCCGCCAGACAAGCACATCTGCGTCGATAGTGGAGAGAGACAGTGCGAATAAGTCCACTGTGCTTGCACCATCCACGCTAAACATGGGTTTCTCGTCTATCGGGAAATGTCAGGTTAAACTGGGTGCATTGGCTGGTAGATATATCAAATAAAGATGCGGATGCCCCCTGTCACTGTCATGTTGCAGATTCCGAATCCTTCTGGACATTGACATTCGACAGTGCAGGGAATGATGGCGCAGACAATGGATCAGAAACAGCATACTGTGGAAGATGGTGTGGAAGTGTCGACGACAAGCTCTGGGAAGGTCGATGACAACTATGATATGTACAAGCGGTACCAGGGCATTGAGTATACCGAGGAGGAGGCGAAACGGGTTCTTCGCAAGATTGACTATCGGGTGGTTCCTATTCTTTTCTTGATCTATTTGATTCAGTATCTGGACAAGAACAGCCTGAACTTTGCGTCGGTGTATGGGTTGAAGACGGCGACTAAGTTGGAGGGACAGGATTATTCATGGCTGGGTGGGTTTCTATCGAGTTGGATGTTGGATTGCGCTGATGATGTTTAGGATCAATATTCTACATCGGATACCTTGTCGCCCAATGGCCAGCCGGATACGCCTTGCAGAGACTGCCGATTGGGAAATTTCTGAGCATCACGACATTCAGTAAGACTGCCTTGGAATCTCGACTATTCCAGATTGGCTAACAATTACAGTCTGGGGAGGTCTCCTCATGACAACACCGGCTTGTCACAACTTTCCAGGAATCGCTACCAACCGCTTACTCCTGGGTATCCTCGAAGCCGCAGTCAACCCGGGTTTCGTGTTGATGATGGGGATTTGGTACACTGCCAAAGAGCAACCACTGCGGTTGGAAGCATACTACTGCACCAACGGAATTGCTACTATGTTTGGAGGGTGAGCTTAGACCCAAGCGGAAGAAGATTACGCTGGTACTGACAACCAAGCCTAATCGGCTACGCCGTCGGCCACATAACAACCGGCCTCGAACGCTGGATGTACGTCTTCCTCATCTTCGGCGCCTTCTCCATAGCAACCGCCATTGTCTCCATCATCTGGCTCCCCGACCTCCCCTCAACAGCCAAATTCCTCACCGAGCGCGAACGTGCGATCGCCGTCGACCGCGTCGCTATCAACCGCCAAGGCGTCAAGAATCACCATTTCAAATGGGACCAGGTCTGGCAGGCTGCTCGTGATCCTAAGACTTGGCTATTGTTCGTCATGGCTGTGGGCGCGCAGGTGCCTAATTCCGCACTTACTAGTTTCACTTCGATTATCGTTAAATCCTTCGGCTTCGACACGCTTGGCACGCAATACCTCCAAATCCCCGGCGGAGCAGTACAATTCCTTTCCCTCCTCGGCGGGGGTATCATCGCAACACGATACGCGGACCGTTTCCACGCCCGCAGTACCTGCATGATCGTCGCTAATCTCATCTGTATCCTCGGCGCGGGTTTACTAGTCGGCCTCCCCGATTCCAACCAGTGGGGTCGTCTGGTCGCGCTTTGGCTGTGCTATTTCCAGGGTTTGGGGTTTAGTATGAGCTTGACGATGATTAGTTCGAATATCGCCGGGTCCACGAAGAAGCAGATTACGGGGGCTGTGGTGTTCACGGGATATTGTGTGGGGAACATTATCGGGCCGCAGACTTTTAAGAGTAGTGAGGCTCCAGGGTATCATAGTGCTTATATTGCGTGAGTTTCCCTTGTTCAAGGAGTATGGTGATGTGTGCTAATGACTTGATAGTATGTTGGTCGGCTACGCCGTGAAACTTGCGGCTATCACCGGTCTTTATGCCTACATGTTTTTCGACAATAAGAAGCGGGACCGTGAAACTTCTGTTGAGGTTTACGGGGAGGATGTTGTTAAGGAAGGGATTGAGAAGGGGATGATGGTAAGTTTCCCTTACTTCTTTACTTGTGAGATGTGCACTGACAGCTGCAGGACCAAACGGAGCTCGAGAACAGGGCGTTTAGATATGTGTTATGATTTGCTTTCTACTAGCATATTATTAAAAGTAATAAAGTCGTTTTTAATAGTTTCATGCTACATGGTTTCCAACTGAATAAACATTCAAAATCAGCAACGATGATCCCAAGTAGAGTAGCCCTGCTTCCTATATCTCGGAGACTACTCATTTATCTATCCAGTGATAACTATCCATCTAGATAGCCAGAATGCGCCAATCCGAGAACCAGAAGTCTTCATCAGGAAGTCGGTACCTGTAATGGCATCTATTTCTATACCAACATTCGAAGTCTGTAACGGACTTCAAATCGCCCAGTGGTCTTCCTTTCTGGGCCATGCTCATTCCTGATGATATCGGTACAAGCTGGTTTTATGTTAATATGTTGTGCTGGTGCTTAGATAAGGAAAAGATAGAAACGTACGTTGGCTGGCTATCACGTGAGATGCAGTTGTTTGCTTTGTTGATAAATACGGCGTCATCTCCTTTCTTCCTTCCTCGTGTTGAATATTCTCGTCGTTTGCTACCTAGGTAGAACCCATGAGTTGGACGTTCCATTATCCTAGTAGAGCGCCGTGACAAGGGCCACAGTAAGTCAGTCTACTCAGTCACCTTCTCCCATAATTCAAAGCTTCTTGCATCAGCCTTATATGATCAAACAGTCAAGACCTGGGAAGCCAGCAGCGGCAGATGCCTGGAGACATTCAATGTTGGGATAGTACTCCCCATGGTGTCATTTGATGCTACTGGCTCATACCTTAGCACTGAAATTGGGACCCTTCATATATCTTCAGTTTTAGATATATCGCTAAAACAAGCCCTGGAGGGCTGCAAACCAAAGGCTATGGTATAAGTCTTGACCGCATGTGGATTACGTGGAACTCAGAGAATCTAGTATGGTTACCGCCGGATTACCGGCCATTATGCTCGCCATGGCGGCATCGACAATCTCTATCGGTTGTAACTCGGGACAGGTGTTGATATTCAACTTTGATTCACTGTGTGTTTTGGGCTTCTTTGCTGGAATTGAATTCTCTTAATTTTCTAAGGTTTTTCTTAATTCCAGAATATAGAATTATTGTCACGGAGCGCGGAAGCTCACGAACGATGCAAGATGTTTGACTACTTTGGTCTGTTTGAACATAGGGCAAGAAACCCCTTCGCGCACACTAGATAGCGCAGCGCTGGCAGGCCCAGCTTCTTGCGTTCTTTCTCCATGTTAGTATTCCACTAGATAGTTCACCAATAGACTCTCATTGTTTGTGACCGTCACAGTTACAGCCCTTAGTCAAAAGCCGTTGATTCAATAGTTTACCCATACTAAGGCCTTGACATTGGGTAGGAAGATAATCATCATGTTGTTGGTGAAGCCAATTTCGAGAACGGCTGTAATGCTTGCAGAGGATTTGCTTCAAGTCTAGAAGGGTTTGTCAAGTTCCTACCTTTGTTTAGAGGGACCTCCGAGAAGATGACATTATGGTAAAGTTGATAGAACAGTAAAATGCATAGGATAACGCATAGAATAAAGCTCAAAGTTTGAGAGAAGGTGTAACGCCTGAGTATAGGACTTCGGTGTTTAAATGATCAAACGACCGTTTCGGCTACAAATCGGTATCGGACCGCTATCGTAGATATACCTGTATATAGAGAGGATTTATGTAGGGTAATGAATGAGTCGCTTAATTCTCTATCTCTGAGCCCCATAGTCTATTTGCACCTGAGCGTCTCGATGGTGTGCTGGTAGCGGGCCCTTATCCAGAACCGTCGACGCTTTGGTAACGATATGTTCCTGGTCCCTCAGGCCGTAATGCTCGTGCGGTTACAGGTGAATGTATATAGACATTGTTGAAGGCAAAAAGAAAGTGCTTGGTTTAAGGGTGGAAGAAGGAAGAAAGTTGAGTGTCAGGGCTGGTAAAATAAACCCATGGTTCATTCACTATCCATTCATATGTTATAACCAACCTTTTCTCTCTTTTCCCCTTTCTAGTGGGATTGAGTTATCCTATGAAAATGGAGTATGCAGACTCATAGACCAAAAGTATGATTTTAGTACCCGGCTAACATGACTTAATCCTGTCTCGCAGGATCCTCATCCGGCTTGTTGAGCAACAAGTCATCGATTTCTGTCAGAATCTCCGGCGTCAACTTGGGTAACAACTTCAGACTCTCGACGTTGTCGATGACTTGCTCCGGCCTCGAAGCACCGGTGATAACAGACGAGACGTTTTCGTTCTTCAGACACCATGCCAGAGCGAGTTGGGAGAGCTTGAAGCCGAGTTTATCGGCGAGGGTCTGATAAAGTTAGCTAGCGCATCGTGATAACAAGGGCAAGGAACGTACCTTCAGCTTCACGATCTTCCTAATTGTCCCCGCCCACTGCTCATTCTCCCAGTCCCTGCGCACGCTATCGGCAAATCTATCATTACTCTCCGCAAACCGAGAACCGGGCGGAGGCTGTGTCGTCGCATCGTTGTACTTCCCACTCAACAATCCCATCTTCAACGGCGAGAACGTAGTCAGCCCAATACCAGCGCGCGAATACAAACGCTGGAACTCGCCCTCGACCTTGGTCCGATCAAGCATGTTGTACAACGGCTGCTCGACAATCGGCGCAATCAAGCCCAATGCCTTGGCAATTCCACACGCCTCGCTGATCTCATCGGCAGACCACTGCGATGTACCCCAGTAAAATGCCCACCCCTTCTCAATCACATAGTTGAATGCGCGCACGGTCTCCTCCATAGGAGTCAGACGGTCCGGACGGTGTGCGTAGATAATATCGACGTACTCAAGCTGTAACCGCTCAAGTGAGGCACGGGTTCCTTCGATAATGTGCTTGCGTGAGAGACCGTGGTTGTTGATGAGGATTTCGCCGTTCGCGAGACCCCAGTTTAACTTGGTCGTGATGACCAGGTCACTTCGCTTCCAGGCGTATTTCTTGATCGCTTGGCCCATGATGATCTCCGACTGCCCGCCCGCGTAGCTTTCGGCTGTGTCGAAGAAGTTGACGCCGCAGTCGTAGGCTTGTTTCATGCAGATGAAGGTGGTTTCTGTGTGTGTTAGTGATGGTGGTGGTGGTGGTGGTGGAAGATATCGTACCATTCTCGACGTGGCCTCCGAAACTATAAATCAAATCATTGTTAGCAAAATTTCATTATTGCTGTAGAGAGTAGCTCACGTTAACCACCCTCCTAGTCCAATGGCTGATACGTGCAGGCCGGAGTTGCCCACGCGGCGGTACAGCATGTCTTTGTTCTTGTTTGGCCAGGCCATTGTGATGTGTTTTGAATCGATTCGGAATTATTCAATGAGAGAAAAGGGAGTTGGGAGTTGTGTATAACGCAGGGAGCGCCGTGCTATTTATTCGTCCGCATCGTGTGGGGGACAAGGCTTCGGAGGAATACTCGGAGGGTCCTGAGGTTGGTTGGATGAGTGAGCATTGTGGATGTACGGCAACCGGTGAAATAGTGATAAACCATAGTAAGTGCGCTGTGCAGAAGGATCTCCTCAAAGTTGTTATGGCGAGAAATGAGGCTGCTAAACACAGGGCTGCTATCAGGTGACCTTCCCGATCGGGCAATATTCGACTTCGACTTCGACTTCGTTCTCTTCCTTCTAGTTATTTCCCGCTCCTTCACACTGAACCACGAACTTTTCACATCTTCAACTAGCACTGGATAGAGCGCCAGAATTGGTCAATTGGTATACCCTCTGTCACATCCCCTGGTCTTCGTCAATCCAGTCTTGCTCCGAAGCTCCTACGTTCTACGGAACCTCCCCGAACCATACCACAGTCTCTACAACAACCAGCGAAAAAGATCGATATGCTTCCGGTACACCAACGGAGTACGGATAGTTACCTCGTTCCTGAACCGCGGCCGACAACCTCGACAGTCGATTCTCGCCCATGTGGGTCTGCGATGGCGTGCCGCCGGGGTCGATTAACGCAACCAACGCTATTTCTATCTCTGGCATCGTCGCCAGATCCCGTCGAATAAACTGATTTTCTTACAAGAAATATGGCAGAATTTCGGAACAATGCGTCTTGTGTCCGGCTCCTCTTGGCTCCATGCGCGTTGGCGCATTGCCCCGCAAGTGCTGAATCAACTGACTCTCGCAACGGCTGGTCTTTTGTGGCATTGAATTTCCAGTCTTTCATGTGTGGTAAATTTACAACTTGACAACTGCCATGTCTTCGAATCGAACAAACGTGACTAAACGCGCTTGTGATGGGTGCAAGATCCGGAAGATTCGTTGCGGTGGAGGCTATCCATGCAAGGCCTGTACAAATGCGCGCATCAAGTGCACCTACATTCGAGTTCAACAACCTCGAGGTCCGCAGAAATTGCGCTCGACGACGAAATATTTGATCGAGCAAGCGCAGAGGGAAGACGTCTGTGAATCACCGCGCCAGTCCATAGAGCCCACATTGGCGCATTCAGTTGAACAAACAACAAACAGGTACGGACAATTTATGAGCTTGGTATCCCCGCACTGTTCTGATGATGATCGCATTCTAGGTCTCGGATTCCTCTAAATGTCCTGACCACTCCCCTCTACATATATCACGTGCGCATGTATCCGGTATGGCCTATCGTCAATGTCGAGCGTCTGGTATCTATATTGCAGCAAGATACCGAAACTGCGGATCCCGAAATATACGCCCTGGCTACAGCTGTCGCAGCTGCAACAGTCGCGCAATTGAGACTAGGTCAAGGCTCTCTTTCCGACGAATCGATGACCGCGGATACTTTTGCAGCGGAATGTCTTCGAGTTCGCGGCACGAGCCAGTACAAGTCCAGAATTAACTTGAATAACGTGCGAACATCGTTCTTTTTGCACGTATACTACGAAAACCAGCAGTCGGGAGGAAGCGAGTCGTTACTATACTTGAGGGAAGCCATTTCGCTCGCTCAAATGATGAATTTGCATCGCGAATCGTCGTATGTGAACTTTTTGTTGGAAGAGCAGCAAATCAGACGTCGCGTATTGTGGCTCTTGTTTGTTACAGAGAGGTGAGCATGTCCTACTTGCTATTTCGGATTAAGTTAATGATATAGGGGCGTCTGTATCCTGCATAAACTCCCGGTCGTTTTACGAACCAATGTTGTACTTCCTTCAGCAGACGAGGGCAACGAACCCCATGTCCTACCTGCGTTTCTCAAGCTACTCAATCTTTTTCGGCTTTTTGAACGATCGAAAATGTTCGATATAATAGAAGGCGAAGATCTAGAGACAGAATCAGTCGGTGATAGGCTAGGCTTCGACAACCGATTTCTAGAGACATTGCAGGATAAGCTGGAGGATGGGTCGGTGGTTTTCGACCATATATCGGACGTACAAAAGGCAGACTTATGCGTCACCCGACACTGGATGCGGATGATTTTATGGAAACTCTCAACCAAGAAGAGTATCTCATACAACCAGTCACCGCAAACGCCCACATCACCATCATTCCCGGTAGCAGTTGCTAAGGAGCTGTTGAACATTGTTTCGCAGCTACCCAGACCAGCCATTGAGGCCCACGGCCTTGGAATGGTGAGTTGGATCGCCCACTGATGTAGATGACCTCGTAACTGATCTTGTAGGAACTGAAACTGTACGAGATTGCGAATTCGCTCGCCGATTCCATCATGAAGCTGGCGATGCTCCCTCGGGCTTCTGAGTTAGAATTCGAAAGCCGGCCAAATAATATTCTGTATCGGCTGCATTCCATATTATCGACATTCCGAGGAGGGGGAAACAAAACATTAGTTGACATGCTCTATAAAAAGATGGCGGAAGCAGATTCTAGAAGCTCGCCGGCATTATCGGTCATGCAGCCATCACATGCAGGATACCAGAAGAGTAGACAATTGAGGGCCGATCAGCACAGCCAATATGCTGCCACGCTAGCGAATGGACCTAGTCCTGACCAGGATGCTACTGTGACAGGACAACCTCCAGGACAGAGGACCCGCACTGTTGGAGACAGTCTAAACCCTCAAGGGGAGCTATGCACCAAGCCAATGGAAATAAATGGCAACGACGATCACCGGCAGGCCACAGTCGAAGGGACCCCAGAAATGCCATTTGGCCCACTTTTCCCAACCTACATCGACCAGGATTCCTACACAGTGCCGACGTCCTCCATGCATGCAGCAGCGGCAACGGCTCTCCCCGCATTAGCCCCATCATGGCCGTCCCACGATTCGGTTGAGCTAATGCTTGACGACTTCCTGGCGCACGTTCCCGGGGATCCATTTTTGGAGGATGGCTTATTTGAGGGGCCATTTATGGGATCTGATTTGCCGGAGCAAGTCTTTGCAGGTCGGGATTTTGTAGGGATTAGCCCAAACTAGTGGTTTTATGCATGTTTGGCATTCGCAATTCTGGATTGTGATGGTGTTATTTGGTTGATTGGATCTATGTACATACTTTTCTGTGGGATCGCCGCTTTTTAAATGGAATGCTGTACGGAGTGATTTTCGGAGACTAACTACTATCTCTGAGAGACGACAGTAGATTTCCTGTGCGGACTATTTTTGTCCATGGTCAGGAATACAACAGAAATTGCGGTCTCTTTCTGCATATGTTCCTTAAAAGAACCAACAAATAGCTGGTTCTGGGCTTCACGCATTCCTTTGGCGCCCGTAGTGACAAGACGAAAGCTGCTTTCAGTGGAGTTATCTCAGCTGATAAAAAAGACCCAGTTAATTATATGGGTTTCGAAATGCGAGAGGCTTCTGGTTGCCCGCTTCCTGGGTTACACTATGCTTGAACCGTTCTAAAACGCGAGAGTGTGTTGTGGCTTTAGCGGTCAAATCCCGGTCTTGACTGTGTGTTGCTGCCGTTGTTAAACAGGGTTCTAATGACTTGCGTTCAAATCTGGGAGCATCGCGGTTTCAATTCAATCGGTAGAATGGCCCCGAGAATTTCGCCGAGATGGCTGCTTTATGCAACTGCGTTAGAGGAAAGAACATGCGCATATAACTTCCAAGAACAATCGGGTTAGCAACACAGCCCATCCTTAGGCTCAGGGTCCTGGCTAGAACCTTTTCGTTAATACTTATAGTTAGTGGAGCCCCAATTACACATTCCTTCGCCGTGTTATGCTGAACTAAACAAAATACTGCTATCTTATTCCCCGTATGGTGAAATCACAATTATCTCTTCTGTGTTTTAACCAGCAGTTTTTTGGGTTCGGTTTTTCAATCGTGCTTTTAAACTGTCTGTGACTAGGTTATAGAAAGCTGGTTCACCCCACCCAAATATCTCTTCTCGTTTTTCCATCTCTCGGTTATGAAGATTTCCGTTGACGCTGATACTTGATTTGATGGTGAGCCCTACATCCGTCAGCTCAGAAGAAGCTTAAAATGTCCGGTTTCGATAACAGTAGTTGGTCGTCTAAAGCCCCTGATAGAATGAGGCGCGGGACACCAGGTGCTGCCAGTAATCTGTCAATGCTTTTCGTCAATGACGGTACCTAGCAAATGAACACATCGCAGGCATTTCTTTGACGTACGGAGAAACGAGAAAAGGAGCCGTTAGAAGCGACAGAAAGGGACACATGGAAACCAGCACCCACACTGGGTCGGGCGAGGGTTCTCGCATTCGATAACGATGGCTGGCCACTTAGACCCTCTGCAAGTAGGAGAAGCCCAGGGTACCAGGTACTACCTAGTTCTTTTCGTGCTACTTCCCCATTTGAAGGGGTTGGAATGCTTGAGAGAAGCAAGATGACTTCTTAGCCTGGCGCCATGTCCATGATACAGGTGATTGCGCAGCCAATTATTGCTATGTCGGTCTTAATATTAGCACGCCACAATTGCGATGTCTCGATGATTTCTCTTTTGATCGAAAACCTCTGGGCTTATTAGGATTAGTTTCGTAGAAAGCAGCACGGAACGTAGCACACTATGCTTGAACAAACAATACCTGAATGGAAGATGCGCAGCTCGCGATTACTGTGCCAATCCTTTTACATACTTCCGTCGAACAGGTGTAGTCTCCTTTGTGGCTTTTTGGAGGAAAAATTGGCACATGCTGCTCATTCACATTTCTGCCTCGAGCTGTGCTCAGTGTCCAACTTTCGAACCTTTTGTATGGTGTCATAGCTTTTCCCCGGGTGAGGGCGTTTCCCTTCCCCACGAAAATGATAAAGCTGGATTAAATAATGCTATCCCGCTCAGCCTGAGCTATTAACAGAGCTCGCGAACCGCATTTTCAAAATCACTGACCAAGCATAAAGATGGAAGATACATCCAGATGGGCATGTTCCCCCTGTGTATGTCTGTAGCAGTGCGAAAAGGAAGGCTTTGTTGTAATGTCACCAAATAACGCCATGAAAGGCTGTAAGGCTACGGGTTAGCAGTAGAAAGAGCCGAATATAGACCGGACATGAATACTGACCATGATGTGAGCAATAGCTACCGACCAGATGTTGTCAAGAAAATCGTCTACTTTGGCGCCGTGAAGCTGCGACTAAGTGAAGTACCAAAAAAACCATATATTCTCGAATTAATTAAATACGGCAAACCATTCTCTCAATACTTAAACCGGAAATCCAGCCGCTTATTACCATCCCTCTCTCTCGCTTCTTGATCAGATTGATACAACACCTGCTCTTCCCGAGACATCGCACTCCATGCTTTATCCTTCTGACGATTCAAGAACCAGAGATATTGTCGTTGGACGATAAAGGCAACCAGCGAGACTACGCATAATGCTATGAGAACTTTGTCGCCGGTGTAGTAGTATGGGGAATCGTTGTCGCGGTAAATTTCTGTTTTAGTTAGTACCACATGCTAGATACTGAGGAAGGAAACCCACGAGAAGAGATGACAGATCCAATCTGCACGACGACGTTATACGTCGCCGCCGTAATAGCACGCTTTTTAACATCGAACGTATTCTCTGAAATCCATGCAGATACAATCGGATGGAAATACGGATATCCGGATATCAACGTTGTGATTGTAAACCGTGCCCAGTCGTGTCCATACGCTGGCAAACCCAACAATGCAGCCAACAACGGGAGAGACCAGAACTCGCCGAAAAGCGAGTGGAATGTTCGTTCGCCAAAGAACTCGCTGCTCTTTGACAGGATAAGCATGAGTATGATCTGCAACGCGGCGGACGGGATCGAGAGCATATTCGAGTCGAAAGTTGAGAAGCCGATGCGCTTTAGGGTCAGGGAGAGGTAGGATTGCACCGGGCCTTGTGGAATGTAAGCGACTAGGCCGATGAAGTAGAGACCCCACATGGATTTGTCGCTCCAGGCGTCGAGGACGTTGCGGAAGGAGGCGGCTTCGTGGATGTGTGTGAGGCCCTTGGATGGATCGTCGCGGAGAAGGCGCTGAGAGGTCAGTACAGAATAGAATTAGGGATGGGAAAGGCATACATTGACCATAATCACTTCCTGCCTCTCGGTATACCATGACCTACGACAGAGGACGCTCTTGGTATTGGTAGGCGAACTAGGGAGGTAAAAGAAACTCTGCCGCCGTTAGTATGAGCGGGGACATTTGGCGGAAGACATACAATAAGTCCAATCACAAAGGTCAACAATCCTTCGATGAGGAAAAGCCAGAACCAGCCGGGCTTATCCTCGACCCCGCGCATTTTGAGGATCCCTGCTGCGAGAAGAGAGGAGATAATCCGGGCGACCTATCCTGCATTAGCACATTGTCATCAAAGACGGGAGAAATAGCGTACGTTCAACGATGACCAAAAGAAAGCCAGTCGAAAAGACAGTTCCCGGGTCTTATAGAAATACGTCGCAAAGAGAACGGTTCCCGGAATGAAGCCACCCTCCAGTGCACCGATCAGAGCTCGCGTCACATAGAACGAAGCCCTACTGGTCATCCATGACTGAGTCCACGAGACGAGACTCCACCCCATCATCATCAGGGGAAGGACTCTTCGGAAACCGTAGCGCTTGATAAGGAGCTGGACGGGGAATTCGGCTGCCAGGAAGAGGACGAGTTGAATTGTTGTGCCCTGGACTGTCAGTATTCCGTCAACAATAAAACAGGCGAGTGTACTGACATTGTTATAGTCATTGCTGTTCATGTTCAGATCCTCCAACAAGTTGTCGGTTAGGGCATTCGATAGGTTCCCCCGATCCAGTTGCAGCCCGAAGAACTATTCAGTCAGCCATATCCCAGAACGTCTAAGACCCATACTCACCATAATGCAGACCCAACCAAGCAAAAAAAAGTCCGTTTTAAGCACAACCCGCTTCTCCTCATCTGGGGTCCATGTAGCAGTCGCATCGAACCGGTGATAGCCTTCAAAGGACTCATGGGGAGCAGTGACCTGGGCAAGCTGCTCCTGCCCAACACCCACAGACACCTTAGACGATCCATCCTCATCCGTCGTGGTCTCAGCACCTTTGCGCCCTCGCTCGATATCGTCTGCCATACTGCTCCGTTGCAAAGAGGTATTGATATCGTATTCGAAAAAACGAATCCATTGCTACTTTTATATATACTCAAGACTACACGCACGGAGGATTGTTGATATTACTGAGTTGGGAAGCAACTCCTTGTCAGCAGAATAACGTCGCCAGAGGCTAGTCGGATTGCACAACGCCGCTCTCCGAGCACATCATCGAGCCCTAAGATAATCATCGAATCAGGTTGGATTATAGTGGCTGAACGGTTCAAGGGATCATGAAATTCCGCAGTGCGCGCTGCCACGCTTGGGAATACAGTGCATGTCCCCGGATTAAATGTTTCCCAGCTCATAATGAATAACCGGACAGCCAGCAATATTATGAGTATATTTCGACTTTCTACCGTCATTCGCTAAGCATTGAGGGGAATTAGGTGTCGACAGGTCAGTGTATCGATGCTCCGAGATTTTCGCCGACGCCCCGCCGATGGCAGCGCCGTTCCATAAGGGCCAGGATTAACAACGCGATCCGGATATGATGTATGCATAGTTATCCGGTTAAGCATTGCCTCGTAATAGTGGGGGTTTGTGTAAGCTCGAAAAGTGCAGTACTTATAAAAGTCAATATCCAGTGCATTGATCTTGTCCGGACTCCGGATATACAACTTTGGCCTAGCTTTCTACATTTAGAACAGAATATACACAATGCCAACTGCCGTCGCCACAACTACATCTATCCGGGGAGGTCATGAACAGGCCCGTCCGCGCATTTCGCAGCCACTGCAATACTCCGGGTCGTTAGATAAATACTCCAAAAGCGATCTGACGCCTGTCATCGGACGGGAATACACTGGTCTGCAAGTCGCAGATATTTTGAAATCCGACGAGAGTGATCGATTAATCGCAGATTTAGCTGCGACCAGTATGCGTTCCCGATCTCTTCATGGGTTATATCGATCTCTTCTGAACTATACTGACCCGACCAGTCTCACAACGAGGTGTCGTCTTCCTCCGCGACCAAAATGTCACACCACAGCAAATGCAACAATTCGGCGAACGCCTAACAGCTCTAGCCGGCTGCGTAAGCCTCGTACACCCCTTCAACCAAAACTTCATCTAAAAACAAGAACAGCCCGAATCCTCTACTCTCCATGTCCACCCCCTAACCGAAGAAGGCAGCGAACTCGGCGACCAAATCAGCGTCATCAGCAGCGAAAAGCAAAAGAAAGGTGGCGGCCTCACCCACCAACTCAGCGACACCTCCCGTCTCGCCTCCGTAGGCTGGCACACGGATATCAGCTTCGAGCGTGTCCCCTCGGACTACGCGATGCTCAAGATCCATACGCTTCCTGAGACTGGGGGTGATACGCTGTGGGCGTCGGGGTATGAGGTGTATGATCGGTTGTCGGGGGAGATGAGGGGGTTTTTGGAGGGGTTGACGGCGACGCATGATGCGAGCTTTTTTCATGAGGAGGCGAGGAGGTTGGGGAATCCGTTGCGGAAGGGGGAGAGGGGGTCGCCGTTGAACGGGGGTGAGGAGTTGAAGGCTGTGCATCCCGTCGTGAGGACTAATCGTATGTTTCTGCCCTTTTCTTTATGGGTGAGGTGCTGACGGGTGTAGCTGTGACGGGGTGGAAATCGGTCTATGTCAACCGGGGCTTCACGAAGCGCATAAACGGCGTGACCAAGGATGAATCGGATATGCTGCTGCAGTATCTGTTTAATGTACGCTGTCCTGCAAAACTGAGCTGATAAAGCTAATTGACCATAGCTTGTTACGCAAAACCACGACGCCCAAGTCCGGTTCAGATGGAACCGCAACGACATGGCTATCTGGGATAACCGGTCGACCTGGCACTGCGCGACGTACGACTACACGGAAGCACGGGCTGGAGACCGTGTGTGTAGTCTGGGAGAAGCGCCGTATTTCGATCCGAACTCCAAGTCTCGGAAGGAAGCGTTGGCTTGATGGAGTTTGTAAAACCAGGACCTGTGAATTTCCTCTTCCGGCTAGTTTTGCCGTTTCTGGTATAGCCTCCCAATACGCCGTACTGTAAATGCCGCGCGCCTGGCTTTTCAATATAAAAGAACCCTCCCTCACTGTTCCGACTTCATCTCCTCCCAAATCTTTTTGTAGTCCTGTTGGAAGTTGTCACATTCGTACTTTCGGCGAGATGAAACTCAGGGTAACGCGTTCTGCATGACGTATTTACAAGGCGTCTTGAGCAGCACTGATGGGTTGGTCCCGCCTATCATATGTCAACAGCTGCAGGAAATACTTGATGCCTAAGGCATAAAGCGTTCGCGCTAGCTGGATTAGTAATCGAACATAATCTGGTGCTCGGATGCCACATCGCGACTCCTGTCATGCGTTGTGTCATGCATGGTGTCCTAACAGCGGGTCATCCACTAGCTCTTTAAAGACAGATTTACCGCTAGCTATGCAGGACGATATTGCTGAATTACGACGTCAACTGGAGGAAGAGAGACGGGCAAGGGAAGAGGCGGAACAGCGCCAGGAAGAGGCAGAAAATCGACTGCAACCCAACTCTCTATTTCGCCTTCTCGATCGCTGCCACGAATCTCTGTCACAGACGATCCGAGTCGAGACGAACGCGACCCTGACGACCCAAGGCAACGTGACTGACCCCATCAATCGACTTTTTCCCAAGCGGATTGTTCCATGGCTTGATTTCCCTCAGATCCAGGAGCAAATCTGGAAGAAACTCGAGCGTGCAGTCGGCTTTACCTCACGTCCGCTCTTTCCTTCTGATACCCAGCTAAACTATGTCGCAACAAATGTCCAAGACCGACCGATTTACTCAGAAGCGACTTTACGAAATTTCGAGCGAGACACTGTGGATAACTTTGTTGAAAAGATTGTCGAGGCAATACGAGGCGATGAAACTTTGCAACGGGAGTTTGGTATTGAGGGCCGAGTGGCCTTTTATGACCGCACAAACTCAACCTCACTGGATGACAGTTTGGAGATGCATCTTGACGACGCACCCCGTCAACCAACAAACACCAGCCGCGGGAGAGGTAGAAGAAAAGGGAAGGGGAAACAAATGGGTCAAAGTCAGACAAGGGCTCGCTCACGAAGGCGGCGCAATCGCCGTGCTGATCAGTTCTGTGTTCACGTCGTGGCTGATGAGCGCCAGATACCAGTATATGCAGTGGAGTTTAAAGCCCCTCACAAGCTTACAGTCGCGGAATTAGTCGCGGGCTTGCACGAGATGGACCTGGCCCGCGATGTTATTGATCAGGAAGGAGACACATTTGAGTTTCATACCACCCGCCTTGTTGCAGCTGTTGTCACTCAAATATTCTCATACATGCATGACTTGGGGATACAGAACGGGTGTATTCGGACAGGGGAGGCATTTGTCTTTCTACATATTCCAGAGGATCCCACAATAGTTCAATACTACTTGTGTTTCCCAAATCAAGACGTGCAGGCAGGCGATGAGAGCCGTCTCCACCGGACTGCTGTGGGCCAGATGCTTGCGTTCACCCTCCAAGCGCTGGCCGCTGAAGCTCCGTCCCAAGAGTGGCACAATGCCGCATATGAACAGCTTTCGACCTGGAAAGTCGAATACCTGGACGTCTTGCGCGATATTCCCGAAACAATTCGCAAGGAGCCGCCGCCCTCGAATTATCGGCCTTCATACTGGAAACCGAATCCAAAGACACACAATACACGTTCCCACGCTCGCTGTAATCCAGGCGTATCTACCCCGGTAGGCTCGCCAAGTGAAAGCAGCGATAGTGACGAGGATATGCCTTCGCCGTCTACTGCACCAGCCGCGCGCAGTCGATCAAGTCGCGGGAAAGGTAAAAATCTATCAAGTGGCGGACGCGAACGGGCACCACCCGACCGAAGAACAAAGCCAACTCCTTCTCAAAGGGTGCAGAGACCGTACTGCACCATGGCTTGTATCCGCGGTATGGTCAACGGGGGTCCTCTGGATAAAAAGTGCCCTAACTGGCAACATCACGGTGGTCAGAGGCATCCAATGGGCCCGCAGGAGTTCACGCGCAAGCTGCACCGTCAACTTGTCCAGAATCGAAATAAGGGTTTTGAGCCGCTACACATCCGTGGTCGGACGGGGTATCTCATGAAAGCGACTCTATTGTCACATGGGTATACGGTGGTCATCAAGGCTACAACAAAGGAGAATCAGCATGCCCTTAAAACAGAAGTTGACAATTATCGCAAGCTCCGAAGTTTGCAAGGATATCAGATCCCAGTCTGTTTAGGCAACTTTGAGCCAAGCATCGCATACTGGTACCATGGTCGGGTAATGGCACATATGATGATCCTGAGCTGGTCTGGAACTCGGCTTCAGCGGATAATCAAAGACGAAAATCTCGATTTCTTCCACAAAGAACGAGAGAAAGCTCTGAAGTCCCTCCAGAAGTATGGTGTTGAACACAAAGACAAAGAGTGGCGTAATATGCTGTGGGATGAACAGACCCGCAATTTGGTTGTCGTTGACTTGGAGGACATGGAATGGCTTAAGCGGCCTCGGCCTTTCCAACCAACACCTGGCAATTCATTGGGTCGTCGTATCGTCCTGAGAAGGAAAAATGAACGAAGGCGCCTATCTAGTCGAGCTGCTGTCTGTACATCATGATGGCACTGGAAATGGCCGCCGCTTATCACTGTCCCGGTCTTATTCCCTGTGCGCCTTGTTGACTTCGGATTGTTGTGTCTTCCTGGGGAAAACCACTGTTCGGAGGAAGATGATGGTTTGGCTTTCAGCGCGATCAGCCATTTGTTGAGTCATCCAATTAATACACTAATTAGTTATATTCGTGTCGTGTGCTGTTCTGGACAGGAAACAGGGAATCAATTGGCACACAAGAGAATTTGAAGATGGTAGTTTGTTACCACTTCTTGACTGATATTCATCGAATGCTGAATATCAAGAGCAGCTTGGCAGAAACAGTGGTCGAGTTTCTCTCTTGCAATCGACATGGGTGGAGGGGGCTCATCGATTTGATATCGTATACGATTACACCTCCAAAAAACTGGCAAAGATCGGCTAGAAGAGAAACCGACGGTTTCGGAGAAAATTGATCATTGGAGGGAGAAATATGGATCCAACTAAATGGGAGCACGGCACCCCAAATTCATCCAGGGCATTGGCATGATTATTGAACCGTACTCCGCCACCGGCTTGGGATTCATGCCGGGCGTTGGGTATCTCACATTAATTTCTGTAATCACATTGTGCGTAAAATCTTCCACGGCAAATCACTCATAGCTCACTATATCTTGTTCACTGCTTATTAACGGGGCGAGCAAATATCAAACCCTTCATTTCCCGATACTTCAATCCATACGTCGTGCAAGTACATTATTAACCAGAAAACCTATCCCTAGCCCAACAATGTCATGAGAACTCCCAAAAACGCTGTTTTGAAATTGACAAGTCTCATGCCTGGCATGGCTCACTGAGCCGCATCCAGTTCCAGCATACTACTATATGTTAGAATTCATCATTCTCCCAGGGGTTAACTTGTACATACTAGTATTACCCATATCATCACCAAACATAGAAGCCATCAGGTCTTCGCCCGATCGTGTCCCTTCGATGCTAGTGTACGTGACGGCCGTCTTACCCAGACAGAGTCCAATCATTGGCGGCGATACCTGGAGGGACATAAACTCAGGTTTGCTGCCGATGCATTCGGACAGCATGAGTTGGTGAGCGTTCGTAGCGGCATAGTTACCGTGGAGCATAGCACCTCCGCAGCGCTTGATCCCCGGCCAGGAAGCAAGGTCACCGATGGCGAAGTGGTGTTCTGCGTTGGGGATGTTGTTTTTGAATTGACATCTGTGCTCGTTAGCATAAGTCAAGGAAAGAAGAGGGTGACATACGTAGGGTGAATTTGGACGTAGCCTTCTTGGTCAAGTGCATCCTGTGGCAGATACGTCGATGTGGGAACGCACTTGGAGATGGCGCTCAGAATATGTCCGGCCTTGAGTTGCGTACCATTGGCCAGAGTGAGGTGCCAAGTGCGTCTCTCGTCACTGGTCTCAATTGCTTTGTGGTCGACGACTCTTTGACCAAGGATGACTTCGATGCCAGTCTCCCGCAGGACATCGCATACGCGGTCCTTGAAGTCATCCGGCAGTGGCTCTGCAGAAAGTAGACGGTCCCGGGAGTGAACCAATGTTACCTTTTGGTTAGGATTGAGTTCTTTAATCTCTGTGGCCATTTCCACGCCGACAGCACCTCCACCAACAATAACCACGCCCTCTTGCGCATCCTGAATGCTCTTCCTGTGCAACTTGGCTTCGTTCAAAAAGTCATCCCTGCACAGAGACTGAGGGACGGTAGGAAAGACCCGCCGCAGTCCCGAGGCCGCAATGAGGTAGTCATACTGCTCGTATCGGGTCTGCTGAGTCTGCAATCCGAGAATCTGAGCCACCTTTCGTTCCGGATCGACGGAGGTGACGCTTCCCCGGACGAACTCCATGTTAGGAGCCTTCAGTGCCGGAATGTCTGCGAACCGGGTCCATGCTTTGGGAGCAAACTTTTCGCAAGCCAGGGCTTTGGGGGATCCTATGAGGTGGTCTGAGAGGTGAGTATGGGTTTTCATCCCTAAAGATGACATGAGACATACAGTAGCCATCTCGCTCATCAACCACGGTGATCTGAATAGGCAGATGAGCTTGAGGGGCTTTGGCATCCATATTATAGCTAAAACGAGCAGTCTTCCCACGGGCAAGATCGGCTAGGGTCAAAGCGGCAGCCAGACCACCATAAGAACCACCGATAATAAGGACACGGAAGGTCCGAGAGAACGGTGCAAGAATTTCGTTAGATGGCATATTGAATAAGACTGTACTTTGTGCTTCGGATGGAATGTTGAACAGAAAGAAGAACAGAAATACGTTCAGCTGTAGAAAAAGGCCGAAAAAGCAAACAATCGGATGAGGGGCAGCGTGGAGGAATATGTCTCAGAGAAGCTAACGAGGGGGCCGGAGAATCTTTAAGTGACTCTGGAGTACTCCATGTTGCGTACATCATGGCATTGTTGCTTTTGACGGATGGGATACGGAGTCCGTAGTCCGAGCTTGGGCTCTCCACGATGATGTGTACCTGTACCAGTACGGAGTACTAGGTACTATTATGGAGTCGTACTGTATTATTCCAGTTCCAGAATACTGACAAGACTCCATAGTAATGTTTCACACTGTATCTTATCAGATGGTGACTAGTACCTGGTAGAGACCGAGGTAAATCCGACCCAAAAAGGAAAGAATCATATCTGATTGTGCGTTATCTGATCGATCTCGCTACGTATTGTGATTGGCTGAACCGGCGGGTAATCCCTTCCGAAGTCGGCGTAGTAAAGTTATCTGATCTGATTTCCCCCCCCCCTTGTATCCCACGAATGCCTGTACTCTATAAGAAGGGACAAAGATAGATATATAGCTGCATCTCCCACTGCTCCCACTGTAGCTGCATTTGTTATTTAGGGTATCAAAGTACTCTGTACATACTCCCTGGAATGCACAATATTAATGCATTCTCACGCTAAATGCCGCAAATAAATTAACATTATCAGATGCAATCAATTCGGATGACCGGGTGACCTGACCACGGAGCCAACTGAGCCAAGGACGCAGCCTGAACATTACTGAGTCTTGTCCACGGACATTCCTATTCTATGTATTCCTCCGCGCTGTGTATCCCACTCCAACGCTTCCACGAGCACACCTTATTACATATTCATGAGACGCCATCCCGCGGTTGCCCCCGAAAAATTGCCCAAAAAGGCTTAGATTGACGAGGTCATTAGAGGCGGATTATGATCTTCTGCATTGCGACTTGGGGGTCGTCTGCATCATGGTAATATTACGGGCTACTGTTACCTGTCACATACGGAAAGATACAGAGATACATTACGTATCGCCCTGAAAATAACCATCGGTAAATTTCGGTAAATACTAATCTACTTACACTTGAGTTGTACTTGTAATTGTAGGGTTGATAACACCGAGCCCCACCACGTCTGCCCGATATCAAATCCGGCTATATTGGCTTGTCTTGTATAGCGCAGGGATGCAATGCCACACGTGAGAGACTATGCAGATGTTAAATGTGAAGGATGGCGCTATTGAGCTGGCAATCACCATTCTTCTTCTGCACTCCTGTCAATAGCACAATGGCTCCCGACCAGAAACTCCCTTGGGTGCGCTTGCCAGAACCCTACAAGACCTCATATGCCCTTCAAGTCCTCTCTGTGGAACATGGCCTGCGGACCTTCCAACTGCGGCGTGCAGCTCGTGTGGACGACGGCATCCCCCCCCCTGTGTCTCTTGATCATGCCTCGTTAAAATTCACAGACCTGGCTCAGCCCGATTCGTCCATTCCTCCGCTCGGAAACAACTCAGCCTGGGCTCGCGCTCAACGAAGTCCAATCACCAAACTCAGCTGGGACAGTGCCGACGCACCGTCAGTCGGACAAATCTGGAACATCGTCTACGCCCTCCTTATCCTCTACACAGATTTCGAGATCTTTCGCGTTGTCCTCTCAGGAGAGGGCAAGGAGCTTCTAGCACAAGAACTGCAGGCAGTTGGTCTGGCCACGGAGCACCCCAGCCCTTCTGCTCCCCCGGGCCAGCCAGTGCCAGAATCTACAGACCATGTCGGCCAATTGGTCGTCTTCCGCAGCATGTTTTGGCAGGGAGCTGGCTCTCCGTTTGGAACGAGACCGGCGTGGGTTGTTGGTTCTGAGACTGGTAAGCCTTTACGGAAGTCTGCTGTAGCTTACCCGGCATTTCCGGTTCAACATACTTTGACAACCAGATTCCCCGATGTCCGTGTCCATGCTGTCCACCCCATTCGCCCCGCCAAGCCAGCCCAGGGCTCGCGCATCTACAGTCGCTACATTCCACATTTGGATGAGTTCTTTTCTATTTGGGTGCTGGACTACACCAATGAGGAGCATCTGAAGTTGTTCAACAAGTGGCAGAATGACCCCCGGGTGGCTCAGGGTTGGAACGAGACAGGAACCCTAGACCAGCACCGTGAGTATCTGCGCAAGATTCATGAGGATCCTCATCAGATGGCCGTGCTTGCCAAGTTCAACGATACTTTCTTCTCTTATCATGAAATTTACTGGGCTAAGGTATGACCATTAACTTGGAGTAAATAGAAGGCACTAACGAGAATAGGAGGACCACCTAGGAGCCAACTACAACGCAGATGACTACGATCGCGGCCGCCATTCCCTCGTTGGCGACCAGCGTTTCCGCGGACAACACCGTGTAATGGTCTGGTGGTGCAGCATCATGCATTACATGTTCCTCGACGAGCCACGCACAAAATACATTGTAGGCGAGCCCAAATTCACCAACCTCGCGCCACTAGCCTACGATCACGCCACGGGCTTCAATATCGAGAAACTAGTCGACCTACCGCATAAGCGGTCTGCACTGGTGAAGTGCCCGCGAGAGAAATTCTTCCACATTTCACCATTCCGGTTCGATGGGTCGGATCATTTGGAACGGAATCCATTTCGAGCTTTCAAACTGTGATGCTGAGATGTACTTTTTCTTGGTTAATTTAGCGTGAGTCAGTTGTTGGTGTAGCAGAGTGGAATTTAATATATACTCTAGTCAGTGTTCGCCTCTTGTTTCCTAAAAAGTATCCTTAGACGGGTGTATACGGAGTATGGAGTACTCGAGTAACCTGGAATTATCAACCTATGCAGCATATGGAGAATTGGAGAACTTCAGCGAGACCCATTGTATGACCATCAAGACCGTTCGCAATACATATCCTCGAAACAGTATAGCGCAATACATATACTAGCGCAGGAACGGGACGCTGATTGGCTCGCTTGGTATCTGATTAGATGCTTCATCTAATCAGATTGATAAAAAAAGCTGAGGTGGGACGGACCCACTTGGTTCGTGTTTACGGTACATACACATACGTAGTACCAAGTATCTATACAAGAGGATAGAATTGGAAGATATAAGCCAAGCAGCCAAGTCCAAGAGTGTTTCTTGGATTTACGAGTTTTCAAGAGTATCGGAGTAGACCGACGTGTAGAAACAACATAGTGCATAACGTACAAGGATATCAACTATATACAAGACAAAATCACAACACAACTACGCCTAAGCCTGTCCAGCACGCCGTTCCAGAACATCACCTGCCATCTTCCTCAGCTCCACCTTTCGGACTTTTCCGCTCCCCGTAACAGGAATTGTCCGGTCTACCCCCTCCTCCCCAAACACAAACACATGTTGCGGCGCCTTGTGGCGTCCCAGGGTCTCGCGGGTCCACGCTCGGAGTTCCTCGTCCGATGGCCGTGGTTGCCCCGCTGCTACCAGGATGAAGGCGCCAACGACCTCGCCATATTTCTGGTGCGGGACGCCGATCACGGAGGCTACGTCGATGGCTGGGTGCGCGGCTAGGCGCTCTTCGATTTCGAGGGGGTAGATGTTTTCTCCGCCTGGGCTCTGTTATTTGTGCGATAATTTGATGGATATTTGGAGTTGTGCTCACCTCGAATGATTATGTCTTTGAAGCGGCCGGTGATGGAGCAATAGCCTTCCGGTGTGAATAAGGCTTCGTCGCCTGTTTTCAGCCAAGTGACGCCGTTTTCGTCGGTTGTCAGTGTCTCGTTGGTTTTTTCGGGGTTGTTCCAGTAGCCCTTTGTGAGTTGGTAGCCGGTCATGCAGAGTTCTCCACGCTGACCGACTGGGACGATGTTGCCCTTCGCGTCGATGATCTTGGCTTTTGCGTGTGGCATGACTTTGCCCACGGTTAAAAGCCGGGTTTCAATTGTATCGGTGGTGACGGCATTGAAGCAGGTTGGTGATGCTTCCGTGAGGCCTGCAATAATTAGTTAAAGACTGCGCAAGTAATATCCACAAAAACGAACCATAGCTACTAGTATACTCAGTCATATTCAACTCCCCAAACAACCGTTTCATCAACGGTCGCGGCACGGGAGCCCCAGCAATGATCCCCGTCCGCAGATTTGAGCAGTCAAAGCCCTCGGGCTTAGGAACGCCAAGAATCGCCTCAAACATTGTCGGCACGCCGTGCAGCGCCGTGCACTTCTCGTCGGAAATCGCATGCAACACCGCCTTCGGGTCAAACGTCTCTCCGGGGAAAATGATCTTCGAGCCGTGCGTGACGACCGCTAGCATGCCGAGGACTAGGCCGAAGCAGTGGAAGAGAGGTGGTGGGCAGCAGAGGATGTCGAAGGGGGTGAAGTCCATGCGGTCGCCGATGAAGCGGGAGTTATTGACTAGGTTGCTATTCAGGTTGTGTTAGATGTGTATACTTGTCGCGTGCTGGAGGGACTTACTGGTGCGTCAACATCGCAGCCTTGGGATTACCAGTCGAACCACTGGTAAACTGCAAATTGCATACATCATCTGGCTGAAGGATATCCTCGCGCTCAGCCAGAATGTGGTCTGGTAGCGATTGCCCGCGCTCGATAAGGTTACCGTAGGTTCCAAAGTCCTGGTATCGGCCCCGGAGAATGATGATCTCTTCGAGCGCTTTCGAAGATCCCTTCCGCGTGGGATGCGGGCCGAGTGTGGACAGCACTTCGAATAGTTCGTGGCGGCCGATCTGGGGTGTCATGAAAAGCAACCTGCAGTCTGTTTTATGTTAGTATAGACGCATTTTATGAATGTGATTAGAAAGGGAACATACCGGTATGGCTGAGTGCATAGTACACTTCTGACGGAGTATATGTATTATTGAGCACCACGAGGATTGCGCCGACACGCGCCGCACCAAAGAACACAGAAATATATTGCTCGCAATTGCCAGCCATAATACCAATGCGATCACCCTTTTGAATGCCCATGGCTAGCAAACCTCGGGCAACCCGGTCGCTCTCATCGTGCAGGTCGGAATAGGTCCATCGGGCTCCGGTCCAGGGGAATACCAGGCATTCATAGTCGCTATATTCCAGGCTCTGAAGGGTTAAAAGTTCGCCAAGGGTGATTTCTAACAGTTCTGGCTGTGTTGGGCCCTCGACGATGGACAGTTGTAGTGGGATGGGCTTGGGTTGTACATGAGATAGGGCTTGTTGGAGACGCCGTACGCTGGTTCGGTTGGTGGTCATTTTGCTGTCTATACTGCACCATGTAAAAGTGGCAGACAGAATTCAAAATTAAGAATTAAAATATGCGAGTGAAAGAATCCTACCCTGTACCAGCCTTATAGCACCCGGCCCTTTTACAACCTCGGAATTAGCCTGTATACTTCGGAAGTCAGTACCCATTCCAGCTTGACTGCGCTATCAATCTCATAATTATCGCATAATACTCTCTCCACTTGATCCATTCTTTATATATATTTTATATTACTCTACCAGTCTTTTATCCGTTTTGCTTGTATTTCAAGTTTTAGACGTTTCCTTACGGAACATCTAGCTCGCTTAGCTTCTTACTACCAACCGAAACCGGAATCCAGACCTACTTCGGACAGTCCGATAAATTTGCGCCAACAATCAATTGCGGCGAAATTAGAATGCATCCTGCTATCGTCACCTTCACACTTGGACCTCGGCTTAGAAGATGTTTTTTGTAGATTAACGTGCCAGGGTTCAGGCAGGTCTTGATAAATGATCATCATCTGTAGTGCCCCGTGCATGATATTCCGCCCTGTAGGATGATTGGCCTGCCAGAGTATAAGGTTCTTGGCAGTGAGAGGTTGCATAGCCAGCACTCGTTCGAAAAAACCACATTCCTCGACACGAGGACTCTTCCACATCAAATATTGGTTGTCAGCCGTACAAGCACTTCACGTATTGTGGACTACCTTGACATAATCTAGTGATTGAATACGCAGCACTGCCTGTTCAGTGTCGTAAGTGTCCAGTCAAACCACCCGGGCCGAGAGTACGATGGATAAGGATTTCTGCGCCATGCAACAAACCCCGGCCGTCGCACCGTATTCAGACGTATTAGACCCTGAACTATATTGAAATCTGCTCAAGACGTCGTTGTCTGGAAGATGGCCGAAGAGGGTCCATGGCGGTAGGTCCCGCCATGTCCAAGAAGCCCTTGTCAGATTCGGACTTAATTACTGCATATTTATGGACCCAGTACCTGGAACCTCACCTATAGAATAATTAGGTCCGAGACATAAGTCCTTGGTCGGTGTACCGGGCTGTAGTTGTTGAACTTCAATTAGCTTAGCTGAGCTGTTGAATGGAGTCCATGGATACTAAGAAGGACTCGTGGTACAAGTAAGCAATGTACAATAGATTATTCGGTCGAGGAAGCACTGCATGGATTCCATGGTCAAAGTTCTGGGGCAGAGTATGCACATCTCCCAGGCAAGCTGATCTTATCTGATTGATATGACCTTATGCAGAGATGCATCCAGAGGACATCCGGGGCCCGAAGAAAAGGAAGTCTCGGATAATAATCAGATAGTGGAGTTAGAAGGAAAGATCGGGAGGTATATGTACTGTACTGGTATATGTAATGTACTAGTATGGTACTGTGACTGTCTTGTAAATAACCATACCAAAAAAATACTTATCTAATCAGATGCGATCAGATAATCAGCTCCCGTGACTCGGACTTGGCACGGGACTTGATCGGGCATAACCGCCCATCCCACCACGGAGACATCTCCCACTGTGTCAACGACTTCCCACTGTCTTTTACCCACCCTCTAACCGATGTCCAATGGCGATGCAAAATTAATTCTGCAACCGCGGGATCCACCGCCGATGACACTGTCCTGCGCGGTGCCTGCGTCGATATCGGCGTGGGCAGATAGTGGGATTCCTCGGCTCCGTGTTTTTTTGTCTTCTACAACTACCTTCATCGCTCATTTTCCTAGTATTCTGACAACGTACCTTTCATTAACTATACTATTCTAATCATACTCTCGTTATTGTGAAAGGTGCGTATTCCGTCCGTCTGGATGCTAAGGAAAATCATGTCAGGTTTCTTTTCGAGCTTCGAGGGGCACCAGGATCCCCCAGAAATGACCACGACCACGACCAACGACTCCAAAATGACAAACGGTGACCATATTATCTCTGTCCCGGCTGACGAGATTCTCCCTGTCACAAAGGTTCCTGCGTTGGATACTATCGATCAATACGCCGTGGAAAGAGTATCCGGCGAAGTTGCGAAAAGTCCCGCGATTGAGCTGTTTTGCGACGCCAGCTCTCAGGATGTCGCGAAAGGAATCGTGCAAGCTTACGCTCGTTTTGTCTCTCATTTTACCGGCCTTGAAGATGTGGCTTTTGCGATTTCTCGCGACTCCAGTTATGTGTCGATAGAGTCGCGGCGCGCAGTCGTTTGCGCGTCGGTATTTGCGGAAGAGGAAGCAGGCAAGACCTGCAATTTGCGCGAGGCCGATTATGCTCGTCTTGACAAGGATGAAATCCAGTTTGCTTTGGAACTGCAAAATGCTAAGCCTGAGAATGGTGACCAGCATGCTAAATCGGAAGATGTATGTTCTTGTAGTACACCCATGGAGAGTAGTGCTAACAGCCTCAGTCATTTACTCTACTTGCGCAGCCAGGCGCAGGGAATGGCGTCTGGCAATTCAGTTTCGCATACCCCCAGCGACTAATTCCCAATGCGGCAGTCACGCAGCTTCTCAAG